ATATTCTCTGTGTCACAACCTTTCATTGGATACCAACATACTTAACCTCTTGACATTTGACCCAATTTTGCCCCCCCCCCCCTGCCAAATTCTAACTTTAAACTTGGCCATAGCTTTTGAAAAGTTGATGTTAGGGCTTTCATATATCTTATTTCATGCATATATTCAAGACAAATCCCTCCTTTGGGAAAAAAAAAACATTTTTGGTCTCATGACTTTAGAGTTTGACTGTATTAGAGAATCTTTAATCTTCATCATTAGTTGCCTTACATATTTCACTAACACATCATGTTCTTGTGATTGTTATAAAAAATACATACAGAAAATTTATTTCTCCTAACACCATGACAATAACCTTTCTGTGTTCAAATGTTCTCTCTTTTTCAATTTTTATCTAGCCCCTCCTAATCCTTATGTTCCTTACCAAAAAAAGAGACCTTTGAGAGTATCACTGTTTCCATCATTTCCATTTATACACCAATAACTTTGCTATAGCCAGATACATGTCAGATATTCTGGACATAGCAGAGTGTCACATTTCATCAATCAATGTGTCAACAAGTAACAAAACGGTTGCAGACTGACCAGTAAAGATCTGTGAAGTGTGAGACCACAAGTGACTAGGGGTGGGACGATACACAGATCTTGCGATACGATACGTATCTCTATATATTGGCACGATACGATACATATCTCGATATTTTGATAAATTATATGACTATTTTTAAAAATTAGTATTTTATTTCATTTCTTGTCTTGTCATTAAATCAACATGATAAATTATTATCATAAGATTAAGTATTTGATTTCATTTTTTGCCTTGACATTATGAAATTATTTTATATAAAATTATATGTGCTTTGAAATTGAATACTTGAGGTTCATCAATATCTATATCATTCACTAAAACTTTATAAAAACAATAATACATGTACAAATTATTATTACAAATTACTTTTAAGAAGTTGTTTACAAATAGTTGAGTAGTTCATCAGAGAACACTGACTAAAATTCATTTAAAAACATCTCATTTACATTTTTAATAATCGCTGAAAGTCTGTAGCAAAACTGAGATTACAAAAAAAAAAATACGAGATGGACTAACAATTAATAATATCAAATATGCTCTGGAAACGATGCTTTCTGAGTATAGCACGCATTACATACTGAGCTTTTCTTGTCCAATCTTCCAAGACTGCTTAAAAGTGAAAACATTTTACCCCTAAACAACGACTTATTAGTTCTAAAGTGTGTTTTCAATAATCAACATCATCTTTTCGCTTCGTACAAGCCGCCATTTTCCAAGGACAGGTACTTTCATTTTCAATTTTGGATAGGTCGTTCGTGTATCGTTTCGTACCGATATTTGAATGCTTGTATCGTAAACCGTATCTTAGAGGAAAATATCGATATGTATCGGTGTATCGGTATATCGTCCCACCCCTACAAGTGACCCCATGTAGCCAGGCCAACCGGACCCAATCACAGATCAGGACAGTCCTAGTGTAGATATAAACATGGTTAAACAAACAGACAGACTGACCGGACCCAATCACAGATCAGGACAGTCCTAGAGTAAATCAGAATGGACTCTGTATCCCATGTAAAGGAGGCCTCAAGTTAGAAAAACCAAATTAAAAAGTTTGGCATCAATTTAACTGTAAGATTTCAAATTTAGACATGCCCTAGAACATTTATTATACCCCCCGCAAACGAAGTTTGGGGGAGTATATAGGAATCACCTTGTCCGTCTGACTAGCTGTCTGTCTGTCCGTCCGTCCGTCTGTGCAATCGTGAGGATACAGAGGGACATTAGAATCTACTACTCTACATAAAGATTGCCCATGACCCGAGGGTGTGTCATGACCTTGACCCAAGGTCATTTGGGGAACTTCAAGGTCACTGGAAGAAAAATTTCAAGTCCATATCTTTCTTATGAATAAACTTTAGGTTCTCATTTCACACAAAGATTGCCCATGACCCAAGGATGTGTCATGACCTTGACCCAAGGTCATTTGGGGAACTTCAAGGTCACTGGAAGAAAAATTTCATAATTCGTGTCTGGTCCATATCTTTCTTATGAATAAACTTGGTAGGTTCTCATTTCACACAAAGATTGCCCATGACCCAAGGGTGTGTCATGACCTTAACCCAAGGTCATTTGGGGAACTTCAAGGTCACTGGAAGAAAAATTTCATAATTCATGTTTGATACATATCTTTATTATGGAAAAACTTACTTCTGAAATAAAATAGTTAATAAGTTGATTTAAGGATAAAAATCAATATATGACCACTTGAAGGGAGTACTGGATTCCACCTTTAGCTACTGAACTTTTCCATTTCCCTAGCTAGGAAGGAAGTGTATTTGTGTATCTTAATTAGTTACATAGATTGTGGTGTTAATTTTGCTACATTTGACAAGGGGCAAAACTCTCTGAGTTGTTTGCAAATTTATCCAGGGTACAAGAGTATAAATTTGTTAGTTCCTGCCTACCAGTTTACTCCATCAATTAAATCTTTAACAATGAAATTTTCTGAATGATATCATTTAAATTAGGTTGCTGATATGTGAATATATGATTCCAAGAACTAATAATAATCAGTCATCAAATTTAATTACAAATGTCAGCATGAAGTGAAATTCTATGCATGCATTTCTTTAAGGAATAAATATGGATGGCAGAGATTAATGCATTTGTGTATAGTTGTTAATGTACTGAAAAGACCTAAATCAGAGATTAATTGTTGAGTTTATAAAATTTTTTTTAATTACTGGCCTTGAACAATTAAAAAAAAATCCATTTTCCAAATATTTATAAGCAATTAGTAATTATTGCAATATTTACAAGCAGTAAGTATGAGCTGCAACCAGTCATTAGTTTTCAGTTAAGATTGAAATGTATGCTGCCTGAATTCATGATGCTGCAAGATATCTGCACTTCAGCTGAATCCTTTCCATCAGGTCAAATTCATGTTTTCCCAGAAGGTGCATTCCTAAATTCATTTAAGCTGATCGACACTGTTCAAACCATGCATTACCTAAATCTCTTGAAAGTAGTCATGTTTTGAATTATTCAATCAATTCATGACTTTTAAATTCCAAATGAGTCAGGCCAATTAGTTAAAATGTATTTGGATTAAGTTTTTATCTGATTACAATTTTTTAACCTTATGACAAAACCTTATATAATTCTCCCAGTCTACTTGGTAAACATTATTCAGGTTGTCAATTTAAAAGTAAATCTATGAGAAATAATGCTGATTTCTGAAAAAAGTTTGTTTGTGTTATTTATCCTTAAGGGGGGACCTATGTCCGAAAAGTCTTTGTGTGAAATTTTCAAAACTTTGACATTTCTTTCCTGACCACTTGCTCTTAATTTTTATGTATTAAAAACAATACCTTTATATGCTTATTTTTACACAGGAGCACGTGCAAAAACAGTGTGAAATGCTAAAAATAGATTATTTTCAGACATTATTGTTCTACCCCAAATATGCGCTAAAAAGAACCAAAAATGTCATATCACATTCAAAATCAACTGGTACTTAATTTATATGACTTGTATTTTTAAAGTGAAGGCAAATTCATTGTAATTCATATCGCATGAAAAATTATAATGGAGCGCAATTCACCCCGTTTTTCTTGTCGTATTTTTTATAATTCCGACATGCATAGCAGGTAATATCTTCAAAAGTCTTTGTGTGAAAATGTTGTAATTCATATTTTTTGAAAGAAATGATTCATCCCTTTATTTTAACAAAGAAAAAACTATACCTTTATGATAAAATAAACGAGAAATATGACGTTTTCATTTATTTTCGTACTCTTGTGTCATAAATATTGACCTTTCTGCACTAAAAAAAGGTAAGTAAGCACTGTGAAACATCTGAATATAAAACTCTTTTGCGAAAAATGAGTATTTTGTATTGATTAGAAACAATTTAAACAAGTATGATTCTTTTCTTCTTCATTCCAATCATTCAGTTTGTTTCTTCCCCCCCCCCCCCCCTTCATTTCCCCGTCAACAACCAACACCTATTAGAACTTTATACAATAAAATCTACATGTAATATAAATCAATAAGCAAATATAGGTACAAGTACATTTCTTAATTTTTTCTTAGTGTTGTCCAGAAATACAATTAATGGTTAACATAAACACATTTTCTTGATTTAAGCAACTTTCTTCGCTGAATTTTATCTAATCTTTTTGCAATTATATATCAGCATATCATCGAGGTATTTCTTCATAACTGAAATTGCTATGAATTATCAACCAAAGGAAGAGAATTCTAATATTAACAAACTCCATAAATCAAATAAAACTGTTATTAATGATGAATAATTTTTCTTTTTAGTAAATTGCGTACGTTATTGATTATTAACAATGTAATGCCTATATCATACTTGCAAAAGTCAACAGGTAAAAACAAACGTCGCTATTGTGACGTCACATAACGCTGCTTTGACGTAGAACGACATAGGTCCCCCCTTAAGTCACAATTACTAAGTATATTACTCAGTGAATATTCAACAGATATGGTAGTGAAATCTTCAGTAACATTGCTTTTTAGAATTTTTTGACTCAGTTCAAGTTTCACAGTTTACATTAAAAAAGAGAAGCCAAATCATCATTTTTTGTTAACAAATGTCAAGTGCTTCACAAATTCTTTGTTTAAAAATCTCATTTGTGTGTCTTTTAAGCTTCACTTGTGCAGAAATAATATTAAATTCCTGAACATTGGTCAAGAATTCCTTTTAAATAATTGATTTCAAGAAGTGTGGCTAAAAAATACTGTTGACACAGCTCTTGTTTGGGGATTAAATGATTATGACCTTTCACTAGACATCAATAAAACAGGATTTCTGTTCAATATTGATCGACCATTTATCTTTTGAGGGTAGGACATTGTATGTATTTTGTACACCTGTATGTGTATGTACTTTAGGTAGGTCAGATATACGGGTGTAACAGGTAAAGTTTGAGTTGCAGACGACCTGACTCATGTTCATGTTGAGTAGGTGGAACTGTTGAATGAATGGTCTCGCTTTAAGAGGTTTACGTGTGTAACATTGCATATCCTGAAAAACACCGGCTCTTAGAGAATTTTTTTTGTTCCTGATAGAAGTTTGGACATTTAAGTTGTTATAACGGTGACATACCTGGAACAAAAACAAAGTATGTCGGTTATGGTATGCTAATTTGCAGGCACAAAGAAGGGATCCCTGGAAGTGATTTGTTGAGGCCTTGGGAAATGTCATTGAATTTTTATTCTTTTTGAGATTTTGACAACTTGTGTGATTCTTTTATGTGTATAAGGACATTCACTCTTTTGATGTTCATGCCTCTTTTTTTTTCAATGGGAACTAAAAGTTATTGAACTTGAACATGCCCAGGTAATGTTGATATGCATGTTTTATGTGCAAAGATTTTGATAATTTTTTTTCACCAGTCAGATAAACTTGACTGGGTTCTTTAGTCTTGATTATATTTGATTCTATGAGTGTTATTCTTTAAAGTGTAAGTTAACTTCAAAGTTCAATTAATCTTGTAAACCTGAAGACCTTTATGTGTGTTTTTTTTTTAAAAAAAGACAACTTTACAGTCTGATGGTTTGTGTTTACTTGAAAGTTCACCAAAGGTGCATTTTAGCTGTGAATTGTTAAATGTGAGAATTGTGTGAAAGATTTTTTTTTCTTCCTTTTTTCAGTCACAATACACAGACTACGACCTTTGAGCACCCAGTAACTGGCAGAACAGTGAACCATGGGAGTCCAAAACAGTAAGTTCTGTCTGATTCAGGCTAAAGTTCCTGAATCTTATTCTGAGTCAGTAGAAATGACAAAGCTCATAGAGGTGTGAGGGTCATTCTGTTGAATCTTATTGTAAACAGTTGAAGAAATTAAAATATGTTCTGCAGATTACTGAAGATTTAAATAAAAGTATATGAAATGTCAGAAGTGAGTAGTATAAGTAAATTTCATGAAAAATGTCAGTAAAATTGTAAATGCTCTTTCTCAGAATTTTTTTTGTACATATATATGTGTATGTAGTGAAAGTCAATACAATTCCACAGATGGTTACTGAAAACTAAATCAATTGAACGGAGTTAAACCTTTAACTTTAACCTGTTCCTGTAATTGTTGATTTTTTTTAACAGTAAAAGGATTGTGTAACTGCGTTAAAAAGATATCGACTCAAAATATATCTTGAAAAGTTTCACTCTTGATATTTATTTCTTTACTGTTTAATAGGTTCTTTTCATTTAATGGAAATAAAGCTGTTGGATTTGAGATACAAAATGCAATCTGATGTAAATAATTATATAATAGTGTTGCATTATGCATGTACTATCAGGGTTTGACACATGGTAGGCGAGTGCACTGTGATATATAGGCATAGTACATGCATAATGCAACACTATTTATTATTATGCTGACTGTTGTAATTATTTATGCGGCATTCCATTTGAATTTTTCCTGAAAATATCGGTGCTAACACAGCGCACTTGCAAGAACTCATTCAAAATCTTCATGCTAAAATTGGTTGCATGCTTAGTTATTTTGGTTACTAGTATTTTCTCTAAATAAGTCAGGATTTTCTGTCCCAAAGCAACTCATCTTTATTTTCTGTTTTGTTAGTAAGACTTATTTGTTTGCAGACGTCGATTCTCATTGATAATTGTCTTTAACATCCTTCAATCAAGCGTCATATGAAAAAGCGTTTTAATGACCCAACGAAATCAGTTCATCTAATGATCTGTATGTAATTAGTTTGAAACTTTGTTGTACATATTAATCTAAGGTTCCTTAGAATAATATAACTGTTTTCAAATAAAATTTGTCTATTTTCTCCTTCTTGTGTCAATTGTATAAATTAAGTTTATATATTTTATAAAATTCTACCAATTAGTGATCGTCTCTGTGGCGTAATCGATATGGCATCGGACTGGCAATCTCATGGTCGTGAGTTCGATCCCCGGCGTGTGCACTGAAGAATTTTATTCAGTAAATAGAGCCGTGCACTATTTCGGCATAGTATGCTTACGCTATATAAATCCATAGACCACTATGCGAGAATAGTAGGGTATGGGTTATATAGAGCCAAGCTGACAGGAAGCATAATAATATATGATAGAAAATCACATTTAAATGACCCAGATTGGAAGTTGCACTCGATTACTATGCACATGTGATCATTTTACATTTTGTTCATATTAATTACCAAATGAGCTAATTGTTACATAAAGTCTGTCATGTACTTTGGTTTTGTTTTGTTGGACACTTTCCAAACTAAATGTCATAGATTTCCATTGTCAGCAAACTTTGACTAACGCTGTACGATTAACAGATTATGTAGGTGACGATGAACACTGGTTAATGAGATTATTTTGTAACAAATCAAATCCTAGTCTTTGGTTTCTTTAGGGGCTAAATACACAGACTTTGCTTATAAGGTCATTCCTGCATTAATAAAGCATTTTCTGATATATTGAATTGAAAAAAAAATTGAACTGTTTTGATTCCTATCCAGGTTGCATTGTTTGGATTTACCTGAAAGCTCCTGTCATGCATGCTGGGAAAGTGTATTAGGATTACATTCAAAATTTAATGGGATTAAATCTATTCCTGGGGCTTATGCTTTTAGAAATGTATATGAAATTCACTCAGTCATGCATTTTTGATCTATCCTTTATACAACATGTATGGAGAGGGAAGTTTTAAAATTATTTAGTTGTCAGGAGGTGATTTTATTTTAGCATATGCTGGGATGCATTAAGGACCTGCATTGAGTGTGTCTTCTCAAGAACACATTTTAAAAAAAAATTGTAGAATGATTTCAATATATACACAGAGAAAATGCTTCAATTTGGACTAAAATTAGTGAACATAACTGGAGATTCTAAAAATTAGTGTAAGTGGAAAGTTTTGAATTTACATGTAGTATATGTGATGCAGTAAATAAGCGTTCTTTCATTTTGAAAAATATCAACCAAGTAAATATGGTTTTGTTCTTATCTTTTTTTCTGGTTGGAAATGATGCATCTATATGTTAGATTGCAAACAAAATTGCAGAGGGGATTTAAAGATTGGCATTATAAGTAACATGTATAGTATATAAACAGAGTTATACAAATCAAGTTAAACTTAACCCAATGGTAACCATCATAGACATGTTTTCTACAAATAATTAAATTATGGACATATTTTATTCCAGATCCCCCACCTCTGCAGCCTCTCCCCCTAACAGTCCAGGTGGAGGACCCCCAGTAAGTACTATTTATAGACTGTGCAGTACGGTGTATAAGTCATCCCTTTTGCAAATAAGTATTGGTTTACATCATTATAGAATGGAATCGTCTCAGATTTGATTGCTTGTTTTGGTGTTTATAAGATTTAAAGGTTAAAGCACACTTTCTGGTATTGAAGTTTTAAATAGATTTGAGAGATACATGTAAATTTACAATTTATTTTTCAGAAGTCGCCAATAAGATCTCCTACAAAACTAAGGTAAGTTGGTTGAACTACATCCATTTTTTAAGCAAAAGATTTTTTCTGTTTCTATTATCCAATAAACATTTATAAACAATATAAATATAACATTGTCGTAAACAAAATGTTATCAATTCTGTAGAGCTCTGAAAGCACCAGCAGCAAAACGAGAAGAAACCGCCATGGTTACCATAAAGGGCTGGCTCTATCGTCAGGTATGTCAATGTTCAAATGTTTTCAAAAAAAAAGGCCCTCTGCCTTCTGAGTTGTGCTGTAATCACCCCCATCTTTTCATTGCTAAGACACCTGGTTGTGAAGTAATACAGTAAAATTTGTCTAATCCGGACACTGGGTACTCCAGATTTTTGTCCATTCCGTCTATAAATTTTAGTCCCATGCACTTCTTTAACAAATTCATTAGAAAAAATTCTGTGTAAGGCATATTGTCTATTGTTTTCCGAACGGCCATACTGGCCCCAACTGCTCATAATTAACGGTAATTATTTCCTCTAATCCGGCCACACCTGAGTTACTTCAAAACAATTAACACCTTTCGTGGTGGATTTGATAATCTTTTGTTTACATTAGCAGTGCCATGAGACGAACTCAGTGAACCTGGTCCACTTGATATATAGTAGGCCTATATTATGCGTGCCTTTAGATTTTGATTTAGGTAACATTTCACCCGACTTTCAAACTTCGTGAACAAACAAGAAAATACAGTAAGTCATGTGAGACTATTTTATAATTTCTACTCCAAAATATTGATTATTTCATCATTTAATTATATTTTATATTATGTACATGATGTACCGGTACTTGTAAATAAACAAAGAGATTTTCAAAATTAATATTTTATGGTACATAGCACTCCGGATTCTGTCTAAACCGGCCAATTTTTATGGAACCGGCGGTAGCCGGTTTGGACAAATTATACTGTAGTTTCTGTAGGTTATAGTCATAAGTCCCATTGAGATAGGCAAAGAGTCAAAATATTAAAGGTATAATTGCATGTTGTTTGATTAAATAAGTTTATATTATTTACACAGGAGAGTGGTGGCCTGAAATCCTGGAAGAAACGTTGGTGTGTCCTTGCAGATTTTGGACTCTTCTTCTACAAAGGTTAATACCATCTTCAAATCTACAATAATCTAGTAAAACTTCAGGAATAATGCCCATCATAATAAACAATAAAAATTTTCTTTTAAAGAATAAAGTAAATATGGTACGTAGCATTTAGGTATTAGGTATTTGGGAACATGACGATGACATACATTTTTATATCAACATCTATGTTTATTTTCAGATGATAAAGAGCATCATTCTGTGGGCTCCATTTTGTTGCCTAGCTACCAGATTTCCCAGAGTGCTCCAGGAGAAAGCAACAAGAAGTTTTCGTTTAAAGCAGAACACAACAATATGAAGACATATTTTTTTGCCTCGGACAGTCAGGTGGACATGGAGAGGTGGATCAAGTCTCTCAAACTGGCAGCCGCCCTTAAAGGGGTCCCCAAGTAGGTTTCCAGATTTATACTTTAAAAGTAGCAGCCCACAAGGGGTTTCCCAACTATTTTACAAAATATGATATGTGTTAATATATAAGCGCTTTATCTTTAGAAAGCAGCAGTCCTCAATGGGGTACCCAAGTATGTTACTAAATATGAACACTTATCAAAAAAATAAATGGTAATACACAATTTCCCAAGGGGAGTTTTTTCTGTTTATGTAATATATACACTATAAACTGAATTTATAGTTTGATGCTGTACAAGTATTTCTGATTTGCTAAAAGTTGTTAACAGTGAACTTTGTATCCCTTGTAGGAAATCTCCTGAGCCAAATAACAACACTCCTAAGTTGATCCCTAAATCAGCCTTTATGGAATGGGATGAGGATGAAGATGAGGATATCAAGAAAAGATTTAGTGGGCCACCAGAATTTCCTCCATGCGCCAAGTCTAATTCAGCTTTCGGTCCTTATCAAGATCAAGGACAACAGAGGGTTTCTCCCGAGAGGAATACGAATCAATATCCGGAGATTCGTGACCAGCCTCATAGAAGATATGAACAATTCCCCACAAATCCAAGGGCTCAAGTGAATCACCGGCCTCAGAACAGACAGACAGACAGGACAAGGCCACTTAGTGAGGAAATTCAACCTTCTAGGAGTTATCCTAGAGACAGTTCACTGAGACCTGATGATCCCCAGAATCGCAGGTCATACAATGAACCCTACTCTCAAGAAAGATCTTACAATGAATATGATCCAAGGAATGGGGTTCCGAGGAATGTGGATCCGAGAAGGAATACTCAGGACAATCGTTATCCCAGCTACAGGGATGAGGTGGACGTGAGGTTAGGTTATCCCAATAGAGTTCCTGATTACAGCAGGGCAGCTTACGATCAGGAGAAAGACAGGGAGAATTCATACAATCAAGACAATGTGTACAGCAAACCTGTGAAAAAACTCAATAGAGATCTGTCTCCTCATGAAAGGTTTGAGGAAAGAGGTGGGCACAATCGAACTAAGGAATACAGAGTTCAGTCGGGTTCACCAAGGCACAAAGCTGAGGACAATCCTTATGTTCACATGGCACAGCAAGATCCAAGGTATCACCTAGAAATTTTTGTAGTATTTAATTACCTTTAATTCCCCCATTTTCAGTTGTGTTTCATCAATTGCATGCAGTTGTTCTTTTTTTTGTTCATATTCTTGTTAGCTGTTTACTCTGCTCATTTCAAAGTGAACCTAAAATGCCCAAGTTTAATGTTTGTAATGGGCTTAACAGATCTTATTATGCTTATGGCTGTGTAAGTTTATACCTGTTTTTTCACAAACCTGAAGTTCTAATTTTTAAGAGACACAAGGTTTGCCAGGTGTATTCTTAATATTTATTTAAATTGCTTTGCAGATCTGTGGATAGACCAGACATAATTCCTCATTCAAATCATTCCCGAGAAACCAGTGAAACCAGTAATTATGGTTACTACTCTCCACAGAGGGCGGAGGCTCAACAGATGGATCGTCTCTATGGAGAGGAAAGGGGCTACCCACAGGATCCTCAGATTCTAAGGCACGGAAGGATCAAACCAGAACACGATGAAAATTACCCAGGTCGCTCCAACAGTCAGCACCCTAAGGAGCCCCCCAGACTGTACCTTACCCAGGATCAGGCGCCGGTCAGTCAGACCAGCCAGCCGTTACAGCAAGCAAACCGAGAAAATCTCAACCTACCAGTCAGTCGGAGTGATCTCTACATAGACATTCCTCATACATATGTCAATATAGGGGATGCCCTGTCACACAGAAACGGGGACCAGATCAGTCCCGCCCCCCACCGCCCGCCCCTTCCTACGGCTGTCAGGTCTCAGTATGTGGAGGAACTGGCACAAGCCAAGACCCCAAAGACTTCCCAGGAGTTGCTGGATGCTGAGAGAGCCCTAGAGATAAGGATGCAGCAACCTGCTTACTTCAACTATCCTACTCCCACCAATGAAAATGCACCACATTTTCCTGTAAGATTTCTTGACTTTTCAAAACTCTTTTTCTAATTTTGGGCATGTAAATACATGTAGTCCTGAATGAAAGCATTTTTTTCAATGCAAATTCAGAATTAATTTTTTTGCAGAGAGGAGGAAATAATTACCAGGGAAATCACCTTCATCCAGGATATGGGTGTTATCCTCAACAAAATGAGCCTGGGCACGGGAACCAGAATGGGTACAAATCAAGTGAGTGTGCGACTGATTACATGTAGATAATGGCATAGATAATAGAGAAATGTTTTAACCAGAGATTATTTTACTGCTTTAATTGAAATATTTAAAAAGTTTTTTATTTTTTTTTTTTTATCAGTAATTGTTGTAGAAATTTATTTTTTTTTTTTATCAGTAATTGTTGTAGAAATATAGAATCGTTCATTGGCAATTTCTCTTTTCTGCACATGAAAATTTTCCTAGCTTCTTTTTCTGTAGTACACATCTTTTGATCTTTATTCTCCATAAAATAGCCTTTTATTTACTGCTTTAACAGAAAAAAATAATACTGTAAAAAATTGACCAGAAAATTAATTATGTTTATTTGATAACTGTGAGTAAAAAGTTTATAAAATATATCAAGTAAGACATTATCATTAGTAATAGAAATTCTTAGATTTTAGTCCAGTATGGAAATTTGCATTAATTTTGCTTCTTAAACAGGAATCTTTTCAAAGATGAATTTGTTCTTCAAAACTCTCTTTTTTTTTTTTGCATGCTGTTGTCTGTTTCACATAAAAAGAAACAAAAGAATATGCCTTGGTTGTTGTAATTTCTACATGTACTGACTTTTATGTAATGCATGGGATTTGGCTTTTTCTATCCTCCTATGCATGATAAAGAATGTGCTAGATGTTGTGTATGTTTATGTGTATGGTACATTATAGATGCCAACAATCACCGAGATATAGATAACTCAGAAGAACCTAGGATAATCAAGGAGTTTCAGAAGTCGTCAATGTTAAGATCAGGGTCCAGGGAAGTACTCCAGAGTCTTGATGCCAGTGATCTCGCTCGAAGGCGAATGAGCAGTCCTGACAACGAAATGTCTCGACAGCTGGGTAAAAATGAGTCTGGAGATGAAGAAACTTTCCTAAAGGAACAGATCTCAGAAAGGGACATGCTGGAGAAAAATAATATCATGCATCAAAGTATGGTAGAACAAAGACTGAATGACAGTCTTATAAATGACAGTAGAGACCAGAATATTAGTTTCTCCAGACATCCAGGGGAAAGACAGGATTTAGACACCACTGCAAACTCCCTCAATGGACCTCAGTTTGTGGAGAATTCCAGAAGACCCAACAGTCAAAGAAATTCCATTGAAGGGTCCAACCTCAACAGAGTCAATAATCTGTTTATACAGAATGCTCCCATGAATGATAAAACTACCAACAGGAGTTTTGATGGACCTTTCCCCCAAACCAGCCAATCAGCTGAAAGACCCATCATAAATGATTACAGGTACAAAGCTGATGATGAAACTGAAAGTGAAACAGATGTCAAAAAGAGGCTGTCAACAGCTAGTTCTCAGGTATCCAGGAGGGAGGAGCCAGAGACACAGAGGCCCCACCCACAATCTGTCAATCAAAGACCAGGTACAGGGTGTGACTTGCACAACTTTTTTGACAGGAAAACATGTCTATTATAGTCATGACCATACATTCACAACAACTATTCACCTAAGAGTTATTACAGGTTATATGTTTACTAGGATACTTAATGCTCAAATTTGGGATCAGGGATTGGGTGTTTGGAAATATGCATGATTTTGTTGTACTGTATTGTGTTGTCAGTGAGACAACCACTCACCGGGTAATACGTTATGTGAGTCAGTGAGGTGTTGTGAATGCATGATATTATCTAGCTGAAATGATGTAAAAAATCATTTATAAAAGAAATTCACTTATTTACAATAACCACATATTTATATGCATGCTTTTAATGTTGTAAGCATTTCCCAATAGAAGTTATCCACATAATCCTATATATTTAGTAGTGTTTAACCAGATTTACATATACCTAATCTTCTTCTTCATGTGCAGAACAATACCAGTTTAGTGATAACTTGTTTTATTTATTATGATGATGTGTTTTAGATTTCGGTGGAAGGAAGGGAGGCAAGAAACCACAGCCAGGAATGATCCATACAGTTAAGGAGGACCCTGATATGCCAGACTCTCAAGTCATTGTAAGTAATGGATCAAATGCAGTAAATTATTGGGCTTACTAAATTGTTCAGAAAGTATGCAGAATCGGACTAGGTTTTTTGGGGTAAACATAATGTAAGAAAGTCTAAAATATATACATTCTGAATTTGTTAAACTTTTTGTCAGGTAGAACTTATGGCGTTTATGTTTATTCCTTGCAGGCAACTGCTGGACTCCCTGGTCTGAATAAGAAGTATCCGATTGGAGGAAGTCGAATCAGAATGAGCATTTCTGCAGGGGATCTCCTGGGGAAGACTGTATGTACCATTATAATGTTCTATTTAGAAATGTTCTATTTTTACTATGGCATAATGCAGATAATATCAATAAAAAACATCAATGTCCGGTACTTAAAAAAATTCTATCTATTAAATGAGTAACAATATCATGAGCTAATTATCAAGTGAAAATGAATGAAAAGTGAGAATATGCTTTACTGGCAGTTAAAATTTGTTTGTTTTTCACTGAGGTGTGTTTCTTGTAGCACGATGAGCTTGTTCTGATGCTGATACAGTTGAGGAGAGATCAGGCAGCTGAAGAAAATATCCGACATTTCCTCAGACAAAGACTGGACGAGAAACGACCTGCGGAACACAGATACAGGCAAATGTAAGCCCCACCCCCCAGAAATTTTCTGCGCATACAGAAAATAGCCTTTAAGAAAATTGAATAGAAATTTTGTGCACAAAGCTTGTTAACTTGGAACAACAGTTCATGTTAAATATGTCTACATGAGGAATTATGAAGAAATAAATCAGAGTTAATATTTGTTTTTTGAAAATAAGTGGATAAGTGGATAGTCGGAGATATCCAAATTTTTATTAAGTAAATAAAACTGAAATTTGCTTTCAAATTTTGTCGGGAGTATGAATGCATATATGTGATTTTTAGTAAAATTATTTGTACATTTATCTCTTATTTCTCTGTAGTGTTCAACAGTCAGGGGGTCCAGTGGATGCCCATTTAGAGGAGGAACACAACGACTACATGAGACTGAAATACCAACTCATAGACGTGGAAAAAGGGGTAGGTAACTTGCAGTTACTTTGTAAAGACCAAATAAAGGTGCAACTTTTGTCAGGGGAATTGATTCATTATTGTCTTCCTGGTTTCAGCTGGAGGTGTACAGACCACTGGTAAACTTGGTCCATAACATGGTCAACATGGGTAGTCTGTATGGAGGGGACAATTACATGATGGCCACTCAGTACAGAAAGGTCAGATTTTATAGGTCAAAAGAATTATGTGATTGACTGTAATGTTTCTACAGTGGGGAAATTTTAATGATGAAATGAAATTTACATTTGAGGTAAAGGTGAGGGAATTCTCTATTTTAATTGATAACAATTCTTTGAGAGAAAAGTTTATTAATATCTTCTACTCCAGCTCAAGTGAAATTTTAAGAAGATTAGAACGAAGTAGCTCATTTTAGCAATGATATTAAAATATTTGTTGTAACCATACTACATATTTAAGGAGTGATTTTGGAGTTTAGTGTGTTTTGTTTTCAGCATTTACTATCTCCTGAGGAGTACACCCCTCCCAAGAAAATGATAGAGTTTTCACGTAAGCACCAGGAGGAGGAGATGGTACAGAGTATGAAGGAAGAGATTCGACAGCTCAATCAGGACGAGGCAGACTTAGAGGTACGCCATCATACTGGTCACAGTGTTAAACTTCTTTATAATACCAGTCACAGTGTCTAACCTTTGTATTAACTCTCAAGAGCACCTGCTATTCAAAATTTTCATTACCTCACAAGCACCTGTCATTGAAAAATACCTGAATAAAACTTTGATGCTGATAAATTTTCATGAGTCTATGAACTTGTTGGAGCACTGTTGATGTCATCAATTGGAATGTTTTATCCACATTTTGTATTGTTATTGGCAAAGTTATCTGTATGACAGATTTTTAATCTGCTTTGACACTTTCCATTTCAGGAGAAATTGGAAAGATTGTATGAGCTTGATCGGCTGCTGCAGGAGCAATCGTACAAGGTCATCAGTTACCAGGAGGACAAGGTCAGTGTCTGATATTTACTGGGTCTGATACACTGATTTGTTAGCATAAATTGAAACATAACACATACATGTGTATACTTGAATCCCACAGGAATTACTAGAGAAAGCCCTGCATGGCATCCTGAGACAGCAGGACATGAGTCGTGATAACCCCCGTGACCTTGACAATCTTCTACATCAGCAGAGGACGATAGAGAAGGAACTGTCCAGGGTCATGCACTATCTGGCAGAGGCATCTAAGGTCAGTAGTCTCATAGCCTACCAGGAATGCAATGACCATCTCAAAAATCTGAATGCTAAGAATATTTCCCATGTTTATAAACAACTACAGAGTCATTACTGAGATTAATCTTTAATTATTGCAGGAGTTGGAGGAAACTACAGCAGAGAATAACAAAGTGGAGCATGAGGTGGCGTTGTTGAGGTCAAAAGTTCATGGTGACCTCAATCGCAGCAAGAGTGCCCCTTCACTGGTATGTTTTTTTTTATCTATCAATATCTGGCAAAAGAGCACTTACATCAATTAATCTAATGAGCACCTGCACGTAGGACTGATGGAAAATTTTAAAAAATGGGAAAATATGAAAATTTTCTGACCTTCGGTTAGTTTTGATTATAGTCAGCAGTAACCTTGATCAAAATTTTAGTTTTCTAACATATCATTTTATAACTATAGTCTAAAGAGAATTACTAAAATATTATTTTACAATTACAGTCTGAAGAAAATTACAAGAACAAGGTAAAGATGGAGAAGGACTTAGCCCGAGTCCAGGACATGATGGCCGGACTGACGGAACAGCAGGCCGAGTTATCTGAGGCCATGAAGAGATTCCGAAGATTATCATCGGGGGGAGGGATGGAAAACATGCTGGACAAACCCGAAAAAGGTCAGAGGAAATCACAGTGTTATGGCAAAATTATCACAAGGTCAGGGCAAAATCTTTACAATGTCACAGTGTTGGGAAAAATATTGATAAAATGGGACCAAAAATGATGGAATATTGCAAGAAGTGTACACAATATGGAAAACTTGATTTATATTTGCAAAGTGGGTTTATTTGGGGGGGGGGGGGATTGCAAATAAAAGGGAGAGAGTATTTAAGATTTTCATGTTTTTTTTTCAGAATCACCCAAGACAAATAGGAATAAATCTGTAGAGAAGTTACCCAGTACTTACCTGGAGACAGACTTAGATACTGGGGACTGTAAGGATTTGTCTCAGGTACAACAGGTGCTCCACAGTTATAACTCACTACCCCGGGGAGGCTTCCCCCCGGACGCCTCACCCACAGACGTAGGCAGATACGAAACCCTGGTCAGCCAAAATGTAAGATGATTTAAGATCAATAGCTATTTATCCTAAATACTTCTTAGATCATTCTCTCAAGTTTTTCTAGATTAATCTTTGATTTTTATTAAAATTTTTTACTTTTACAAAATGATGAAATACCTGTAGAGATTATTTAGTGCTTTGTTTATTGAATTTTGACAAAAATTACACGTATTTTAAATCTAATATGTTGTATGAACATGCATTTATTGTTAAAAGATAAAGCCAAAAAAATGTGTATTTTAATCAAACATAATAATTTTTGTCCTACAGAATGTGTCCCTAGAGAGCTCCTCTATTTCCCCTGGAGGAGGTCCAGTGGCACCAATGGAAAACTCAGAGGGACAGTGGGACATTTCAGAGGCTGATGACAATACCAAGCGCTTCTTTGGTATGTGGTAGATGGGGGTGAAAGCCATTTTTGGTGATAGCTAGTTAGTAGGGTAGTACACTGCACACAGCTGCACCATGGGAAATACAGTGCATTATGGGTGAAATAACTCGAAAAGTTTCTTAACAAGAAAATATTTTGTTTTACTCATATAAATTTTATATTTGAAAGCATTCATTAACATATTTATCTGCCAAGCCAGTACATATTCAGAAGAAATTATATGCCTCATAATTAAAAAAAAGTTGTATTAAAATTGTTTAGTATGCATGTATCAATATACTTTATAAAAAATGCATGAGTGAATATAAGAATGATCAATATAAAGTAAAAAAATCAGAGCAGGATTAGACGTGTGTATTCAGAGAGCTTTATACGAAATGGTAAGCTTGGCAGATTTTATGATTAGCAGGTTGTTTGATTTTTTTTCATTAATGGCATGAAGTTTTTGTTCTTTATCACATTTTGCCAAAAAGTTAATGCATCTTTGATATAAAAAGCTTTGACAATTGTTGGCTTTAATGTAATCAGATTTCAAATAAACAGTCTGCCCTGTCTCCCCCTTAATATGGTGTTTAGAGATACTGTAAACCAACTTTGATTCACGTGCGAGAAATATCTGCAAGTTTTGCGACCTACTTTAATTGGCAAATATTTAGCTCCGCAAACCATTTCTTTTGCTTTTTATTCATCAGTTGCAAAAATTTATTGTCGTGTATTGATTTCAAACTGACAAGTCGCGAAATAAAGATGACGCGAATAATAGTTGGTTTACAGTACTCGATTTTACTGAAAAGGGCAGACTGTTTTTCTTTTTATTGAGTTCTATGAATTTTTTTTTTTAATCTATAATCTCCATAACTTTAAACAGCATTTAGCACAACCATTATCAGAAAATGGGGAAAGCATTTCTGCTTCAACAGCTTGTAGTTTATAAGATGGGCATCAATCCTTGAATATCCTTGACACTTTGAATTTTCAGGTATTATACCCAAAGAGAAACCCAAAGTGTTAACTGTTAGAGATGTGAAGCGTCAATCGGAGCTCCGCAAAGAAAATCACAAAACTCGACGGGAGGATGTTAGTCCTGGTCAGTTCCGCTGTTGTCATGGTCACTTGCCATGGTGACCGCACTGTCTTTTTGTCTCACAAGGGGGGGGTGATAATGCTTTCACGATATTCTTTTAAGACTTTTTACAGATACATGTGTGATTTGCCATGAAATGCTAGCTTTGCAGAGTGAAAAATTTGATTGTCACATTATTTATATATTTCAGTAATATAGTCACATCAGATGGGTTACTATTATCTATAAAGATTATTTAAACTAAATACTGAAAAGAGCACGATTACACGGAATGTCTTTTTATTCCTTTTAAAAACTAATTTTTTTAACCTTCACTTTTAATTTTGTTCATTCCACCTATTAACATAGTTTATGTATTCTAATTTTATCTCCTTATATGTTTTAATTCTTTCCATTTGTGATATAAACAGAGCTTAAAAATTGTACACAAAATATGTGAGGTAAACCATTTAAAAAAATTATAAACAGAAAATTTAAATAACACATGTGTTCTTATAAAGATCAACACTGGTCTTAACTTTGCTGAAAATGTATAACCTCCATTATTTTTTTTAAAGAAAAAGGCTTTTAAGTGAAGTGAATGAAGATAGTCTACCTACATTGTGTTTTATTTTATTTTAACAGATCCATCTTGGACTTACAATGGACAAGGAGTTCAGGTAAGCTATCATCAATAAACAGCTGCAAAAAGACAAATTGCTGGTACTAATTTCAATGGTATTATGCATGTCTGCATTTATTTATAAATGTATTACACTATTCAGAATCATTGGTATGTCATGTTTTAGAATGAAGAGCCACCCTCCTCTGGTAGCCATGGTAACCACCCAGTGTACGAGAACCTGCCTCCGGTAAATTCCAGTAAACCCTGGTCCTCTGTGTTGCCTAGCAACTCCTCCTCTGCTCCGTCCTCTCGCCGCTCCTCCAGCCTCCATCTCATGGGGCCGCGACCTTTTGTACCCTTCCACTTGCAATCAAACACCCCCTCCCCTGTCACCCATGTGGAATCCCCTGTCACTGTCACCACCAACAGCAGCTCCTTCCATCAGCCAACAGATGGTGTTGTGAAGGCCACCAGAATCATCGTCCAGCCCCCATTTAATGACAACGAAACCAATGGTGATGGCGGGACAGCTCCAGTCGGGACCCGTGGCAGTACGGGAATGTTTAATGTGAAAAGGACACCTAAAGGCCGGTACATGACCATCTCTAGCAGTGAACCAGTCAAACTGGAAACCTCAATCATCCAACCCACCTCACCTAACACTGCGGCCGGGGATCTCATGACCAACAGAGTAAGTCTGCTGACTGACACACAGAATGGTAGAAAACAAAGGACAAAGCTGAGAGGCCCCATTACATTGATATTAGAATGCTAGTATATGTACATCCAATTTACTTTCAGATCAGCTTAGTCCACCTTTGCATGACTTTGCTTCTATCATCGTGCTTGTTTTAATATTTGCCTCTGAAAGTATTAAATGAGCTTTGAATAGCCTTTTATTGTATAGCTTAACTCATTAGCTATTGATTATAAAACTACTTTATTAAAGATGCATATGAGATAATTTGCTAACTTATTAGAATGGCTTTTTGATGATTTGGACATTACTGAGTTGGTGTGATTGTAGATGGACATGGTTCCGGACATTGTGAAGAGTTCCCAGAAAGCACCACACCAGCTGGACGAGGCAGCCATAGAACGAGAAATTGTAAGTGGGGTGGATCTTGTGGGGTGTGTAGGTGTTTGAACCTTTGAGTGGAGAAAGTTTAATATTAATAAACTGAAGGGAACAGACAGTCAAGGTGTTAAGTATCAATACTTTGGCTGAGAACTTATAAAACAAAATTTTGTCTGAGATTTTGGACCTTCACCTGGTATTGTCTGTTCTTGTTTGCACACCTTGACACAGATAAAGCATGCAGGTAATGAGTGTGTATCATCAAAATACATATTGTCAACATTGTAAACATCTAGTGTAAAAATTGTACCATGAGCATTATGCATCATATACATTTAAATATGTACATGTATTTAAACATTATGTTTTCATAACTTTAACTATGCATGCCTGTGGTTTGTTATGCATATATCATATATACTAGTATGCATTAATTCATTATAGCCAAACATACTCAAATGTTTTAAAATATGATGTTATTAGATAAAGATAATAAGTACATAACATTGAAAAAGGAAGGGGAGGGAGATCTTTATTTGTTTACCACAGACCCCTGATATTGACCAGAAAAACTGGTCAAGCTGTCTTGTACATTAATTGGATAGAATCACAGAGAGTTATGAAAACATAAGTCTGTTGCATGTGATTGAGTTGTGGACACTGCTTGTTTTTGTGTTAGTTGTACGTACCCAATAAAGTGGAAATCCCCGAGAGGTACATACCAGACTCAGATGATGAAAGCATCACAGAGGAGGAGAAAATCAAACGAGAGGAAAAAGCCGAGAAAATCAAACGACTACTGACCAAGTCCAGGTAAGTTAACACGACCGAGAAGAATCCAAATTATTTTGATTCTCTTGAAAACAAAACAGTGGAATCTGTTTTTGTAGATTTTTTTTTCTCTGTAACCTTTAAACAACTAAAATCATGCTGAAATGTTCTGAAAATTAGTTTTCACAGTACTATAACAGAATTGATGAATATTTTAAATCTTAAAGACAACCCTCTAAATATTTTGCTCCTTTTTGCAGTGTCCAGCACTCGCTTTCCCAGCCAGACGTAAGTCAAGTGGGGGAGATTCATCAGCAAGCCAAGGAACAGAAGATTAAAACTGCTCACCTCCTCGCGGTCAGCCAGGAGCTTGCTAAACAGGTCACTCTCAAATCCCGACAGGCAGCTGGTACGTGTCCCCATCCCTAACCCACAGCTTGATTCTCTCTGTACTTGGAAGCAAATTGCATGATATTTTGCCAAATATGTAATCTGCATTTTTTTTTTCTTTTCCATTTTCTTAAATTAATTTTTTTTTACATACTATGTGTACGTTAGATGTTCCCCCAAAACCAAGGTATTTAACTGAAATAGGGCTAGAATTTACCTTTTTTTATTTTACACACATGTTCCATGTTTGTACATGTATATTAAATGCTCTTATTGCTAACTGTAGTGGCATTACAACTGAATATTTTTGATATTTTGATTTATTAATAGGGTTGAAGAAAAAATTCCTTGTTGTATTTACTTATTTCCTTTTAGTTTTATTTTTATGGGTAATTTTTTTGGTGCATGTTCAACATTTAAGAATTTTTAGCAATTAATTTTCATTACTTATAATTATGAAATTTGTTATAGCATCTGCAAATAAATCACACGATGATCAGTATTTTTACAACAGGTAAGGTTGCCATGGTGATAGAGCAGTGAATTTGATTGGTTAATTAACACTGGTTGTTGCCTATTGACCAGGACAACTGATTTATCCTGTCTGAAATAATAAAAAAAAGAATTGTTCTCAACTTGGGGATAACAGGATTGATTTTTTTTCTTTTAAAATTGATCTCTAAATTAGATATTTGTGCACTTCTGTAGTTTCATTGGTACTGTATCAATGACTTTCTGAATTAAGACTTAGAGTTTTTACTTCCTTTATTGGATTATTTTGGGAAAAACTGAGAATTGATTAAAACTCCTCATTATTTCTTAACATTATCATTTTACACAGTGTGGATAATTACATTAGTGATAACGTCCTCCTTTACTGTGTAATCTGTATGTGTTTGAAGCTACGTAGTTTTGAATTTCTGATGTTTGTTTGGATTATTTATGTACCTCATTATCCATAGAAAATGTTCCTTGTTAAATGATCTCAGAAAAATGGATCTTTGAATGCATAAAAGCCAAGTTTAGTTGTGAAAACTTATTTTTTAAATTTAACTCATTGAATATTAATGATGTTTATGTTTAACTTAATAGCAAGATGTGTTAAAAATCAATTGGAATAGCATGAATTTTTAACATTGTTTGCCTGTTGAATCTGTTGTGGTTTCTTAAAGTTTATCTCTAAAAAGCATGAATCAAATTTAATCCAAGTATTATTGATTAAAGCATGATTCTAATTGATATTTATATTAAATATTAATCAAGTTATTTTTGTGTCTATGATACAACATGATACAGTATTTATTTCAATTTTGACAATAGATTGCAGTTATTATAATGGTATTCTGTATCATTTAAGTTTCAGATATACCTGTTTCAGATATACCTACGCCATTATTATGCTTTTGCTTACACTACATATATTTGTATGTTTGAAAAAAAATTCTGTACATGTACTGTCAATGAAGATATCAAGATATAATTTTTAAAATAATTGAAAAAACTTAAATTTCCAGAGAAAGCAAAATACTGAAATAATTCAAAAATTTATTTGCATTTGATAATACTCTTGCAAATTAATATTTTACACTCCTACAATTTATTCTTGTAGTTGAGAGAGCCAAGAGAAGAAAGACATGGTCTGGGTCCCCAAGTAAAGTCATTGGTCCAGTTCTGGACCCAGAAGACGTAGAGGTGGGACAGACCCTCGGGAGTTCCGACGACCTTCCCATGTATCACCGCAGACAAGGGAGCTCGGAGTACATAGCACCACACCACCGCCGACAGGAAAACATGTACATGTGATCAAATGTAACGAAGGTCTGGAAAAATCATAAAGCAGAATATACTGAACATTTAGTGATGTCTGGATTCTGAAACAATTTGTTTGAGATTTTAGAAGAATTTTAGATTTTTCATACTGATATTATGGCAAATTTGGAAGACCCATTTCATGTAAATTTTGTTTGAAATGAAACGTGTATTAAAGAACGATTGTTTAAAAACTTGATTAGTCTTTTTAAAAAGATAAAGACTTAAAAAACAATAATGTAATAATAAAAGATGATGTTCCCAGCAATAATTTACATATATCTGCCAATTATTTTTGCTCTGTGATAGAATTCAGTGTGTAAAGGATAACTCCTTTTTGATAAATATGTTCAATTGTTTTTTAATAGTATATTCCTACACTAACAGTGCTACTAAAATCAAATGGAGTGAGAATTTTTTTGTAAATTTAGATATATGTAGATTTAAACCAAGTGTCTGGTTGAACAGTATTAGCAAGCATTTCAGTGTATGTAGCATTCCTAATCAGAGAATCACTTTGGGTTAAGGTGTAATTGTAAGGAGCCCCAAGAGGCTGTCTCGAATTTGATATGGTCGTTTTTCTAAAACACAGTGTTCATGTTTTTTTTGTGTAAAGGAAATTTTGGAGCTGATGGTCAGAGTAAGAGAAAAATTTTTAAAAAGGACATTTACTGAGCCAAAGAAGTGTTTAAGAAGTTTAGTCTGTGTATTTGCTTATTGTAGCTTCTGCTTTGTGTTACATATATACTACCTCATAAGCAGCTATTTTATTGGAGATTATGTTTCAAAAAGAATTTATTCAATTTGTTTGTAATTTAAATATTGATTTTTATGTCTATGATTTCATGTTATAACATTGGTGCTGTTTGTTTATACAAAATTTCTAATAAGATTTTGTTGTCTTGTGTATTTTGCAAACTGAGGTTGTGTTGCCCAATTCCATTATAATTTAAACTTTTTTGTGAGAAGATACAATTTTTTCTGCAAATTATGAAGACTGGTTGTGTTGATCACATTCCATCGTATTTTTGATTTGTTTTTCCACAAGAAACTTGTCGACCATAAACATGTTTGAAACATATCTACCATAGATTTGCTTTTCTAAGTATATATAGTTATGTGCATTCCATAAAAATGGTATTTACTCTTTACAAGATATATGTACATGTATATGACTTTTTTTAAAGCTAGTATAGTCTTATATGAAAATTTACTAAATACTAATAATCTACAGTATCTCATTCAATTTGTATACAGATGTGGTTGTGAGTTTTTGATCTAAAAGTTTTACATCGATTATTTCATGTCATCTCCATTCCATTATTCGGTTCATTCATTGACCTAGTTGTTATGCTGCCACTACATGTACATGTACATGTACATGTCAGGTATAATTGACAATGCATTCTATCTGTCTGCTACGTGTATCTATTTTTTATTACTCTCTACATGTTTGGAAAAATTGCAAGTGGTTTATTATTACAGTATTTATAATGTAAATTGCTATTTACAAGAAAATATTAGTGTAAAAAGTAGTTCTATATAAAAGTAACGTTTGTGAAATTTACTAGCTAGCTCATTTTAAATATGAACCATTAATTGACATAACATTTTCCACAAGTACAGTATATACATGTAACATTGTAAGAAGGCCAGTTGTCTCTCTGATCTATCGAGGGTGCAGCCGCACTAATGAGTTGTTAGACAGCATGTGACATATTGTACAGCTTCATCTTATTTACATCATGATATTGTTTTCCTTGTTGCAATGATAGATTGAAACTTTATAATATTTTATAAATTCTATATTATAATATTATTTTTTCATTATATAAAAAATTAAATAAAATTTAAAAAATAGTAGGAAATATGTTGTCTTCTTTATGGGAATATAGAGTGGATTGGAAAAACTGATTTCATTCTTTGTTGTAGGAGTTGGAATGGGAAACTATGAATTTTGTCTTGAAACACAAACATTAAGTCTACACAACCTGAGGATAAATTTATGGCCTTGTTGTTCTTGTTGAGATTTTTAAAGATAGTATTTTTCCTACCTATATACATGCATATGAAAATTACTCAGTAGTTCCTTTATTGTGCCCTATCCCTGAGGGCCATCATTTACCAGGTAGACTAATCTAGATGAATCAAAAATACATGTACTTTGTCAAATTAACCTAAAAAATAAGACTAAACCAATGGCTTCATTCTTTTGAGGTTTTTCTTTAAAAATTGTTTGTTCCCCATTACAAGGCCCCACCCTGAATATATAAAATAAAAACAAAAGAAGATGGTGGCAGTAAGAAATTTCATATATTGTAAAAGTAACAAAATTGCATTAAATATATATACATGTATATTATTACAACATTGCACATAATTAATAATTCATAACAAAATATGTCAATAGCAGATCATTAATAACTATTGAGCACAGAAATCACAGTCTACTGCAGAATGTAATTTTTACTTTGAGGCTACACATGGAATGCATGATAATGAAACAGGATTATAACGGTAATAGGGATATTTACAGTGGTCCAATACATTATCAACAGTTATCAACATATACATTATTACATATAAAGCAATACTGAAGGGACTGAAGCATGATTTCATCTATATTTTCATGTATCATTTGTGAATTAATGGATAATTCCATAGGAAAATATGCAATAAATGGATGCAAATAATATGATCTTTTCCAATTTACAAATTGTCTGACCTATATTTGATTTATTGTGCAACTTTTCTCCATTTTTTTTTACCAGGTGTAAATGGGATTACAAAATACAATGTACCCATATATGTATCCGTACAGTTCCAGGAAATTGAAAAGGGGGGTCCCAACCAGTTTGGGTCAGGTAGGGGCCCACAAATAGATTTATTAAATTATATGTATATTTTGGACACAAAAGGGGGGCCTGGCCTGGCCATCCTCTAAATCCGACAGAGATAAAAATAAAGAAATAAAGCCGAGACTTTCATTAACATCTACTGTATATTGATACTCTATTGTATGACCAGGTTATCCCCCCCAAAGTTTTTCTCAACAATGTAGTAAAATTAAGTATTTACAAATTGTAAGTTTAACAGCAGGAGATACATGTTATACAGTAGCATGACTGCGCCAGATAGGACTATATATGCATTACTAATGTTTCAGAAATAAAGATTAAAAACAATATTAAACAGCAGCCTCAGATTTAATATTTAAAGAATTGATATGACTGGGGCTATGTAGGTAGATGGGTATAATGTTCTGGATTCTGGTTTGAGGGTCTATTATACAGTTATGTTTCCAAATAGTCATGTAAAAGTGATATGTGGCAAAACTGAGATTCAACATAACGTTAACTCTAATTATGTCCTACTCTATAAATTATTACAATCTGAACAATAATATTTAGCAAAATATCACAGATCGAATGTCTGAAATCTTCCCTCTTAATGATTTCAACAAAACTAATCTAAGATGCTTAAAGCAGTTCTTAATCAAATGACTACGCCTAATTTATTTTATGTACATGTACATGTATATTAAAAGCATTTTTAAATAAAGCCTTGTAATTCCAAAATGTCAGTCTAAACTACAATTGTAAGTATTGTTCCTGGATTTCCTAATATTACGCATCTAAAACTTAAAAGAAAATTTTTGATAAAAAGAAAAACAATAAAAACTGATTGTCTACAATAAAAAAAAAATGAATAAAATGTAAGTCACAGTAACCCATTAAAGCAAATCATATCAAATCATTAAAATTTACAATTATGTACATTATTTGCCAGTCATCTGAATTAATTCTCTGAATTATGGCTCAAATAAAGAATGCCTGAGCTACTCAACAATTTCATTAATTCCTCCTCCATGATTATGAATAGCTGCCTACTCCTGGCTCTACTGTTAAAAATCTAAAAATTAGCAACAATCAGTCTGGAGTGGTTTATATACAAGACTGTTACATAATCCTAATGCACTGATTTCTCGTAACAATATATACAGCTATACAGGTATATAATCAAGTTATCATTTGGGACTTAACTGTTTATCAATGTCTTAAAAGTATGAATGTTTAATTAAAACAGTAATTGACTTGGAAAATTCTCTTTCAGTTAAAATATTCCAGCCTTGTAAATTAAAAAAAAAATTTTTTTAAAGGAATATATGTACAGGCAATACATACAGTGTAAACATTTCTCTTGGGGGGGATAAACATCAAAGAAAATCTTGCACATTGACATTAGTTTCATTAAAATTAGTTTGAATATAATGACACTTATTTATTTAATGCTACATTTTTTTACTTCACAAATGAACTAGAAACATTTAAATTGCACTTATCTATTAAAGTATACATGTGTTACAAGAATCAAAATAGGACAAATAGAAGAAAAAACATGGTGAAATAATAAAATTATGGATCTGGAAATGGAACTTTGTAAGTTTGACAAGGTATAAAATTTAGATCAACACAACCCTAACAAACAGATAAACAAACTGTCAAGATAAATGATAAACATTGGCCATTTACAGATACTTATAGGGGGAGACATAAAGCTGATTTTTCTGAACATATATTATTCCAACAAGGATAATCTAGTTACAAAAGCATGCCAAAACAATCATTTTCATAGAATATTCCCTCCATGTGGACTTTGGATTATTATTATTATGTAATTATATTACTACATACATGTACATATCACATTCTAGGAATGTATACACTTGAAAAAACTATCACACTGCTAATGCCATTTCATTAGCTGTCAACTTTTGACTAACCCTGTAATTTTTTATCACAATTTTTGACACACCCTGTGGACATCTCATGTCATCAGCATTTTCAGTAGTCCTTTATTTTTCTTGGCCTTTTTATCCAAATTTTCTGCTCTTGCTTCAACTATTCTTTGATTAAACAGTTCTACAATATAAAAATACATGCCCATTTAACTCCATGAAAAGTTTCTCTCATACAAAAATATTAAAAGTTTATAATTATTGACATCAGATGTACATATGATATACCATATTCATATACTGTTACTTGTCTTTATCTAAAAAAAATTCTGTTAAATGTATTACATTTGGTTGTATATTATCTTTTTTTTGGTCTTTTGGTGGAAAGCTGTATACAATACATACCGGGAAAATAACATAGCTAAATGTCTTCATATATACAGTAAAGTCATGTACTTATTCATATCTATCACATTCAGAAATGCACTAAATCAGATCTATACTAACTTATTACTAAATGTCTACCTATAGTTTTGGATTTCTATGTCTACCTATAGTTTTGGATTTCTATGTCTACCTATAGTTTCGGATTTCTATGTCTACCTATAGTTTTGGATTTCTATGTCTACCTATAGTTTTGGATTTCTATGTCTATCTATAGTTTTGGATTTCTATGTCTATCTATAGTTTTGGATTTCTATGTCTATCTATAGTTTTGGATTTCTATGTCTACCTATAGTTTTGGATTTCTGTTTGGCTGATTTGTTTCTCTCTGTCTGCTCTGTGATGAAGACTTCAAACATCTGGGTCTCACAGAACCACTGCAGGAACTGAGCCATACTCTCCGTGGGGGAGTCCTGGATAAAGTGATCCTTCTATAACAACAAACAGGTAATCCATTAGAAAATACAAGTCTAAAAATACAAGTCTAATAACAAAAGTCAATAAATGACTTCTCTTTGTCCTAAACCCACAACTTATTAAAGTAAAACATATGCTTATAGCAAACACGCTCATGTAGTGAAGTGGTTTTCATTCCCCTTGGGTTTTGAACACTTTGTAAAACTAACGGATACAACAAATTACATATATAAAGAGGCAAAATACGCCTCCCAGGCACTTCATTAAAAGTATGTTTGACTGTTCACTTAATTACTCATTCCATCAACTGAACTTTTATTTCTCCCTGATAGGAAAAAGAACAAAGCCAAAAGTTTCCAAGACCTAAAAAATAAACTTGTGCATTTTACCTGAAAGACTTTTTTCCCGTCTTGTTGTGTGATGATGTGCTCTGCATAATGGCCAACTGCCTCCACGAACATCCGTAGAAAGGCCTCCGACATCATGAGATTGGACGCCATCTTTACGTCTGACAAAGACAGGTTTATTGTCATTTTAAATTACAATCTTCAGTATCATACAATTCAATTACTCTATATCCAAAATATGCATCTCAAATTTGTTTCAATCCCTAAATCTCTTCAAATACACTTTGGAATTAAAACTGTTTATTTCAAATTTTTATTTTTGTTATACATACAAAAATATTTAACAACCTAAAAGAAAATTTTAAAGGTTACCTGCGTCTACTTTACACATATTGAGGGCTGTTTTCAGGGCTTTGTATAGTTACCTGCGTCTACTTTACACATATTGAGGGCTGTTTTCAGGGCTTGCAATAGTTACCTGCGTCTACTTTACACATATTGAGGGCTGTTTTCAGGGCTTTGTATAGTTACCTGCGTCTACTTTACACATACTGAGGGCTGTTTTCAGGGCTTTGTATAGTTACCTGCGTCTACTTTACACATATTGAGGGCTGTTTTCAGGGCTTTGTATAGTTACCTGCGTCTACTTTACACATATTGAGGGCTGTTTTCAGGGCTTTGTATAGTTACCTGCGTCTACTTTACACATATTGAGGGCTGTTTTCAGGGCTTTGTATAGTTACCTGCGTCTACTTTACACATATTGAGGGCTGTTTTCAGGGCTTTGTATAGTTACCTGCGTCTACTTTACACATATTGAGGGCTGTTTTCAGGGCTTGCAATAGTTACCTGCGTCTACTTTACACATATTGAGGGCTGTTTTCAGGGCTTTGTATAGTTACCTGCGTCTACTTTACACATACTGAGGGCTGTTTTCAGGGCTTTGTATAGTTACCTGCGTCTACTTTACACATACTGAGTGCTGTTTTCAGGGCTTTGTATAGTTACCTGCGTCTACTTTACACATATTGAGGGCTGTTTTCAGGGCTTTGTATAGTTACCTGCGTCTACTTTACACATATTGAGGGCTGTTTTCAGGGCTTTGTATAGTTACCTGCGTCTACTTTACACATATTGAGGGCTGTTTTCAGGGCTTTGTATAGTTACCTGCGTCTACTTTACACATATTGAGGGCTGTTTTCAGGGCTTGCAATAGTTACCTGCGTCTACTTTACACATATTGAGGGCTGTTTTCAGGGCTTTGTATAGTTACCTGCGTCTACTTTACACATACTGAGGGCTGTTTTCAGGGCTTTGTATAGTTACCTGCGTCTACTTTACACATACTGAGTGCTGTTTTCAGGGCTTTGTATAGTTACCTGCGTCTACTTTACACATATTGAGGGCTGTTTTCAGGGCTTTGTATAGTTACCTGCGTCTACTTTACACATATTGAGGGCTGTTTTCAGGGCTTTGTATAGTTACCTGCGTCTACTTTACACATATTGAGGGCTGTTTTCAGGGCTTTGTATAGTTACCTGCGTCTACTTTACACATATTGAGGGCTGTTTTCAGAGCTTTGTGGATGTCTTTAGGTAAGATTGTTCCCTCATCTCCCTGAGATTTTAGCATCTGTTTCTTGTTCAGGTCAAATATTACAATCTGTAGGAGAAAAGCATGCTTCAAATTAACCGTCATGAATGCTTAATTTATTTATCTCTTTTTACAGATAAACAATTACATTCCATAGGTTAGTAATTTTGAAGAATCAGAAAGATTCACTAAAGATGAAGAATTTTCAGACAATCCCTGTCTAAAATTATTGCATGTCCAATGTAAAATAAAAATATCTAGCATGGTCATAACTTTTGTAAATGTAGCCAAGGGAATGTTGGCAATCTTGGATAAAAAAAAACATCAGCAAAAACAGGTAATACTATGAATAATAATGCCACAGCTGGGTAAATATGTCTGTAGGGTTTTGTTACTTTTTTTGATGCCTTTTGATTTACCTCTTTAAATGATTTCTGAAACAAGATACATGGATGTGGGAAAATTAAACCTTAATGTTCAAATGTTGCAAATCTAAAAAAATTTACAATATTACGCATATCAAGTACAGTGTATATCAAAACTTGTACCTTTTACTATAAACATGATGATAAATGCATGTCATGAACAGGTATTACAAAATCTGATTTAAAAAAAACATACTTATCTGATTAATCAAACACACATTCATACACTCAAACACATACTTTATTTCCTTATTGGATTAATTTACTGTAAATGTATTGCATGTATATTTAATAGCATGTACGATATTTGGCTGAAATTGGATGTTGAACAAAATAGCATGGATTTGATTTAGCGCATATCTTAACGTTCTTCTTTATAGATATATGTGCGAGACATTTAGCACTGTACTTGAATTAGCAGATATTGCTTTCCGCCAAAAACGCTAAAACGAATACATAGTCAAATGTAACATGTTTACAGTATCTACCTGCAGATTAAAAAAAAAATCAGATTTCAGGATACCCCCTGGTACTACAATTATGAAATACTGATATCTTCCAAATGAATATGACCATCATCAGTCTGTATAATGTAAAATACCTCACTAATGGGAAGTTTAAGTACATAAGGAAGGTGGGAAGACAGGATGCCGATGATGTAGGGGGTGGGTGAACACGTGACATCTAACATGGACTCCGGTAGTACGGGAATGTACGTGTGCTGCCACCTGAAGGGGTACAGCAGAGCCACCAAGGCATGGATTGTCTGAGACAAGATACTGAAAGTAAAAGGATATTTAGGAATCAGAGTGATTTGAATTTTGAACTTAATTCACAAACAACTTCTGTGGTAAATATTTCAAAGTCTATATGTTTAAAAATGGCAGGTAACCAGTATACCTGAGATTTTTGGCACAAAACAGAACACTTCTCTCCAGCAACATACAAGAGAACAGTTTTAGAAGCTTGTCTACTCCCAGCTTAGATAACAGGTACTCTCGATTCACCTGTACATGTACAATGTATTTCACTAAAAACCTTTAGATACATACCTGGTAAATAATTCTAGTAAAGCTTATAAAGATGCATGTAAAATATTTTCTGATTATTGTATATTGTTATATACATATTCGTAAATATATTTACAAAATCTTACATTATCTACTCTGAAGTCCTCAGGTCTGGATAACAAGATAGTGCCAGTATCCCAATTCTCATCCTGAAAGACAGCAAGAATTATACATACATTATATGAAAGATCCACTAGCTTTTACAATCACCTGAGAATCATGCAGATACATTTTAGTTACTTTTGGCAACATGTCGTCCTTTGTGGAGCTCTAACCACTGCACCACGCGGGCGACATGTTGCCAAAGTAGCTTCTTGACTACTACATGTACATATACACACCAGTGTCCGGACTTGCACTAGTTTCCCTGGCTCTGGTAGAGGTCTGCCAAACGCCGCAGACAGTAATTCCCTCGCCAGATCTAACGACTTATGTCGGCAATTCTCAGCAGCATCCAACAACTGTTTATAATAATGAATTAAATATGGCTTCAAATGACAAATAATATATAAACTTACATTAGCTTTTGTACAGTAAAACAATCTTGCAGTGAACATGCTTATCATAAAATGCTTAAAGCCATGTGATTTTCATTTCCCATCTTTTCAAAATGTGTAATGAACTCAATGGATATATAACAGAACAAAAATTGGTTATACCTGGAATTTTGTTTGTGCGTTTGACAGTAAATAGCCACTGACCTCATTATACATACTGAAGGCATTCACCGGGCTAACAATACAGATAACCTCAGGTAAACCACTCTTACTGCTGAAGGGCTATAACAAACACAGCATAAACATATTAAGGTTAATAGCTTATGTTGGAACCACATATACATGTACATGTATGTTTATTATATACCAGGTAGTAACAGTAAAGTAACTGTTGTAGGAGACAATAAACAAGTCTCAACTTACCACCATTCTTCTACAGTAACCATAGACTCTTTCTCCTTCTACATTTGTCAAGACGAACGAATAGGACTCACTACAAGAAGAAAAATTGCAGGCACTATAATACTTGTTATTGATGAATGATTATGTCATATGATGAGTCCTCATATGTGACCTTGACATTATTCCCTATGATCTTCACCTCACCTTGGAGCAGCAGCAGACGCAGACTTGGCATCAAACTCCTCGGCGTCAGGGAAACAGAATTCTGGGATTGTGGCGTTACTCTCCACCTGATAAAGATGTATCAAATGAAACTTTACTGTTTTACCTTTCAGATAATGTATGATAGATTGATATTTGTTCTTCCAACAGCATAAATCTGATACTTTTGATATGTGTGCATCTTTATACAAAATTGACATTTATATGAATATTGTATATCTTATTATAATTCTAGAAGTAAACATTAAGATAGCATATGTAGAAAAAAATATTCAATGCCTGTAACTTTGATACACATGGGAAGATATACATGTACTATTAGTATGCATGAAATGCTAAAAGTCTATATATGCATGTCCCTCCATTGATAAATCAGTTCACCTTTCATACTGTACATCCATACCCTCTGTTTAACAAAAGTTATCTATAGGGGTGGGGGTGGGGTGTTGAATGAGTAGGTAGATGAATACTTATGAGGTAAGTACAACCAAGTCTAAATGCACCAGTATAATTTCTTTCTTTGTTTTCAATTCTGATACTACTACATACAGAATACAAGAATTTTTTTTATATTATTATTCAACACTGAACATGTTTGGACTTCAAATACATCAAGAATTGGTGAAAACAAAATATCTTCAAACCAACAAACACTAGCAAAGTAAACAGGTGTAATAATAACTACCAACATAACTAAAATACAGATGGGAAACATAAAGTCCACTAGGTAAATTAAAGTAAGTTACAGGTTTATTATCAACAGAAATCTCAGTAAACAAAAATAAATTGAAATTATAATGAGTTGTTTCATTATACACTTTGATAATTAAAATCAACCACATACATTGCATGCCAGCAATAAATTCCATGTACAGTAACATTTATAAATCATTAATGAAATACAAATTGGGTAACTCCTAGAAAAACCAGACATGCTTGTTCCTTACTTACATGCATGTTTTGAGACTTACCCTAGGTCTACAGACTGACAGTCGGCCATTACTGTCAATCTGTAACTTTCCCTGATAGCCATACAAAGACAGGAAGACACATCATGACATTTATTTAACACTTTAAGTGTGGATATATAAACTACTGAAACACACATTGTGGTAATTCCCTAATATTTCACCCGTTATGCAAATTATCCCATGTTTCCCACTATCGTTGATGCCCTGGCATACTATAATAACTAGACAGTGATTCCTTAAATATTTAAGTGGGCACATTTTAGGTCAACTTGAAACAAATGTATATGTGCTCTAGTCTAACAGCTATTTCATCTTAGGGATTTTTTAGCTAATTATGCACCCAGATCGAAAGATTTGGGGCGCATATTGTTTTTTCTTGTTTGTCTGTTTGTCTGTCTGTTGTCAATTTAAACCTTCTTGACTTTGACCTGTACGCTAAAATAGCTTTTTTGAACTTTCATCTTGTTTTAAAGATTATCCGTAAGCATGTGCTAGTATTTGTAAACAATAACTGAATTTTCAAATTCCAAGGTAAGCTTTTTATATTGTGTCATTCCTTCTACAAGGAAGAAATAGCCTACCAGTACTTTGACTTGACTATTTGTAACTATAGTACAGTATGCTTACCAGATCTGGGAACTTGTAGATGATCTTAGGTTTGTAACTTGTTTGGGAGTCGTTGATGGGTTCTAGTCCAACAATAAGGCAGAAATCAAACATCTGATTGTACGTCTGGTTCTGGATTTCTCGTGCCTTACGTATACTCTTACTCTGAGGAAAAAGTCAGAAAAGTTTAATTGCTACATATGTTCTTAATACTGATAATAAAATATCAAGATGAATTTTATAAGTTTGCAATGAATGAAATCCATAACATCACCAAGTATTTTGCAGAAAATTTTACCGTATTTTTCCGAACTGTCCCACAGTGGGAAATTCTCTTCTTGATTTCACTTTCATCAACAAGGCTGTCGACATCTTTAGTTAAAAAGAAATACAAAATGATTTTAACACATGTTCTTCCATTCAACACATTCATTTTTTTCTAGCAACATCGTACAAGAATACATGTACAACAAACTAAGGACAAAGCCTGTCTGTGTTAGGCTGTGTAACTGACCAGAGCTATCACTTGTAGATTCCGTTCTGTGTTCTCCCTTCATCTGCCGGACAACGGCGAAAGCAATGTTGATCTTCATCTTCACCTGTTAATCAACGACAGCAAAAATATAAGTAAGTAATAGGCATATACATGGATTCAAAAGTAGGCTATCATACAGATAAAGCACCAGGACTTTAATCATGTCAATTTTTTTACTTTTAATAATTTAATGTATAATTTAATTTTTCTGTACAATGCTGACTGTATATAAGTATTTTCCACTAAAACTGTGTTTCTCATAATTTCCCTTTCACCAACAGCTGTGTGCAAGATATTTTTGAAAAATAAAAGGAAGAAGTTATTAAGAAATGATTGAATTAGGATATTTAGGGGCCTGTTCAACAGAGCGAAGGTTCATCAGTGCTCACTAAAATTCCTTATACCCCCAATACAAATGTTTGCGAATGCTCGCTCTGTCGAACAGGCCTCAGGCATCACAGAAGGTGAAAACAAAGATTTGACCAGGACTCAAACCCAGGACCACTGGTATACCCTGCTAGAAACTTAATCGACTGGTCACTGGGATCCCAGTACATGTATATTAATTTCTTATTCACAAAACCCAGGGATCAAGGTCTGGACACTTCAAAGTAATAATGCATTTAATGATATGCAGCTATTTTCAATACATATTTTTAACCACATTTGGACATGTAAATATACGTGTAATTTACATTTATAAGATTATCACAAATAATGTGTTTTTGTACATCTTCCAAAAATGTCTCCTTTGTAGAAATAATTTTTTTTTTATTTTGAAGTGAAATAAACAGTATACATATAACAATATGCAGTATGAGATGCTAAGGACACTTAGTCTATTACATACACCGATTAAGTGTGCAAGAAAAGACTAAGTTTATGTTTTGTGGAATGAGTACAACAAAGGCAGAATACATGTAGACTATAACAGCTAGATCTAATATTGTATGTGTGACCAACCTTCTCTGCATTGGACTATATATAAATAAAATAATCTAACGCTGAATATCAAACATACATACGCAAACTAATGAAAACTATATTATTAAACAAACAATTTCAAATAAAAAAAAAATTAAGTAACTCTGCTGTGTATTAATACATCTTATTTTGAAATATGTTTCATGTAGTTTCATGTAGAGTATGTGTTTCATTAAATATCACCATGAGTACTATTGATGAACTTATTTAAAGGAACACAAAGATATTTTATATTCTTCAGATTCATTTATTAATTAAATGGTTATCATTAAGATATGCATTTTAAACAAAGTAGGCCATAGTGCTCACCTGAATCCACAGCTAAAATATATACACGTAGTTATAATGTCCCTTGTATGATTTAAGTTATATTAAACAACCATACAGAAAAAATTATTTCATTTTAATCATTTTCCACATTTGGATGATACGTACCGGTATTTTGTTTGTATAGTTTTTCTAGGTCCTATTTAAAATTTCTTGACCATTTTTTGTCTGCATGTATTTTTAATTTAATTTAAACAGTGGATGTGGAATTAACTTTTACTGAGTATATTGTTAAAAAATATATCTTTTCATTTGAAACTCTGACCATGAAATAATGGCCAAATTACAGGTAATTTATTGACTTCTGATGAAATTCTCTGACTGCATCCTTTCTGTTCAATATTATAAATTGTAAATTTTGATTTGAAAGTCTCACATGTCACTAAGAGGAAGCAAAAAGAGCAATATATCAAGCAAAGCAAAGACAAACTTGTTTATCACAAAAATTAATGCTTTTAAATTAAAATTCAAATATTAGTAATTGTTAAAACAAAACAGCATGCAAACAAGTCACAAAAATATTATCAATCCCAAAGCAATCCATATAAAACTTTGCCTATAAAATTACATTAGGTTTGATTCTTACATTTTGCAGTTTTTTCCAGTTTTCCCTCGCTGATGCTCGCTTGGGTTTCATGGCTGGTTTCAGTTTCTTTAGCTGCTTCATGACTGCATGGCTTAGTGGACGACAAATCTGTTGATGAATGTGACAAAGGACAATTATGTTTACATGCATTAAAGATTGAACAATTATGTTTACATGCATTAAATATTAATACTTTTAATATATTTATAACATTTTAAACAAAGACAAGAAAACTAAAATTAATAAACATAAGAGTGATGCATACTAATTATTTGTGTTGTGTGACTTAATACACATATGAATGAAGTAAGCTCATGTTAAATTGATTATTTTTTCTTTTGAAGTTTTTATTATTAATTTTTATAGATTTATGTAAATTTTTTTAATACTGCAAGTGATTGACAATTTATCAATTCCCTGCCAAAAAGCTTTAAGAATATATAACAGTTGAAATCTGTTTTTAAATATTAACACTGGTACACTGCAAGCCAGTGCAAGGGCAGTACATGTACTGCACAAGGTACCTTCCGTAAATTGTGTCAAACCAGCAATCCTTTGGAGTTTGTTACCTGTATTTCTAAATGTCTGAATAGACTAAAAGTAGGTATTTAATGTAAATCAAGAGACAAGGTGTAATTATAGCTTGTTTGTTGCCTTGCCCGGTATAAAAAAAAGCTGTCAGTGGATGAATATAAGTTACAGGAAGCTCTGATTGAAAATAGATAAATCCAGGAAAAATTTGTAGCAAACTGAAAGCTAAGGAACAAAATAAACTAGCTTACCTATTGTACAGTCTTTATTATGACATTGTGCAAGGCTAATAGCTTTTTACATTTTAAGATTTTTATAATTATGATAATTAAATTACCAACATGTTCAATACTGGCCAGTGGGTCATTTAAAGTCAAGGATATCATGGATATAGCAAAACAATATTTTTTATCAAAATGATTGATATCATGTTTCCTCTAGATATACTTAAAACATTAACAAATCTGAGCATTACTGTACATAAATGCCACATGCACCTCCAATGAACATGTTTAATTCTGTTCATGAAAACAATGTAACATGTACAACATAAGTATATAATTATCATGATTATACAGTATGTCGTAATGTACATTTATCATGTCAAATTTAATTCCTGACCTTTGAACAATGTTGCTAATAATAATATCATGCGTATATATTTACAATAAGGACATTGGGTATGTATGTCCTTACAATACATGCTATATTCAAACATTCTCAAGGGAAAAACGAATGCAGAAATGTTTAATTCAAGAATCAAGAGCTTGATTGCATTGATCTATCATTCATTTTAAAATATTAAAAATTTCATCCTTACCCCTGCTGGCGATACATCAGTGTCCAGAGAAGCTGAGTTGCCTAGCCCCCGGTGTGTGGGGGTTCCAGTGGGCATGGCATACCCCTCACTATCCATGTATATCTCACTGTCATCTCGAGATTTCACAGTCAGTGCAGGATCACAATATACTGGGTTACCCATCAAACTGTCCATACTTAGACTGCGCTTTAGATTGGTTGAACCATGACTTGGGATAGATGTAACTGCGGGGGGAACTGGCAAGGGTAGATCCCAATGTTTAATGTTACTAATACTGAAATCACCCCCATTCACTTCTTCATACACTTTAAGACTAGGTGAGGACAGAGGTTTATGGGGTAAACTACTTTCTATCTCTGACGATTCTTTTTCTAGTCCTGCTACTGTCACTGGGCGTGCCCTGGGGGGAGGAGGTCTACTGGGGCGGGGCACCCTAATGTCAGGTTTGTTATTAGAATCTGTAACTGAAGGCTTCACAATTTTTCTATAGACTGGTTCATCAGGGACGTCATCATAAAGATGAAAGCCAGCTCCTTGTTTTTTCATTTGCAGGTATTCATCATGTGCCCCAGTTCTTGGGGGTTTCTTTGGTGGGGGTGGGGCAGTGGGCTGTCTAGCAGGGGAGCCTATCAATTTGCTCACTGGTCTGGTATCCCATGCATCACAATACTGCCTTCTCCCTTCTCCCTCTTCAGTGGAATCAGAATTTTTCTTCTTTTTAATAACCTCAGCATAAACAGGAACTTCTGGATCATCAACGCTTACACTGGGGGGACGGGAGCTTGGTTTGACCGGTGGAGCTGGTCGTGGGGGTGGGACACTTTTCACATTTGATGGAGTACCGGGTTCCCCTGCATTTTCCACTGATTCAAACATCTGTGTTCTTTTCTGTACAACACTTACAGGTCTACTAGGTTTATCATTCACATCTCCGATGCTACTCACAACAGGCCTTTTCTTTTCATCTGATGCTGAAAAGCTTGGCTTCTTTGAAATGGGAGGTTTTTCTTGATCATCTACTTTAAAACTTGGTTTCTTTGATATTGTTGGTTTCATAGTTAATTTATGTGGGCTTATTTCTCTTGCCTTGGGTTTTGGAGTGACATTCAAATTTTCTTCATTCCCTACTGCCTCAAATTTGTTCAATACTTTGGCCACTCTAGGTGAAGAACTGGGTAACACTGCTGTACTTTTGGGGCGTAGTTTTTCCTTGTTCATCATTGTCCGAACAGGTGAGTCTAGCACTGCAGTTGTGGGCCTTTGATGAACGGGACTATACTGTACCTGAGACTTTGGTCGCAGTTTAACATCATTTTCTGAACCTTGAGGACTCTCTCCCACTGATTCGAAGCGCTTGCGTATGTTCTCCAGCTGACCTGGGGGCAGTTGTCTTAAACTGGTGGTTGGGTTCTCCTCGGACATTCTTAAATCCCTTTAATCATAGAATGTTTTGTCCCACGACATCCTTAATTTTATTTACATCTGGTAAACAGTAGCAACTGTGTGGGACCTGTTGATTAAAAAGGGTAAACAATAATGAATGCATGTATCCTACAATTATAAATTATTTCAGTAGCTGACACTATCGCGTTAAATAAAATAAGAAAATATTTTTCATGCAAGAGATAACTGTCTAAGAAATACAGCCTAATTTCGCTTATCTTACTTTAACAGGTCACTTGGTCAAATGTTACATTTTTCGTTGATTTTTTTCACTGTTTATCATCCTCAACGACCGACTTCCGGTGTCAATAAAACTCAAAGAACAAAGCTTAATTTTTTCCGGAAATACAGGAAAAGTAACTGTCAAAATCTACCATTACCTTCCTTCATAGCTGTTTAAATATTTTCAATGAATTCAAGAATTGAGACAATTCATCCTTCTTTCTCGTCAACGTTACACTTAACTTTAGAGTCAAACAGGAAGCGTACAGGAAATGATCCATGCGGGCATCCTCAATGTGTAACGATCAGTATCAAGATATACACGCAATTTGAAGTGGGAAGTTTTAATAAAATGTTATGGAAATTTAGCAACCATATTAAAGCAGTATTAAGTAGCAAATATGTACTTCTGGTACTCGATGAAAATTGCACTTTTCTGGTTAAACTGAAAAATTGATTATCTCTCAAATCCAGCGTGGCAATGTATAGAGTGTATATAATCAGGGGCCTATATACTTACTAACTTAGTATAAAGGTTCCTGGTACAATATATATGGAATATATGGAGATACAACCAGTATTCAGACTCAAAAGTCCATTAAACTATACAAGTTTTGGTGCAGAGCAAATTGACACATCAGAGGTGCATGGGATCAGATGCCACGGACAAGTGAGCATCCCCGGCCTGCCGACAGGTCACACCCGTCGTGTGCTACCTGTCATGATCGGGAAAAAGTCCGTTTGCGTCTATTTGTCTGCAAAGACTATAACTTTCTCTATAACATTTTGATGAATGGAGATGTATGGCTTTAGTTCATATTTCACATGTGTGTTTTTTGTGACAAGGCTTTTCTATTTTATTTATTGACCTTGGATTTGCCCTACTTTTGGAAAAAATTACCAAACTTTCTTTAACGTGTGTATTCACCGGTATTTATAAGACCTTTTCCTTTGGGCCTTCTGACCTTGTCATTTGAAATTCTTATGAACGATGCAATTTAAACATTTACTTGGTCATAAATTAATTTTGAATGGTTAAAGCTAGAGATTTCTTACAAAACATGCATATTCCTTGTGACAGGACCTTATTGTCTTGGGTACCAACAATTTTCATCCGGGGCTTTGGTTTGAAAAACCGTGATTAAAAAAACATTGGCCATAACACTTGAGCGAATGGAGCTAGGGTTTGTTTTTTTTTTTTTAATTTCATTATGGTATATTCTTTGTGACAAATCCTTCAATTGGAGACTATTTTTTTTATAAACCTTTGACCCTTTGGGGTGTAATCTACATTAAAAAAAACTTTAAACTTTTGTCAATAACATTTGAACGGTTGATGCTATGCCGGTGTAACGTTGAATATTGACCCGGGTTGAAAATTGAATCGGGGGTCATTTTTCAACGTTGAATATTGAACCAGGGGTGTTTTTTCTCCGTTTAAAATTGAGACCAAAAGTCGTTGAATTTATACCATGGGTCATTTTTCAACAGCTTGATAATTTTTTTTCTTATCCCTGATGACCACAACAAGTCGAAAATTGACCCTGTTGAATATTAACCCCACCTCAGAGTTTGAACATTATTTGAACTTGGAGGTTGTTTTACGGGATTTATCAGTATCTCTATACTTATATTTCGGTTTCAATTTTTCCCTTTTCAAGACTAATAGAAATAAACCTATCATCCCGTGTATATATGTACAATTTGATCAGTGCACGATTTCAGTTATCTTTAAGCATGGCAAGTTAATTTCTTGATTACTAGTAATTGATTGATTTTATATTGTTTAACGTCCCTCTTGAGAATTTTTCACTCATTTGGAGACGTCACCGTATGCCGGTGATTTTTTGACAATACTTTCTAAAATCCATAGCATCCATAAATAACTACAAAACTATGAATAGGGCATAAACAAAAAACCTGAAAATCCGGTGTAAAAATAAAGACATCAATCAGCCAAACTTGTCCATGAAATTTATTAAGACCCTACGCTCTAAATCAAACTTCTAAAACAGGCATTCCTTTCTGTTGGAAATATAAGTATTCATTAATATATATATAGGAATATAGTAAAGAGTGTTCGGCAGTTTTTGTAATGGGTACTTGCCCTAAGGCCTGCCTCATCAGGGGTGCACCTTAGCAGTGTATTCTTGTAGTAAACATGATTTAAAATTATATCATAATCGCCTTTGCTTTTGACTTTGCTATATGCTTTAATATGGTTCCGAGGTAAATATTTCTTTGCATCTTGTGTCTGTTTTCGTTTCGTTCCAGTATTTTAAGGTGCGTTTTTTTAGTCCGTTGACTCTCGGATTACATTTTGTAACAATAACCAATTTATTTTGGGGTCTCAATTGGCCGTTACTTTTATTTATTCCAATTATTCCTGTGATAATAGGATCTATTTCTGTGTCAGAGTAGCCTCTTTTTGACAAGTGTTTCTTAAAGTCTTGTAGAATAATACTGTGTCTTTTGCATTTACCTTTAACGAAACCTTTGAATACCGCTGGGTTGTGAGAACTTTCTCTGTGTAGATATTGGAAATTGTTTGTTGGTTTTATGTAAGATCTAATATTAAGTTTGTTTGATTATTGAAATTTTCTTCTTTTATACACTTTTGTGTCTAAAAAAGTTTATTGAATCAACAGAGATTTCAAAGGTGAATTTTAAGTGCAGATGACACTGGTTGACAAGTTCAAAGAAACATTGAAATTGATGAAACCATCATCTCTAAATCTGCCATGAAACATGATTTTATTAGCAAATTGAAACATCCCAAAAAGGGGAGATCAACCCCCCCCCCCTTTCCATCCTCTACTTAACAAAATAAATATGTATTGTGGGGTTCGTTCTTGAACTGTTTGATTAACTATGCCAAAAAGATCACTAAACCTTTTATTTTGAAAAAAAAATCCGTTTCTCAAGTTGGGCATTATATGTTGTGCATATAACTAAATAAGCATTAAAACGAACGTGCATCATGCGTTAAACTCTCACCATTTCCAAAATACTAATATTACAAATTTTAAGATTGGAATAAATGAAGTGTTGTTAGCAAAAAGCAAATATAGATAAACAAATTTCTGAACTAAATTGTATATTGTGTAACTATGTATACTAATAGGATTTACTTATACTAATGATTTTTTTTAGATAAATATTACACGAAATATTGCGATTTTAAACTACAATTAACTTTAAAATCTAAGATATTTTTGCTAATATTTTATTCTAAGAATATAACTGAATTAAGTGTGTATTGATTACATTGGAGCAAATTGAAAGTGCGAGGGGGGGGGGGTAATTGAAAAAGAAATAAAATCAAATTTTAAAAATAATTGACAAAAAAGAAAAGAAAATTTGTCCATTGTCAAAACTAGTGGTCCAAACCCGAAAATCCTATTTTCTGTGTGTGTGTGTGTGTGTGTTTGTGTGTGAGGGTGTGTGTGTGTGTGTGTGTGTGTGTGTGTGTGTGTGTGTTTTAGAGGGAGGGTGTGTTTGTGTGTGTGTTAGGATCCGATTTCTTTTTTGATCAAACTCTACCACTTACTCTTCTTTCTTTGACTACACTGTAACGTGCCTGTTGAAAGGGGGGGGGCTAAACCAATATCACTTTGTTCAATGCCTATATTAATTATCTTTGCAAAAAAGTGGGTGGGGGGGGACTAAGCATCCCTACCCCCCCCCCCCCCACCCACATGGATTAAATCAAAGTTGTGAAAACCAAGTCATAAATAGGTGTTTTATGCTGTTGAATTTAGAAGAGGTTTCATGATCAAAATTCCACGACCCGACTCAGTTTTCAACGAACTAGGGTCTAAATTCAATATCTTAGGTCTCAGTATTCAACGTTGAAAAATGACCCCGGGTCAATTTTCAACCTGGATCAAAATTCAACGTCGCCCTGGGCTTTCGAATTTCTTAATTATGTGTATTTCATGTGATAAGTTCTGCTCTATAGGGTGCAAACAGTTTTAAAAATTCATCATTGACCTTGAAATTTGATGAACTTTTATAAAAGTTCAACCTTGGACATACCTTTTGAATGGCTGGGGCTATAGTTCTTTCATATATACATGTGTTTCACATAATTTATGTGAACATGTTTGTCTTGTGGCAATACCTTACCTTGGGCTCCAACAGACCCTCTTTTATTTATAAAAATAACATATATAAATTAACGTGTACAAGTAAAAAACGAAAACATTATGTACAGTGCCTCTGCTTTAATTTTTCCCTTTTCAAAATTTTATTTATCTATTTTATTAATTAATTAATTTATTTGTTTGTTTGTTTTTCAGGCTTTTAATTTGTGCCCCTCTCTTTTATTTGAATAACATATTCAAAAGTAAAAAAAAGAAAACATTACAGTGCCTTTACTTTTAGATTTGAATTAAACTTAAGTTAATTTTCCCTTTCAAAATTTAATATATACATATATATTTATTTATTTAATTAATCAATTAGTTTGTTTGTTTGATTGTTCGCTTGTTTATACATGTGTTTGTTCAGTCTTTTAGTTCTTTGAGCCCCCCCCCCCCCCCCCCACACACACACACACCAGGCGCGGATCCAGAAATTTTTCAAAGGGGGGTTGAAGTATTTTTCAAAAAGGGGGTTGAAGGCGAAAACAGTTAAATATAGTTAAATAACTCAATAGAATATTGATACAGGGTGAAGGATGGTTTTTGAAAGTGGAACGTGAATCAACCTGGGAAAAAGTACTTGTATACATTACCAGAAAGTTTTTGAAAAAGAAAGGAAAATAAATCTCCGAACCTGAAAATCCTATTTTGTAAAGGGATGGGGTTTTATTTTGTTTTTACAACCGAATTTCTTTATATATTACAACATTAGCCTTTCATCTTACATTTTCTATAGTAAAAACACAACCAAAAAATTGGAACTTTCTTATTTCTCTCTCTTTTTTGCAAATCCAAAGGGGGTGCAACCCCCGTAACCCCCCCCCCCCTGGATCCGCCACTGCACACACACTCACTTTCTAAAAGTTGCTTCGAGTTTGCAGAAGCAAATTGTCATTTTTTTGTCAGAAAAACAAGTCGAAAATATTTGTTAATTTTGATGAATTGTTTCGCCACACTTGAGAAGTAAATGTACACTTTAAATTATTCCGTCTTTCCGCAGGTTGTCCATGCTTTTATTACAATAATCTGACTTCCGGTCTCTTCATCCTGTGTAATCCAACATGGTGGGTGAAATGAATATTTACATTTTATATCGGCATTCATCGGGGAAGTAAAAAGGTTTCAAATTGAAATAAACTTACAGTCATCTAGATTAAATATCAGTTACCCAGTTTAGTTGTTTCAAGCTCCATAAAAATGAACAGAATCACATTTACGGCTAGTTTTACAAGATGTCACTACGATAGACAAACCTGTACACTGAAAAAAAAAGCATAAGTATTTGTTTACAATTAATACACATTTCCGAAAGTTGAAACCTTTCTAAATATCATTTTGAGTGTTTGGGTCTTTATTAAATCTTGAAGAATATATCTTAGTATTTAACTTGAGAAAGTTTTCCAGATTCTGAAGAAAATATTCGGTGATACTGCTGTACTTCTGAAAATGATCTAGCTGAACTGATGATAATTTTTTTTAATAACATGCAAATTTGGATATTTGCAAAGCACAATTAGAAAATATTTGTTGAGCATGGTTATACACTTAAGACTGAAATGCAATTAGATTCTCGAAGTTTAATGCAGAGGGTCTTGTTGTCTGTCATCGTGTGATTCAGATTGTTACAAAGGTTATCAAGCACATTGAAGCTTTCTGTACAGGTTAAAGGCGTATGGGTTATATGTATAAGCTCGTATATAAATTATGGAAAATCTGATATTTTGATTACTTTGCAAACATGACATTTTTTTCTGACAGTCAGTCACATCCCCTTTCTTAGTTAGAATAATCTAACTGTGTCTCGGTACAGGCCCTCACCACAGTTAGAATACGTCCCATATACTTGTAATGTAGCAAATCGGAGCGGATCCGCTCCGAAACGATTTTGAAGAATATAAAATTATTTGCACTGGGAATAACTACCAAAATAATCAAAACAAACCTTTTTGAGATTGCTTATGCCTTTTATCCCATAAAATAATCCATATAAATACGAAAATCCAATTAATTTTCTCAACGTTTTTCTCTCGATTCAAATTACTACATTCGGAACTCTCTAGATTGTTCCTAGTAAATGCACTATGCGAGTTATCGCCCGTGTTTCTTTCTGCTACATTACGAATACACGGAATGAATTCTAACGTTAAACCGGGTCCGTAGGACAATATCATTTTAACGATAGAACATTCTATCTACCCCTTTCTATGGTAGCCTGAATTGAGGAGGGGTAGGGGGGGGGGGGGAGGGATGTTAAATCCTGCTTATAATATTCTTACAAGAATAGTGTAAGAAGAAGTGTAAAACTGATGATTAGTCAGTGCAATGCATCTTTTCTTTAATTTTTCTCTCATTTTGTCCACAGACCACAAGAAACAAGAAGACAAGAAAGTTGAGGGGACATGTCAGCCACGGACATGGTCGTATAGGTAAACAGAATTACGATCTCCACTCTCCATAACGAAAAACCTAGTTTGTATACTTGGGTTTAGGTTTCAGCAGAGTATAGATAAGATAAGATAAGATAAGATAATTTTATTTCCAATTTTGGGCCCAGAAGGCATAAAGGTTTCTTACAATAACAAGATAGAAAGTTCTAAAAGAAAGGTTATAGTAAACATATACAAACATAAACACACATACACACACATGTAAATATCTGATATAATATTACAAGTAACTGGACATGTAGATGCAGCAGTTGGGGTTATCAAATTGTTAATTAACATGCCATCAAAATCAATATTATCAATATACATATACCAGTTTATAAATAAATATGTGTCTATAACATTATTTATGAAAACTCGTGGCATTATGCCTTATTTTGAAGGCTTTGACAAGATATTCACTTAGCTTTGTAATAATTAGATTATCTTCATTAGACATTAACCAGAGAAATTTGTCTCCTTTTGATAATAATATGAAATTTTTGTTTAGTAATGAGATATCACGGAAAAATTTATCTCTCTCCTCAGTATATAATGGGCATTCAGTAAGAAAATGGTATTCATCTTCTATATTGTTTTGGTTACACATTAAACATATTCTTTTGTTTCTATCTAAGGGGATTCTTTGACCAGCATTATTTTTTACAGATTCATATCTGCCTTTTTCAATTCTTAGGTCATGAGCACTTATTCTAAATCTGCAAATGGATTTTCTTATTTCATGAGATTTAATGTACATATATTTTTCCATTATAAAATTTTCTTTAAACCTAATTTAAGTATATTTAAGAAATGAATTTAATTTTTGAAGATTCATGAGGTTATGAACCACGACGCTTCACGCCAGCATATTTCTTGAAGCGCGTTAGCCCTTCATGATAAATATGCCGGCGTGAAGTGTTGTAGTTCATATACCTCATGAATCTTCAAAAAATTGAATTCATTTCTTATATTTCAGGGATCACTTTGGGCTGCGCCCTTGCGCCATTGACGCGGTAGTTTTCAGAATGGCGCATTAGATCTGTCAAAAGGGGTCATCTTGGCGCATCGTTTACTGACAGGGCGCATACAAAGTATATCTCAAGGGCCACTTCATTGTGATTATGTATACAGCTTAATGAAATAATTTCCTGGGTGAAAAAAAAATTATTTAAAAAAAAAAGATCGTTCGATCGTTCTTTTTTTCAGTCGGGTTCAACATTCCTTTTATGTACAGGGAAAACTTCCGAGAAAAATAAAACCGAGGAGTCTCGAATATTTAATTATTAACTTTAACGTAAAATGTTCGTACCTCTGCACGTAGCCACCGAAAATCTGTAAGCCAGATGTGAAATTTAGTAGTAAAATAACACTAAGCCTAAAATGTAAATTTAAAAAATCGTTTATTAACTTATACGAATGTAAACTGATCGCATTTCCAACTGCAGTAAAATACACATAATGGTACGAATTAATACATCAACATCAACATGCCGGCTAAGAAAATTAAAGGGCCTACGGACCCAAAACAACCACGTCTTTCCTTTTTATCAATGACCACAACAACACCAGAAAGTTCTACAAGCTCTGATGTTTCTAAAGTAACAGAAACGGATGTAACGGAACAACCTGAGCGCCACTTCCAGGGTAAGTGGCTTGCCCTACACCCATGGCTCGAGTACGACTCCGATAGCAATAAAATGTTTTGCAGAGAGTGCAAAAAATACGGAATGAACAACATCTTTACTTCAGGCACAAATAACTACCGAACTAGCACACTTGCTCGACACGTGGCAAGCAAAGATCACCAGACAGCAATACTTGCCCCAGAAGAACAAGGACACTTAAAGAAGTCTATAGAAAAAGCCCACAATAAGCAAGAAAAAGCAGTGATCGTCGCCATGAAAGCGGTTTATTGGCTGGCTAAAGAGGGGATAGCCTTATCTAAGTACTCAAGTTTTATCAGATTTTTGAAGGATTTAGGAGTTCCCGATATTGATGCCCTTGATGTAAACAAGCATGTGGATTACACCTCTTACAATACAGCTAACGACTTACTAAAATCCATGTCCAACGTCATAGACCAGGAAATTACTGATAAACTGCAAAAGTCACCAACAGTTACGATCATGACAGATGAAAGCACGGATATCGCTAATCATCACAAGCTGTGTATTTCAGCTCGTGTTGTTGATCCTATCAGTCTCCAGGTAAGTCTAAAAATTTTAATTTTAGTATCTTGGAAATAAACATAAACCTCTATAGACTATCGATAAATTGTGATTTTTTTTTGGTAGCCATCAACCTTTTTTCTCAGCGATGTCAGGATAACGAATGGGACAGGAAAGGGGATTTTTAATGCCATTAAAGAACACCTTGACAGTCGAGGAGTGGCAGTGAAGAAAGTTATGGGACTGGGTACTGATGGGGCTTCTACCATGACAGGTACTAAGGAGGGTTTGACGGGTCACTTCCTTCGTGAGAATCCCCACATGAAGAACAACCACTGTGCTGCACATCGACTTGCACTTTGCTCTGAACAGGCAGCTAAAGGTGTTCCTGGAATGGTTAAATTCCAGCAAAGCCTTGAGACTCTCTTTTATCACTTCAAAAAGTCTCCCACCAAAGCTGATAAACTTGAAGCAATCCAAAACCTGTTGAATGAGCCGTCTGTCAAATATCGTGAGGTCCATCAGGTATACTCATTTATGGTTCATGTTTTGTTTTAAACTTTTTAGTGGATAAAAGACTAATAAAAGACTAATTTTGCCAGCTATATCAAAATCTGACATCATGTCATTCATGTGCATATATGTTTTTTGATTTTAATAAAGATTAAATTTTTCTTTAGGTCAGATGGCTGAGTTTCTATGAAGCTCTTGACTCAGTATATAGAACCCTGGACTCTTTGTTGTCCTACTGCTCCTCAGACACTAAAGATCCCAAAGTTGTAGGTCTGAGGAAGAAAGTTGGAAGCGAGATATTCATCAGCTTAACATATGCCATGATGGATATTCTCCAGCCTATCATGAAGCTGAGTCTTGTGTTCCAGAAAAAAGACTTGGACCTTGGAGTTGTACAGGTAAATTTATCTAATACTGAGATTAATATTTTGTGTATTCAATTTTTGTGGTGAATATCATTATGAAATGGAATCATAATTGTTTTGTTTTATTTTTCTTCAACAGGAACAATAGGTAAATTGAATTTTCCTCCCCACAATGCTCATATATTTTTGTACACCTAGTCAAACTATTTTTCACTAGCCTAGCATGTATTAATTGGTGTATGGTTTTATGTCTGTAGATAGATGTTGTGAATTTTAAAAAATGGATCTGCTAACTGCACTAAATTGCTCTATACGCTTACTGCTATACTACTATTTTTGCTAGCAACAGCTTTTCATCACTGTACTACACATGTGTATTTTACTAACCTTGTCTAAGGTATCTGGTAATGCATGATCTTACCACCTTTTTCATTGTGTATTGATTCAGTGTCTCATAAATTTCTTAAACATTTTTAATTAGTATCAAAACTTGAAGCTACAAGCATATCATATCAGTTACTATAGGTAAATTACAATTAAGTTCTACAATTACAAATATTTCAGATTTCTATCGATGAATGCATTCAAAGTCTTACTCATATCAAGACATGCCATAACTCCCTGGAAAAGCCCACCTATCTTCAAAGGTTACCCATAGATTTGAATGATGGATGCTTCAAGGGGCACCATTCAGTATCTAAACTGCACTGTGAGACAGAGTTCACAGGAGTGAAAAACAAGTTCATTGATGCAGTTATTGGGAACATTAAACAAAGGTGAAAGTGCATTACAATAAAAATTGAGTGAATGGGAATTTTATTTATTATGGTAATTTCTTGTAAATATCATTAATAACTAGGAAGACTTTTCGTTTTTTATATAGGTTTCCGGAAACAGATTTCCTTTGTTATTTTTCTTTTCTGGCTTTGAGACCTGTAACATTTCTCGATGATAATGGATTGGCTGACTGGGGGAACTCAGAAATAAAGAGCCTTGCTGAGTTTTATGGCACTGAGCAGTCGCACAGTTTCAAGGATCCTGAAACTAATTTGCAGAAAACAGTTATCTCTGAGCCACTCATTGACAAAGAAGAAACAATGGTATCTATAATTATATAATAATATGATAATTAAAGTAAAATAATATCACACTGTAACTCAATGCATTAATAGTTGGAGAGTGTTATTTGCATGTGCATTGATTTTCAATATTTCAGACGGAATGGTTGACTCTGAAGAAAATAGTTAAAGCCCAGCAGTATCCCAGACCTTCCATGGCTTCACTATGGTCCCTCATATGCCAATATCATTCGGAGCAGTTCCCCAACTTGAGAAGATTAGCTGCCATAGCTCTTGGCCACCCTATCCATACAGCAGACTGCGAACGCTCTTTCAGTTCACAAAATCTTGTTACCACTAAGTTGAGATGTCGCCTTTCGGGTGAACATATTGACGAGCTTATGCGAGTCATGTTGGAGGGACCATCCCTTCAAAATTTTGATTTTGCTTCAGCCTTAACTGACTGGAGAAATGCTAAATGCAGAATCATTTTCAACAAATAAATTTCATGAATGATACCCTCTAAAATGTTTTTATTTACAGTTTAAAACACCCCAAAGCCTATCACCATGAAAATCCAGAGTGATCCCTGCTGAGATGAAATTTAATAAAAAAAAAAAACTTCTTTTATATTTATATTATTCATTTTATTTAAAAAAAAACTCAAATTGGTTGTGTCAGAAATGCATTTAAAAACCCTCAAAGACCCATCAAATTTACTTGAAATTCATCACAAAATAGCATGGAAAATCAATTTTTCACGGGGGGCTTCGCCCCCCTGGACCCCCTACCGGGGCGTTGCCCCTGGACCCCAATGGGGGCCTAACGCGGCCCCCATACCCCCGGCGGATGACCCATGGATTTTAATGTTGATGGGCCATTGGCCCATCAACATTAAAATCCAGAGTGATCCCTGTATTTACATTATTGTTCTGATGACTTGCCATAAATTTACGCCGTTCAACTGTCATTTTTAAAACAAAACAGTGTGCATTATATTTTTTGACTTTTTGACGTCAAGAGCGGTATTATGATGTAACAATGGAGATATTCATGCTTATTTGTGATACAACCCTAATGTAGTTCATGAGAAAATATACTGCATTTTATTTTGTAAAGAATCAGGGGAAATTTATTGGAAATGTAAATATTTAAGAATATCTCTTCAAAATTAATGTAGAAATGGAGCATTGTCTATTATGTCTATTGTGTATCATATTTATTTGTTGTTCCTAGGAAAACACAGGAAGCACCCTGGTGGTCGTGGTAACGCTGGAGGTCAGCATCACCACAGAATTAACTATGACAAATAGTAAGTTGCCAAATTTGAAACATAGTAAAGTTACCATATATTGATCAGGGAATTAACTGCCACATAAGTAACCCAATATCAGCAGCAGAATTAACTATGAAAAATTTCATGTTGTATCCACTATTAATCACAAAATTGTCGCCTGTGTGGTGCAGTGGTTAGAGCATCTGCTCTAGACTAGAGTCGCGAAGTAAGGAGTTGATCCTTACGTTGCGGTTTCGAGTCGCAGTAGGTGCTGGCACGACAAAGATATCTCACTGCTCAATGGCCCTGAGTGCTGAGTATAGGACAAAATTTGCAGCTCTCAACCGCAAGTGGTGTTGTCTCCATATGAGTGAAAAATTCTTGAGAGGGACTTAAAACAATATACAATCAATTAATCACAAAATTAATCATGACAAGTAGTAAATGACTTATAATATTGAAATGATAGCACTGAGACAGAGATTCACATTGACATACTTTGAACAGAAATATATTATCTAACATAAGAGTATTTTAACATGTCTTTGAGCAGTGTGTTTTTGTCCAACCAAATTTAATGTTTATAAAGAGTGTTGAATGTTTGATGGAAAATAAAGTGACTTCAAAACTTGAAATTCTTTACAGCCATCCAGGTTACTTTGGTAAAGTTGGTATGAGGTACTTCCACAAGACTCTTAACAAGTTCTTCTGCCCGTCAGTTAATGTGGACAAACTGTGGTCACTGGTGTCCGATAAGACCCGGGAGACATACAAAGATAACAAAGACAAGGCTCCGGTCATCGATGTAGTCCGAGCTGTAAGTTATATATCTAATGAAATCTTTTTACCCAGTCTAAGTATACTGGAATATTGCATGGCATTTGGTTCAAGACAAAGACCTCTGATATCAAATATGATATCCAAAACTGAAAGATAGGCCATCTTTAAAAAATTATTTGTTTGCTCTCTCAAAACCTACTGGCTAAAAATGGACTGATTCAAAACTTTTTTCATCTTCAGGAAGCTACAATTTTTTTTTTTTTTTTTTTTACATATTCTGGAAAATAGATTTTAAAAATTAAGCATTGAAGTAAAAAAATTCTAAGGAAATTTTTTTTCTCATCTACCCACAGACCCAAGTTTTTTCATCCTGAATCAGATGAGGGAAAACAAACATTTTAAAGTTGACCTTATATAAAACATTTTTCTTTAATAAAGTCTATTACTAAATGATAGTGATAGAGTAAAAAAAACACAAATGAAAAAGTAGCAAGTGTCCTTCAATTAGAGTTGCTGTAGACAATCATATTAATTTTTTTGAAACCCTCTAGTACTTTGCATTGTATACAATTGCTGCTGTGATTATATCATAAAAGTGTTTTACTATAGGCCTAATAAGATCAACTTTCCTGTCACTACAAATTAATACAAATGTAGTCAGTACAGGTACATGTAAAAAAAAAAATCAGGTTGAGACAACCTGTCTTAACAAATCTCATTTAGGGCTCTTTAGGCTTCTTCAGCCAAGGAGAATATATTATTGTATGTAGAACTCAGTGTATGTGTTAATATAAAAAAAAAAACATAACTAGCAATTGAATTTGCAAGTTTTTAGCTCACCTGAGCCGAAGGCTCAAGTGAGCCTTTCTGATCACATTTTGTCCGTCGTCCGTCCGTCTGTCTGTCTGTCCGTCTGTAAACTTTTCACATTTTCGACTTCTTCTCAAGAACCACTGGGCCAATTTTGACCAAACTTGGTACAAAGCATCCTTGGGTGAAGGGGAATTTAAATTGTTAAAATTAAGGGACATATCCCCTCGCAAGGGGAGATAATCAAGAAAAGGCAAAAATAGGGTTGGGTCATTAAAAAATCTTCTTCTCAAGAACCACTGGGCCAGTAAAACTGAATCTTATGTGGAAGCATCTTGGGGTAGTGTAGATTCTAAATTGTTCAAATCATGACCCCCGGGGGAAGGGCGGGGCCACAATGGGGAATCAAAGTTTTAGATAGAAATATATAGGAAAAATCTTTGAAAATCTTCTTCTCAAGAACCACTGGGCCAGAAAAGCTGAAACTTATGTGGAAGCATTCTGGTATAGTGTAGATTCTAAATTGTTCAAATCATGACCCCCGGGGGAAGGGCGGGGCCACAATTGGGAATCAAAGTTTTACATAGAAATATATAGGAAAAATCTGTGAAAATCTTCTTCTCAAGAACCACTGGGCCAGAAAAGCTGAAACTTATGTGGAAGCATCCTGGTATAATGTAGATTCTAAATTGTTCAAATCATGACCCCCGGGGGAAGGGCGGGGCCACAATGGGGAATCAAAGTTTTAGATAGAAATATATAGGAAAAATCTGTGAAAATCTTCTTCTCAAGAACCACTGGGCCAGAAAAGCTGAAACTTATGTGGAAGCATCCTGGTATAGTGTAGATTCTAAATTGTTCAAATCATGACCCCCGGGGGAAGGGCGGGGCCACAATGGGGAATCAAAGTTTTACATAGAAATATATAGGAAAAATCTGTGAAAATCTTCTTCTCAAGAACCACTGGGCCAGAAAAGCTGAAACTTATGTGGAAGCATCCTGGTATAATGTAGATTCTAAATTGTTCAAATAATAACCCCCGGGGGAAGAGCGGGGCCACAATGGGGAATCAAAGTTTTAGATAGAAATATATAGGAAAAATCTTTGAAAATCTTCTTCTCAAGAACCACTGGGCCAGAAAAAGTGAAGCTTATGTGGAAGCATTCTGGGGTAGTGTAAATTCTAAATTGTAGGAATCATGACCCCCAGGGGAAGGGCGGGCCCATTATAGGGAATCAAAGTTTCACATAGAAATATATAGGAAAAATCTTTGAAAATCTTCTTCTCAGGAACCACTGGGCCAAAAAAGCTGAAACATATGTGCCCATGGAAGGATCATGGGGTAGTGTAGATTTCAAAATGTCTAAATTATGATCAGTGGGGTAGGGTGGGGATGCATTATGTATAACAAGGGGGAAATCTGGTAAAGAACAGAATGGTCAACGCTTCTCAGGTGAGCGATGTGGCCCATGGGCCTCTTGTTTATTTTTCATAACATAATGATGTTTTAATCCAACATTTCATAAAAAAATTACCTATTTGTGAAAATAATATTCAAGATTGAGCCTAGGTAACTGCAGAACTGAAGGCCTTTGGGCAAGAATATTTTGACTGATCAACCGATATGTGTGAAAAAAATTTTCCCAAAGAGCTACAGAGCTGCAGTGGAAACCTTGGCATACATGCAATATCCTCTAATTTACTGAATAATAGGTATGTGAATTTGTTGTCAGGGATACTACAAGGTTCTTGGGAAAGGTCATCTCCCCAAACAGCCAGTTATTGTAAAGGCACGGTTCTTCAGCCGATCAGCGGAACTGAAAATCAAGAAAGCAGGAGGATGCTGTGTTTTGACAGCATAAATTGTGTGTAAATGTGGTCAGCCTTTCATTATTAATAAAAGTAATGGAGGTAAATGTTTTTGCTTTTGTTTTGTTATTATCATTAATGTAGGACTCCTTTGTCCTCTGACAGCTTTTTTTTTGTTCAAAAAAAAAAAATGGGAATATTAAATCTCATTTGCCTATCTGTCCCTTTGCTTTTTTGTCTGAAATGAACACTAATGGAAAAAAGAGATTTCATAGAGCACATGTGCACTACCTGTAATAATACTTTATTAAGGTCTCTCCCTATGTGATACAATTGAAAAGTATTCCAAAAAAAATCCCTTTGGTTTAAGTCAGTTATCTATGGTTTCTTAGTGAATGATTAAGGCTCATACACCATGGAAGCATAGAAGGCTTTTAATATTGTAGTTTAATTTTTGTGTTTTCCCTAGAATAGATAGAAAATTACAAAGCGATGCATTGCATTTATTCATACTGACATTTTAAGATTGAGTCCTAGAGATTCATTCCATTTAGTCATATAGATGTTATAAGATTCAGTCCTAGTAGAGGTACATTCCATTTATTTACATGGATGTTATAAGATTCAGTCCTAGTAGAGGTACATTCCATTTATTTACATAGATGTTATAAGATTCAGTCCTACTTCCCGCTGGTCAATGACTTTGTACGGGAGGTTTAACTTCATGGATACATCTTTTTTACCCAGAATCTTCATCAGAATCTCTTGGTTGGAGTCTGCTGTTGAGGACTTGTGGAGTCGCTGCTCTCTGATCCGCTCAGTTAATGCCTCTTTCTGAATAAAAAATAAATTTTTCTGGGAATAATTTCATTTATACATGAAAGAGATAAAAAGTTTGGAAAGCAAATCCGTACTATCAAAAATATCATTGTCTCTAGTATGAGCAACCAAGGACATATCCATAACCCAAACCCTTACATTCCTCCCTCCTTAAATGTTTTCACCTTTGAAGAAACAAGCCAAATTCTATTTGCCCCCTGGTAGGACTTGCACCTGCAAATCCAGGGGGTTATGCCTACCGTTTCTCTCAATGATGTGTATTCCTTTTTGGTTGCTTCTAATTCTTCTTTGGATACTCTAAACAAATTCAGCAGGTCTTTCTTCCCTTCATTGTCTGAAATGTACAAATTTGATGGGGCTTTCAAGTGAAAAATTTATTTGATATACATCTTTGATTTTCTCAAAATAACTGCATTATGGGACTTAATACCAAAAACAAGATGGCCTTAGTACTGACACAAATCATGTCTGCTGTTCTTCAGAAGATCAAAAAATATTTTTTTCCTCTCATTTATTTTGACCTCAGCCTACATATTATTTGTAGCCTGTGTTAGTATTACTATCCATGGCTCTACTTTTCTTACATAATCCCATGTAAAACTGATCATTTATTGCCCCCCCCCCCCAATGATTAAACAAATTTGAATCGACATTATGTTGGGGAGATTTCACATGAGTTTCATTTTCTGCTTTAGATTTCTAAAGGACCCCTTTCTATTTTTAATTGTTCTTGATATTACCCTTGAAGGGGGATCTGTCTATTCAATTGAACAGTTTTAAATTCATTGGACCCCAAAAATGCTCCTGCCAACTTTGTTTGGAATTGGCTTAGTGGAGAAATCTTGACAAAAATGGGTTATTAAGTTTACAGAGACTGGGCAAAGGTGATCAGAAAAGCTCATGTGAGCTTTTAGCTCAGGTGAACTAGACAATTGCAGACACCAACGATATTCAAAAAAAAAAAAAAAAAAAAAAACCAGAAACAAAACTGATGCTTTAACACCGTGCAATGTTTGGTTTACATGATTTAACGCAGCATATTAATTTATCTTTTTCCTTGGCATCATATAAATTCGTCTTTACGATTTATTTTTAAATAAGATAAACTTGAGCACACTATTCCATATTACAGGTTTTAGATCACTGATTAGCTTTGTCTCTTACCTATGGCACGCCAAATTCACAAAAATGAGATAAACATAGTTTCACAGTCGATAAACTAGGTTTATCGGTTGTAAACTATAGTTTACGGACTGTAAACTATAGTTAACAACGTTAATCTATATTTTACATCCGTAAACCATAGTTAACGCGATAATTTATGTTTCACAACCGTAAACTATACTTAACACTGAAAACAATCATTTGCTATTGCAAAACATAGATTATCTGATAAATACAGTTTCACGATTTGTAAACTATAGTTTACAAACCGTTAACTATAGTTAACGATCTGATCAATATAGTTTCACGATTTGTGAAACTATGATTAACAACTCTTAACTATAGTTTACGATCGTAAACTATAGTTTACAAACGTGAATCTACGTTTATCAACAAAATCTATTGTTAACGCTTATTACAAACAGATAAACTTAGATTATCATTCGTAAACTATAGTTAACAACCGTTAAATATAGTTTTACAGATGAAAACTATACTTAACGAATTGTTAACTATACTTAACGAATCGTTAACTATAGTTTACGGTTTGTAAACTATAGTTTACAGTGGATAAACCTAGTTTATCAAATGTGAAACTAGGTTTATCTCATTTTTGTGAATTTGGCGTGCCATACTTACCGTTAAACATTGGATTTCTCAGAAGGAAAGTTCGCTTCTTTTTCAGGGATCCAAACTCATTCAGGATCACTAGCATGTGATTGTTGTGTTTCTGCTCTAAAGATTCCCTGTAAAGCTAAATACAGACAGCGAAATTAACGCACATATATCTTGTAACTAACGCTTACACAGACGCACCCACAACATGAAAAAAAATGTTTGTTAAACACTCTCACCCCATGTGCAAAATTAATGCAAGACGATTTCCAAAGTAAAGAGACCAAAAATGTTGGTACCTAAAGAAACCTCATATCACAAGGAATACATCGTGAAATATGTAGGCCGTTCACCGACTGTTCAAAAGTTACGGTCAAGTTTTTTCAAAAGTATGTTAAACTTTAAAACTCAAGGTCAAAGGGTCAGAATTAATGGTGACGAAGGGAAAGACTTATCACAAGGAATAGACTTCTGAAATCTCCCTAATTCTAACTCAAAACTGTAGGTACGCAAGGTTCTTGTCACATAAGTAAAATACGAAAATCCTAGCACTTAAAAAGCAATGGCTAAGATTAAAGTTTTTCAAAATTGGGTCAAATTCCAAGGTCAAATGACAAACAGTAAAATGATTGATATCCAAGAGTTGGCCTACTAAAATGCATGTGAAATTATAAATATGAAATCTCTAGCATCAAGTTCAAAAGTAATGGCCAGTTTCAAGTTTTTTCAGAAATAGGTCAAACTCCAAAGGTCAAGATCAGAAGTTCAAACTGTTGGTACCTAAGATAGGGTCTTGCCACAAGAAATAAACCTGTAAAATATGAAAGCCCTAGCCTCAACTAAAAAGATATGGCCATTTTTTTCTTAATTCAAAATTAGGTCAAAGGATAAAATTTTGATATTCATGGGAAGATATTGTCAGAAGAAATTTAACTGAAATATGAAATCGCTAGCTGCAGAACTGCAGCGTTATGTTTTTATATCATAGTCTTTAACTATAACGCTACAGATCCCGTTATGATATACACTGCACATGTAAGCGAAAATGGCAGGCACGTAGCAACTGGGGGGGGGGGGGGGGGGGCTGGCCCCTCACTTTTTTTCCCAGCATTACCTTTACTATTGAAAATGTCCATTGAAAGGTTGGTTCCCCCCACTTTTAATCACAGTATAGTAATATCAAGGAAATTTAGTATTGTATGCAAAAAAATGGAAGTGAAAGGAAGTTGGCCTTGAAAAAATGTTGGTCTATATGTTTCTATGTAAAATTTTGATTCCCCATTGTGACCCCGCCCCTACCCCCGGAGGTCATGATTTTAATAATAACTGACAATATAAGATACTAATTACCTTCTAAAGAACTATCAAACTTTTACATCGCCGAGATCGTGCGTTTTTACAGTTGTCTAACAAAAAGTACCATGTAGGTCACAATGATTTATTCTTGGAATTTCATTGCTTTTAGTTACTTTCAAATAGACTTGGAAAGGTTTAATAAAAAAAAAAATCGAAGGTAAAAATTTCGTTATTTAAAGTAAATCTTGTGCATGTTGATCAAAAGAAATTATAAAATATTTATTATTCATTAAATGAACTCATTATATATAATTTGGGTTTTGCAAAACTACCTTCGAATCATTATATGCCTCTTGGTCGTCGAAGTTTCGTTCAATGTAATCATTTACAGCAATCTTGGCGATAGCAAGCCTCTGTTCTAGTTGTTCTGAAAAAAAGAAAAAAAAACTAAATCAATATAAAGCATGCAGTAAATAGTTTCTAATAGTTTATATCGTTAGTTTCCCCGTATTTTACATGAATTTTTCAACATGGAACAAGATGGTGTCACATCAGGTTATTTGAATTATGTAATGTACTTTTACAGAGCGTTGTGGGTCTCTGTTTCAGAGATAGTGTCAACTTTGGACATTTATTTCATGGTGAATTATCAGGTTTATTCTCTATTTTTGCCTGACGATTTTTAACTGTTATCTGTTGAGTAATCAGTGATATGTAATTTTCAGATGAAAATACAATAGCTAAAATCGCTTTCATGAAATTCTCAAAGTTTGGAAATCAGTGACAGCAATTTATTTATTATTATTTTTTTAATTTATTCTGGGAAGGGGGATAGTCTCTAAGAGAAAATTGCAAAGAAATGAATTAACATGTAAGTATACCCCCCCCCCCCAACCCACAAGTCGACACAGACACACTCCGTGGCCAATCAGAAAGTTGTTTATTCATATGGTACATATGCAACCTAGTTTCGGGATAACACTTGAGTAGCAATACAAAGAAAAAAAATTAAATATTCAATATATCTTATACTCTTCATTTTAAAATATCTGCTTTTTGTATTTATCCAATATTCAGTAAGTATAAGCAGATTATAAACTCCGGTTCAAAATTCGTGCACAGTTAAAACAGTAGGCAATTCACAATTTTTGAAATATATCCTCTCTTGATAAAGGAGATCGGTACATAAATTTTGAATATTTCTTCTTAGTTTATGCCTCTACCTAGGTTTTTATGAAAGGATGATGTAACCATCCAAATCCATTTGGATAGACACACAATATGTTTTTAAATACATGTATGTTATAGTTGCTTTTTGATTGGCCGAGGAGTGGGTCTATGGCGACTTGGTGATAAAACTTATATATAGACCAGGAAGGACATGCATTTGGGTTGTTAATTACATTAAACAAATCATTCCCCCCAAACAAAAGTATAAATCTGAAGTTGATCCTTATGTCTTGAAAGGATTTTGCCAGATCGTATTGTCTTAATTGAATGAAATTTGTATTGTACTTAAAGGCTATTTCACCAGTTGACAGCTGACTCAAGACAGATATATTATCAACAAAATAGATTATTTATAGGCAACGATTATTTTTCACCTTTCTGATATATTTGTAATTTGGGTAACGATCTCATAAATTTCACAAAATATGTCCTGTGTCAACAAATGACATTTCCTGCAGCTCTGAATTTTATATAATACCACCGACAACGACCATGATACGGTACATAAAAGTGGTATCATTAACCCCATCACCCACCTCGGTCCTCGCGGACAAATCCGGAAATGCTCGGAGCACCTCGGTCCTCGGCTAATTTCGTGTACTTTTCCAGTTCTGGCTTTTTCATTGACAAGAGGCGGAATTTGGAATCAGCTGGAAAAAATTAATGCTTAAAAGTTTTTATATCACAGTAAAGTACCGTTACATAAAAATAACAGTATGCATGAAAAATTAAGAAAATTAGACTACACAGAATCTATACATGGTACATGTATGTCCAAATGCTTATTGTAATCATGTGGAATACAATTTAAAAAAGAACAAGCTAATGCCGAGAATCTGTGTTCCCGGCTGTAGGAAAAATGAAGAGCTTGATTGGGGATCGGGCACTTTAAGAGGAGTGGGCGGGGCCATAGGAAATATTATGGTATAAAATTTCATTGCAAAAGCGTCTTGACATATCACCCGGACATGAAAGTCTTACACTTGAAAAATATAAATTTATATATGACCCCAACCTTTTGACCTAAAAACAAGAGGCCCAGGGGCTACAGCGCTCACCTGAGCACATCGGGCTTGAATTTACCCCCCCCCCCCTTCCAGGCGTTCATCATTTGAACAAACTAGAATCTACACTACCTGAGGATGATTCCATATAAATACCCCGGGTATCACTAATCATAGCTTTGAAGTACTTGAAAAGAAGATTTTAAAAGGTTTCCCTATATATCCCTATGTAAAACTTGGGTCGGACATTTTGGCCCCACCCTATCCCCAGGGCCGGGGGTCATGATTTGAAAAAAACTTGAGTCTACACTACCTGAGGATGGCTTTCCTATCAGTTTCATCTTTCCTGGCCCAGTGGTAATTGAGAAGGATTTTTAAAGATATTTCCTATATATTCCTATGTAAAACTTGGGTCAGCCATTTTGGCCCTATCCTTGTCCCGGGGGTCATGATTTGAACAATCTTCAATCTACACTACCTAAGGATGATTCCACATGAGTTTCATTTTTCCTAGCCCAGTGGTTCTGGAGAAGAAGATTTTTAAAGATTTTTCCTATATATTCCTATGTAAAACTTGGGTCGGCCATTTTGGCCCCATCCTTGCCCTAGGGGTCATGATTTGAACAAACTTGAATCTACACTACCTAAGGATGATTCCACATGAGTTTCATTTTTCCTGGCCTAGTGGTTCTGGAGAAGAAGATTTTTAAAGATTTTTCCTATATATTCCTATGTAAAACTTGGGTCGGCCATTTTGGCCCCATCCTTGCCCCGGGGGTCATGATTTGAACAAACTTGAATCTACACTACCTGAGGATGATTCCACATGAGTTTCATCTTTCCTGGCCCAGTGGTTCTGGAGAAGAAGATTTTTAAAGATTTTTCCTATATATTCCTATGTAAAACTTGGGTCGGCCATTTTGGCCCCACCCTTGCCCCGGGGGTCATGATTTGAACAAACTTGAATCTACACTACCTAAGGATGATTCCACATGAGTTTCATTTTTCCTAGCCCAGTGGTTCTGGAGAAGAAGATTTTTAAAGATTTTTCCTATATATTCCTATGTAAAACTTTCGGCCATTTTGGCCCCACCCTTGCCCCGGGGGTCATGATTTGAACAAACTTGAATCTACACTACCTGAGGATGCTTCCACATGAGTTTCATCTTTTTCTAGTGGTTCTGGAGAAGAAGATTTTTAAAGATTTTTCCTATATATTCCAGTGGTTCATTTTGGGAGAACAAAGAATCTACACTACCTGAGGATGATTCCAAGATCTTTCCTTTTTAAAGATTTTTAATGATTTTTCCTATATATTCCTATGTAAAACTAGGGTCGGCCATTTTGGCCCCACCCTTGCCCCGGGGGTCATGATTTGAACAAACTTGAATCTACACTACCTGAGGATGCTTCCACATGAGTTTCATCTTTCCTGGCCCAGCGGTTCTGGAGAAGAAGATTTTTAAAAAATCCCATTAATTTTTAACAAATTCATGATTATCTCCCCTTGGAAAAGGGCGTGGCCCTTCATTTGAACAAACTTGAATCCCCTTCACCCAAGGATACTTTGTGCCAAGTTTGGTTGAAATTGGCCCAGTGGTTCTTGAGAAGAAGATGAAAATGTGAAAAGTTAACGACAACAACGACAACGACGACGACAGACAACGGACAAATTTTGATCAGAAAAGCTCACTTTAGCCTTCGGCTCAGGTGAGCTAAAAAGGGGGTCATCCATTAGGCCTTGGGAGTTGTGATATTACATTGAAAAAGCTCTCGGGCTTCTCGAGAAAAAGTGTTAAAACAGTAAGAAATCATGTGTTGATGACCTTGATCTTTGGATCAATAGGGGACTTCTTAGGGCCCCGCGGAGTTATGTAAAATTTCATTGCAAAAGGCAAAAGGTTTCCCGAGATATCGTGTGGAAACGAAAGTGTTACAGATATAGAATATACAGACAGCTAGACGAACGGACAGACAGATAGACCGAAATTAAGTTCTACCACTGTCAGTGAAAGCGATGGACAAAAAAAATGTGAAATGCAAAAATTTTCTGGATCTGTCGCGGGGTAAGGTGTTGATCCTTGTGTGTATATGTCCTGGGTTCGAATCCCAAAGAGAGACATGGAAATCGGTCTTTCAGAAGGTACTCACTGTTAAAAGTGTCAACAGCAAGTCTAAAGCATTCCCCTATGGTCAATATTGGTGGTGTCTCAGTAGAAGTGAAGAATTTTGAATGGACGGAAGAAAAATGAGGTGCATTTTTGAGAATTTCATTTTGTTGTAAGAATTAGTTACATGTATAATGATTAAAATTATTCGTAATTCAAACCTTTATGATCAATTAGACTAAAATTTATTTGTATTAAAATGTGTAAAAAAAAAAAAAACATCTGTACAATCAAATAAATAGTATTCTATAAGAAATCTATATTGTACAGGACGACAATAATGGAATTTTGCTTCAATCGAAGCTTATAATAGTTCTTCCATCGCAAATACATGTATCAACAACAGACATTTATATACGCGCTTTTTTTCTAAAGTTACAGCTCATATTGCTTTAACAATATTTTTTTTCTATTTTTACATCCCTTTTAATTTTTCATCTTACCGACGTCTTCTTTCATCTTTCTCAACAACTCCTTCTTTCGTCGCAATGCGTCTTCCTCGACACGGAGACTTTCACTTACACGTCCCAGCAATTCGTCCACACCTCCAAACTGTTCTGCGATCATGTCTATCAAGTCCTCCGAGTACTGGAGTTTTTCTTTGCTGTACATTATATTTTTCCGTATAGACTGGTACAGGTTTTGAAGCGCATTGTTGCATTTTGTCAATTCCAGCAGACAATTTAACATTTGACCATAATCAGTCAAAATAGCTTGAGTACCTACAGTTTTGACTTTTGCTCCTCCAAATAAGCTTAAGAATTTTGACATTTTGTTTACACCATAGACCTAAATTTCATGTACCTTAGGTCTATGTTTTGACATCAAATAATTTGTTCCGTCATGACATCACAATGACTTTGACGTCACAATAAAATCATTGTGACGTCATTCACCTAGACCAGGGGACCCCTTATACCAAAAAAAAAAAAAAAAAAAAAAAAAAAGAAGAAGAAGAAAGAAAGAAGAAAAGCTTTAAATTAATTATACTTTCAATATCTTTTTAATTAAGGATCCTCTCTATACCAGTCAAAATGTTTTTACCCCCAGGAGAAATATTCTGACACAACACGGTATCAGTGGATAGAAATTACCGTTGTTTACTTCCATAGAGAAAATGCATGTAAATAACATGTTCAATTAATTTATCTTGGCCTTTTAAAATACTAAAAATATTTTAATTGATTACAAATTGAGTATACTGTAAATTATTTTTTTTTTTTTTGAATTTATAGATTTAAGGGCAGATCACTCTAACTGAAAATACCATTGAATCAGAACAGAGACATATAATATCTGTTATATATATATGTCTCTGGTCAGAACTATGTAGTGTTCAGCGTAGAGAGGGTTCTTAAGACTAAATTGAAATTGGTTTTAGTTTTTTTGGTAAGAATATAGAAAGTTATTTTTACAGAAGCAAATTTAAACAGAATCATTAGTTTTGTAAATTTTACAACAGTTGAGATTTTGGTCTTACGAACGAAATACTTTCTTAATGTTTGGGAATGGAGTTTACGTTTTTTTTTATTTTTTATTTTTTTTGGGGGGGGATTTTCAAGAAATTTCTTTTGACTTAAGGTGGAACCCCCCCAAAAAAACAGTGGTATGTGTGCGAGCGAGTTTGTCCCTTCTGCGCAACGGAATTTGTCCGGTTGCCTTGATTTATAGATACTCTTGGCGAGATGCTCCACTTTGCGGTGCCCTTGTTAAAATTCTGTTTTATTCTTCGGCTTCTTTTAATTTTGTAGTCCTGTGAATATTTTTAAAAGTATATGCCTATTTCAGTTCTTTAAAAAAGACAAACTATTTTTTAAAAAAACCCAAAAACATGTCTATGTATATCAAATTATAACCATTTCAATTGTTAAAAAAATATTTGGTAAAAAAAAAGAAACAGGGATAAAATTTATAATCCAATTATACTCAATTCTTACAATTTCAATTGTTAAAAAACCCTGGTCATTACCCCGGCTGACTACAGTGGGCCTATTAACCGTGTGAGCGGCTGTTACGCTGTACACATACAGCTGACTTTGTACATCTCGCCTCCCATCCCGCCAGCCATTCTCTGTCAAACTCATCCAGAAGCTTCTCTTGTTTAGTTGGTATATATCATATCTGAACATCACTTCCGAATTAACGTGTAGACAGAGGAGTATAGCTTAACGAAGGTAAGACATGGCTGATTTTGATGGAGTTCTTTCACCCCATTTTACATGTAAATCTGTGGATTCTTTTGAATATTGTTACATAAATTTACCGACTTTTGCTCGTTCTCTTCTTGGACAGTGAAAAAAAAATGCTTCGTCTTTTGAAAATGAAGAATGAAAAAGTTTTGTTCGTAGGTTAACCACTACCTAAAAGCCTTATTTTGTGGTGATTCATATTTTGTGTTCAGGTTTTAGTAATGAATACAGTTAGTAAATGAAATCTCTTTGATCAATTTTGATAAGAATCCCCAATCTTCACGAGGCAGTATGTTTTTGTAGAAGTTATTAGCTAAATATTGGTACATTATCGCCTGGCTCGATTACTTCAGGCCAGAAACAATCAACATAAGTCCACAGTTCATACCGAAAAATCTGAGGTATTGATATCGACCAATATTCAGTAAAAACAGGAAAAAAATCCTATTTAAAGAAACTCTCTTCCCCTGTCGGCGCTCTGTTATTGTTTGAGAAAGCTCATTACGTAACGTCTGGTAACTTTCGATTTGGAGATGTCTACGATTTCGTTATGGAACCACTACCTGCTGCGCGTGATGCTGAGCTAACACTTGACTAACAACGTTAGATTTGTGTGCTTTATGGCTGACCTCGACAGACTAACATCTGGATAGCCTCATAACGATAGTTACTATTTAATGTGTAATAGAAACACAGATTTGACCAAAGTGCCATAACATTTACTTTATGTTCCACCTTTTGATACTAAACAAGATCTGCACATTTATATTTTGGGGAAGAAAAGGGGGTCCAGACACACGAACTGTGTATATATATTGTTTATTTTATTATCCCCACGTTTATCTGCAGCAAATGCGTAATATTTCTCATCAAGATGAGGTAGCATTCCAAGAATGTTTATGGAACAGGAATTTTATTCTGTTGAAACATCCGCCAACGCCAAAATCACACCCACATAGCGAACCCGTAAAACAAGTCTTTATTATATAGTGCATCTTTATCTTGCTTTATTTATCGCCATCACCGGACTGGAATAAATGTTTCAGATCTAAACATGTTGCCCAGGATAAAGAAGTGAACTATTGTGGCCCCGAGTCTTGACAGCGACAAATGAAATATAGATTTTGTCAAACGTTACACTATCCAAATTTGACCAAGCGTGACGTTAGCATTGAAATTGTAGGTTTGATACGTCATTTTACGAGCCATGCACAATAAAATGTGTTTAAATACACTTTCACGAAAACATGCATAAACAATTGGAATCAAAAAGCTAACAGTGACTCGACTGTAAAATTCATAAAATTAAGGTAAGAATAAATGATCCATAAGATGTACTTTACGGTATATTACTGTCTAGATTTTGGAGTGAGAGAGAGAGAGAGAGAGAGAGAGAAGTCGAGTTCCGCTTTGGAAGAAGCCTACGATAAATAATGTTATAAGAGATGCTGAAAAGATAACGGAATCGTTTAAAACTGAGAAAGCTATTCGGATCGTTTTATCTCGCGCGTTCGCACGTGCACATAGAAGTAATAGGTTCAAGCCAGTGTACATAGTAAAGTTCTATTTTTGGAAAATCAACGAATACAGCAATTCATTTGAGAACTTTAGGAAAAGTATTTCTTTAATCTGATAATACCTGGAACAGGTGTGATTCAGGTGATTCATCGCTGGTCAGAGTTACAGGTAAATAAATGTACATCTTTGTAAGCAGTAAAAAACACGGACGGTGGGGAGTGGACCGTTAACTCATCCCGAGTGATAAGTGGAGGTACGATAAATATTCCATTCATTGCTAGGTCTACCTGGTGGTATGTAAGTATAGTCATCAATCATAAATCAACTATACCAAACAGAAATGACTTGTATAACGTGCTGGCTTAAAACTTTTTGGTTTGAAAGAAATTGCGCTCGGGGAGAAATATACCGTTTTCTATGCTTTTATTATTTCTGTGCAAGCTGGAATATTTCACGTTCAACAGTTTTATGTGTGATCGAGAAAGTATTTTATCGTGTAACACTGAAAAGTAATTTAAGTCAAACCAGTTCGGATTAAAATTCGGCAAAAACAAGCTCCTCTTGTGTTGTAATTGAATCGCACAAAGCAGCTATAATAATGTTTCTGAAGTTAAAAAGAACGAAATTAAAACTTTCTTTAGAGACAGGTAACCATTACTGACCATAACAATAAACAATGTGAATTATGTAGAGGCGAGAAAACCGTGAACTGGCCGAAGCGAAACCGGTAATTACAAGGCACAATTCGGTGGCTTTTTATAGTCAGTATAGACAGCCTTCATTGCACACAGTACGAGGAGAAATGAATTAGAAATATTGATTATTGAACCAGTGGCAAATAGAATAACGCTGAATATTATTGCTATTAACATCAACATGGCGAGCAAACTGAAGGAGCCAGATTGGGTGAGGTATGGGGGAGTGTAGACTGGGGAGGGCGTTCAAAGGACTAAATGACTTCACACAATCGATTTATATATGTACATGTATTTTCATCTTATTTCAGGTCTTTCAAAATGGCCCACAGGATTCCCATTCAGCAGGACGATCTAAGTTTCGAGGAACGACAGAGCAAAGTATGGGAGGATATGGAAAAAGATATGGAGAGGCGGCGGAAAGAGTGGGAGAATGAGATCGAGAGTATGAGGGGCGGATTCTTTAATCTTCGTCCGAGCAGCAACGGAAAGATGGAGGCCTTGACGGACAAACTGGGAGGCTCGGACGACGCTAAAACAGCTATCGAAAAAGATCAGTTCGGGAGACCGGTGTTTAGGGCTCGTTTTATTGTCAGTGACTATAAACCGGAGGAAGTCAATGTGAAAATGGATGCACATAAACTTATCGTCAACGCAAAGCACGAAGAAAAGGGCGGTCAACGATCGGTTTCTCGTGAGTACAGTCGCGAAATCAATATTCCAAACGAAATCGATCCCATGGCACTGCACTGCACTATTTCATCTGATGGTGTGCTTACTGCTGAGGCCCCCATGCCTGTACCTAATTACGCACCTATAACAGACAACAGCGGTACACAGAGGATGGTTCAGAACGTCAGCTCGACCGTGTCCAGTCCCCCTCCCCGGGGCACGCCACCACTGGGTATTCCAGTACAAAACGCACCACCAACAACACACACGTCCACCTTTACTACTTTCATGTCACCAAAGAGCGGCACTTCTTCCCCACCACAACAACAATATTCCGAAAGTACTCCACAATATCCCGGAAATCCACCACAACAATATCCCAGAAGTCCTCCACAATCTCAGTTTTCCAGTAGTGTACCACCACAACCGTACCCCGGGGGTCCTGGCACGGCCCATGTAACTAACACAAACAATCTTCAGCGTACTTACTCGGCTCCTCCCTCACACGTGACATCCTCATCAACCACATCTAAATATGAAACCCGTGGCGGTTCGCAATCTCCTGCAACAATGGACAGGGAGAAAAGGTATCGAGTGGAGATAGATATTGAGGATTTCAGTCCGGATGATTTAAACGTGAAAACATTAGACAAAAAACTATTGATCAGTGCCAGAAGAGAGGAGAGAATAGGCTCTCGCACCTCCACCAAGGAATTAAACCGAGAATTTACTCTACCCGACACAGTGGACCCCATGTCAATAAAAGCCTTTTTCTCGGATTCCGGAAAACTGCTGGTAGAAGCACCTTATATGAGATCCATAACAGTAGGGCATTTCGCCGAGGGACGGGAAGGAAGTCCCCATTTTGGAATGGGTTCCCCCTTCTCTGGCAGATGACTTTGAACATGCCCTAATTTCCATTTAGCATAATGAAAAGCCGTTCTAAATACAAAACTGTTGCAATACAGGCGGCAATATCATGCTCTTGTGTTCTTCGTTGAAATAAAAGCGGAATATGTGATTGGATCAGACATGCTGATACATGTATTATATAAACATATGTGACAAATATGCGTGTTAAATTATTACTCGATTTCATTTTGTTGAGGATTATATAGCAAAGATCGACATTAAGAAATAATTAACACAACATTTTGATACTAGTATTAATAACTAACAAAATATTAACTTTCAAATGCTAAAGACATCTGAAATTCATCGCTTCTTATTTACAAGGCAATGTAAAGTGTATAATTTTTGGGTTATATTAATAGCATTTTAAAAAATAAATATAGATCTTTCTATATGCATTATTTTTCTATTCATTACTTACGTATATCTACATGCTAAGAGCAGTACTAAAGTCGTGTACCTCGCTTTGGACAGGTATTTATTGTAATAAGTAACAGAATCTGACAGGTGCTCGTACAAAGATTAGGAACATTCCGTGTTATTGCCGTGTTGCTATAGCTTTTCATTCAGAGATATTCCTGGATATCTCCTCATCTGGTACCATGTAAATACGCCTTACTCCACATAAACACAACGAGAAACCACCCATCTCAAGGTAAGTATATCCACTGTGCATTGGTTTGGTTTTTCTTTGACCCAGATAAGATTGATCGTAAAGTTGCAGAGCAGGGTGAAGATGTTGAAACAGTTCTTTTTACAAAATGCCTCAGGGTTTAGTTTGGGGTCAAGGTTAAAATTTCGAAATGACATTGGGTCAAGGTCATAATACAGCTTCTATAAGTACTACTTAACTTTTCTCTCTTCTATTTCAACATTACGGATGAAAATGTACTTGGAATATTCCTTTCACTTGATTTTGTCCAATTATATGTTGGGCCAGGTCCATGTCACACCCTCTGACCATAACCTTTCATAGCACAAAGTATGAGACATCAGCATTTCTCTCAGATTTATAATGAAGTGCACAAGGATTTTTTCCGCTTTCCAATTTCCATGCTCGAGTCGGTTCGACCTTGACAAAGTGACCTCAATACAACTATTATACATTATCCCGCCATTAAGTGTATTTGTGCCAAGTATGAAGTCTCCACACTATTTATTCCAAAGGTTAAGCCCATCGTGGTACTCAGTATATGATGTTAATGGCTTGAATCAATATTAAATCATGTAGAATGGATATACGGCATTGCATACATTACAAATGACAATACATCACTATGAAATTCAGAGATCCGTATCACACCACAAAAATTACTCAGCGACATTGACTTTCAACCATAAAATACCATAAGATGATCGGCAACAATTCTCCAAGTTTATGTTTATTTCAGTGAATGATTTACATGTATGAAGGATATGGAGATACCGAACAGTATTCAATATCAAAGTCCATAAAACAATACAAAATAGGAGCAGAACAAACACGGACCTCTAAAACATCATAGGTTGGATCAGATGCCATGGAGGAGTGAGCATCCCCTGCTGACCGACTCCTTGTCATGATCGGGAAATAACGGAAAAATCCATAGTCAATTCAGTGCATGAATAACGGACTAACAATTATTATGAAAAACGTCAGTCAGCATTTGACTTAAATTGTATTTGCTGACAAGGTCATTGTATAGACCAATGGACTTACGAAATGATGACTTTAAACGAGATCGCTGATATTCTTGTGTCATCTACTTGTTTGTTAATAATTTACAACGTTTTATAAGTTATTCATACGTAGAACATGCTCTTGCGTATCGAATCAACTGAGACATATAAACTCCGTATGCAGGTGATGAAGGTATATTGCTGCATAAGTAAGGGAAGTTGACGATAGAAAAGTTAAAGTCATAATGTTTATCATAGAGCTTGGTTGTATGTAATAAATTTAGAGCTATGTTCTTAATTGAATTCGAACAGATATCATTGCTCATGAACTTGACCTGCAGGATTTGACCTTGAGTCAAGATCCGACAGGATATCAGCAACGTAAAAATTTCAAGTTCGAATTCATTCCAATCGGGGGTCACCACATAAACCTCTTGGCTGATGAGATATGAACTTGAGACAATATAATAATTTTGTGATCAAAAGGAACTAAAGTTTGAAACTACGAAACCTGTGACCTGGGCATAAATAATCTCACAAACAGACAGCATTCGAAGCCAGGACAATTTGTCTCCCCTCTGTTTGGAAGTTGTCATTTTCTTCCGTTTTTTGCAACTTGATAGATACTGTAGATTCGTATTTATACGCGAGGAGTTAATTTCCGCGTAATTTCGGGAGAAGCATCCCTCGCGAAAAAAATATGACTCACTTTTATTTTGATGGTGCTGAAATCTATGTAAATTCTGTTGATCAAACGTCCGTTCGCGAATTATAATTCTCGCCATTTGACGTTAAAGAGTCAGTTCGTGGAAAAAAGCACTCGCGAAAAATAAGGATTCTACAGTACTCGGAGAGCCGAAATAAGACATAATATTGGAATGGTTCATATAACTTATGTGTGTGTTAGGATCGAATCCTTGGTTTCGAGTTCCCTCAGAGAAGTTTAATCTGCAGGATATTTAAGTCCACGGGGACCGTCTCAAATTGCATTATATTTGCATTCGAATGCAAATCATTTGTTGATATTTCCAGACAATTAAAATATCGGGAGGGCATACCGTTCTCATGCGTCGATCTTTATAATCCTATAAATTCGTATAGATTCACCAGAAACGAATGAAAATTTACATTTTTCAGAAATGTTATGTGTACGTATAATAAATGCCGAAAAGCTATTTTTTAGACCTAAGATAGGGAATTGAGAACAAATTTCAGTTTTATTGATCAGTGTAGTTTGTGTTGTGGAACACGAAAAAAGTTTGTCTGCTAAGAATCAGAAGGTCTTGTTAATTAACATAACCAGAAGGATGATCTATAATCCACCGGAATTTGGTATTTTGTAGGAGTTATTGGATTATTTATAGAATATGGACCCAAGGGGCACCAATCCATCTTCCGATTCCAGACATTCATGCCGCGAAGACATCTTTAATCAACATCGATTGCAGTTTACTAGTATTTTGTTTGAAACATGAAAGTTTTGCATCTTGATAGGAATGCAAATGATGTTATCTTGGCTTTGTCCTTAAGACCTTTAGGAGGTTACTTAATAATGCTCTAATTTCTAGTGTTTCGTTGTTTAGGGATTTTGTCGATCCAGGGAACTGATGATCTAATTTGTAAAGATAAGATGGATAGCATTTTTGGTATACAAATTATTTTCTACATTTTTACAGGTTATCAAGGGCATCGCAAGGCTGTGCAGTCCGTCACAAAAAGCACTTCTATTAATCAAGGCAGCATTTAACATCGCTCCCGATGCAAAAAACGTCACTACCGTTTCGTACTGGATATAACCCACAAACATACACACACACACACACACAAATTGCGCTACTATATGAATATTTATCCCCAACAACTCCGTTGCGAGGGAATGAAAATTTAGTTTAAATCTATAATATAAACGTGAAGTGTAAAATTAATTGGTATATACATGAATTAAGTAAAACATGTATGAAGGGTGAATAAAGTGTAAAATCAACACACGAAGAGTTTTTAAGTAAAAAAAAATAATCAGTTAATTCTGCGACCATAAATGAATATTCATTCATAAAAATCTAATCAAACGCATTTATTAAAAGTAAACATACGTATATAAGCTAAAATTGCAATGTGCTGAATTAGTTAGTCATTAGAAATTGGTCCGTTACATGAAGTACTCGTCAGACTCCGGATCTGGGAGTTCACTAGACCGAAATAACCGATAAATCTAGAATTACCACAACAATGACTCCTCCCCGGGTACCCATTCATCGGAACCTTTAGAATCCTTTGTATTACTATGGATTAATAAGGATATTGCTTGGTAACATGTATAGATGCAATTGGAAGATATTTGGTGAAAAGTTCGTCACATCCATTACTAACGCTTTTACGATCAGAATTTACAGAAAATTGTACAGTAATGCCATGTAAAATAGCTGTTTATTATTCAATTAACGATCATTGCCAATTTTCTTTGATTCTCATGAAAAGATTATTCTGATGGCGGTGAATACAAGAAAGAGTAAATGTAGGACATACACTTTTGTTAGGGTGGACAGAAAGTTCAAATAACCATTAATTCTCCTGGAAAATGTTGGCAATATCAGGAGTTCAAATACATGTATATACTGCTAAACAAGAGGCCCACGGGCCTTATAGGTCACCTGAGTATTGTGCAACAACTTTCAAACAATTAAATTTGGTTCGTGTTTTAAACCAGAGGCCATGAAATTCGCAATTCACAATTTTGAAAGAGGTACCATTGCTTATAATAATTATAGACTTAGCATGCTTACTCTATTTACTTAATACCCAGGGGTAAATCAGAGTAACATTAAGAGAAAATGCACTTCCACTTTATGTAGTTGTGCACCTCATCCCAAAGGAACCACTGATCCTGGGGCCACATATTTCAAAATTTTGCAAATTTTATCATAAAATGGTTGATTAACACCAAAGAGCAGATTTCAAAGCATTAATTTATTTTCAGACTTTGTACCCCCCCCCCCTCACCCCCGACCCAGGGAAGGGGCGGGGGGCATAAAAAATAACCATTTTGCTAGGTGCACCTTTCTTCATCATGAATATAAATATTTGGATCATTGGCATAAAACCCAGGAGCAAAGGAAGATTTTCAAAGAATTAATGTATTTTCACTATATAATCAATAGAGCCCCGCCCTAACACCAGAACCCATGACCCTTGGGACATAAAATTCACAATTTTGGAAGAGGCACTCTTGCTTATCATAACTATGTACTAAGTTTATTTCATACTCAGGAGCACAGAAGAAGATTTTAAAAGAATTAATGCATTTTCACTATATGATCAATAGAGCCCCGCCCTAACACCAAAACCCCTGACCCTGGGGCCATAAAATTCAGACTTTTGGAAGAGGCACTCTTGATCAACATAACTATTTACTTACATAGTTTATTTAATACCCAGAAGCAGAGAAGAAGATTTTCAAAGAATTAATGCATTTTCACTATATGATCAATAGAGCCCCGCCCTAACACCAAAACCCCTGACCCTGGGGTCATAAAATTCAAAATTTTGAAAGAGGCACTCTTGATCAACATAACTATTTACTTACATAGTTTATTTAATACCCAGAAGCAGAGAAGAAGATTTTCAAAGAATTAATGCATTTTCACTATATGATCAATTAAGAGCCTCCCAAACCCCACAACCCCTGACCCTGGGGCCATAAAATTCACAATTTTGGATGAGGCACTCTTGCTCATCATAACTATGTGCTTGGTAAGTTTATTTGATACCCAGGAGCAGAGAAGAAGATTTCCAAAGAATAAATGCATTTTCACTATATAATCAATAGGGTCCCACCCTAACACCAGAACCCCTGACCCTGGGGCCACAAAATTCACAATTTTGGAAGAGGCACTCTTGCTCATCATAACTATGTACTTAGTTAGTTTATTTAATACCCAGAAGTAGAGAAGAAGATTTTCAAAGAATAAATGCATTTTCACTATATAACCAATAGAGCCCCGCCCTAACACCAGAACCCCTGACCCTGGGGTCATAAAATTCACAATTTTGGAAGAGGCACTCTTGCTCATTATAACTATGTGCTTGGTTAGTTTATTTAATACCCAGGAACAGAGAAGAAGATTTTCAAAGAAATAATGCATTTTCACTATATAATCTATATAGCCCCGCCCTAGCACTAGAACCCCTGACCCTGGGGCCATGAATTTCACAATTTAAAGACGTACAACACACTGGGGGAGATAACTCTTGCGATTTCAATTGAACGTTTGACGTGAAGTCAAATTTAACGTCAAAAATAAAGCGTCAAAACGACGAGTAAAACGATCCCGATGTATATCAATCATGAAAGAAAATTGGGATATGGGGCTTGGCTGTGATTGTGCCTACCATACTCAATCAATAAGTTTTTTTTTTTAATTAACCCGATTAAACTCCGTAAAAAGCAAGACATAAAATACCATCCCTTAATGATTATTTCATTTCATTTCATTTATCAAAGCGCAGCATTTTTTTTAATTCTGAAAATTTTATTTTACATTGCCGAAATTCTCCTTATGTAAAATTGGCTATCTTTCCGATTAATGATCTTCATTACAATTTGTGCATACACGATATAAATACATGTATTGTTTTTCTTCTTTAATTAAATAAAACAACAATATATAAACAAAAAAACTTTTTACAATGTAAAATCGATCAGACCCTTACTGATCAAAGAGGAACAACTCTGAAAATGTAGGAGATGTTTATTTTCCTCCCTTTATTCACGGTATTCCACAGAATCAGATACATTTACAGCAAGACCTGATAAATCCGAGAATTGAATACTATAGAACTCATATACACAATGTAAGTATAGAACTGAAAAGAATTGTTCACTTGTATTGAAATTATCTGCATTTATGAATATCCTATTGCAGCAAATCGTAACTTTGACTTTCTGTCAACAATGTCGGTTCGCATTTCCTCGAATCAAAACAAAACGTAGCCTATAAGATTTTAAAAAATATCAATGTGCGATTTCATATAGATTGAAATAGATGAAGAGTTTAATGTTTGATATGTGGACGAATACGGAATTTTCATTTTAACTTTAGAAGAGACGACATTGAAAGAAATGCGTACAATATCATGAGGGGTGCATGTACATCTAGGGCCTAATGCAAATGTCGATGTATCCCCACGGCCACATACTGTCTCGTTTGAAATAATGACATGAAAGAAACTACAATTATTCCATTTTTATCACAGGAGAGTTGAACATACACCATTTTTTAATGAATAAAATTAAAGAAATAAAATTAAAAATCAACATATTCAAGTTCAACAAAACTTGAATTCGTATCCAGGTTTCATGTGATATGGAATGCATAACGCATACGTGTATGGACTATTCCAAACACGAAAATCTTTCCGTAATTTTTTCCTGTTACATATAAAAAGAGTAGTCAATATTTATTCTGCATTCATGAATTTAAAAACTAATGCATACCTCCGGGATTCTTGACGAAATACCAGTAAATTTGCACTGTAAAAGACGTTTCGTCAAACGCTAATGGTCTGCGACGCAAAAAAGGAAGGGGTGGGGGTAATAGGGTTATTCTAAAAATCTACATTTCAATACGCTTTACACATGAGAACTTTTAAATTTGTAAGCTAATATATTTTTCAAGCAAAAGCAATATTCCAATTAAATTTTTTAAATGTGTATTTGTAGATTCATATAACAAAGTGATCGACCCCCGTCTGAAAGACGCGCGGGAACGTGATTTATTGAGAAAGGGGGAGGGGGTAATTTTCCGCTATTAAATAAAAACTGGTCGTACAAAAATTAAACAAAAAATCATGAAGATTATTTTTACTACCAGCTACCTAATGAAAGTTTTTTACCAAAATTAAACGACAGGTTTTTTCACACAAAAAATTTGAATTTGAAAAATACGCAATTTTCAAGGCTTAGAAAATTCATAGTTTTTCAGTTTAAGGTCTTTAAAAATTGTTTTGATAATATGTATATCAAAAAGATGACTATGTTTTTGTGTTAAATGGTTCAAGGAATAAGCCAATGAAATTTGACATCTATATCTAACCTGGTTTTTTTGAAAATCAAGGTTTAAGTAGTTCATTGATTAAAAATTTTCTCTCCTTGTAAACAACTAAAGGGGGGTAACTTTCGGAAGTTCCTGTCCAAAAACCACTCGAACGATTTTGTCCAAAATATGCATACATGTAGTAGATATAGTCATGTACTAAATATACAAAAATAACGAAAATTAAACGACAGGAATTTTTTGAGGTAGGTGTATTGTACATCCTTAAGTAGAGGAATCAATGCTCATTACATTCATGCCAACAGTTTGCCTGCTTGATGTCCAGGAGTAAAGAAGAAGATTTTTAAAGATTGCAATAATTTTAGTGGTTTTGGCCCCACCCCTCAGGCCCCAGGGGGGCGGGGACCATAAAATTCATAATTTTTGTTCCCCTTCACCCATAGATACTGTATACCAGATTTGGTTGAAATTGGTTAAGTGGTTTCAGAGAAGAAGCTGAAAATGTTCAAATGTTAACATACGACGCACGACGCACGACACAGAACACACGACGACGGACGAAAACGGATAGCAATAGGTTACCTGAGTTACTCAGGTGACCTAAAAAAAAATCAAAAAATTTTGAAGATTTACAATGTAACTTAGTTCTTTTATTTACTTCAATTTTACATAAAACAACGTTTTCTATTATTGAAAGACAACACAGATCATTTCAAATTCTAATTTCTAGTAAGTGATGGAATAAAGGAAAGTTGATTTCATTAAAAATATATTTATTTTTGCATACATGTACTTTGATTGGGGCAATGTTAATTATTACAATTAAGACTTCAAAACCTTGGATTAATGACCATAAAATGAAAATTATTGTACAAAAAAATTTTGAATTAATTAAAAAATCTTAGAGTTATCAGTCCTGGACGAGCAGAGGATGTCCTTAAAATTTAGTTCATATTTAGACAACTATACATACATGTACATGTATTATTTATAAGAGCTAGCGAAAGATGGAATCCGTCTGAACATACGACAATATTTGATGGCATCCAGATTAGGAAATACAGATCCCATTTCTTTTATTTCAAACAAGAAATTAATAAATATATTACTGTGAGATACATGTATATACAATAATGCACTCTTGATTATTAACAGATTAATTAAGCAGCTGTTAAGACATGGTAAACAGTAAAAGTTCTTTATGATGGACTCAAAAAAACTGATCAATGTTGACTCATGAAATTTATAGCTCTCTAGCAGCTTATGAGCAAGTGACGAGCGTAATTTTACAGAGAGACTGGATTTGCATGCACTTGTCTCAGTAGATAATGGATAATCTGTGAAAGAGTCCCGTGACATCCCGAATGGCTATAGATTTATCGGAACCAATCATCACGGATCCCACAGAACGTTAGAATCATTTACATGGCATGTTTGCTTTTCTTGTCGTCTGGGTATTTTGGATGTTTTTCAAAGTTGGCGGTAAGTACTTTTTTTTTTTTTTTTTTTTTTTTTTTTTTTTTTTTGCAAATGATGCAATAAGTAAACAATTTTGAACAAAAATCATCGTCTTTTTACTGGCAAAAAATAAATAAATAAATAAAAATAAGAAGCAGAGCGAGAGATTTAATTTTTTTAGAGTAATGTAGACAAGACAAGTAAATTAAGTTTCCTGCAAAAATAAATAAACAAATAAATAAATACAAAAATTAAAATACTCCAGAGTATTGTCCAATTGAAACCTTTGTACAATTGAAAATTTTTAAGAACTTTCTTTTAGATATTTAATTTGTACAAAATAAAAATTTTGCAACAGCTGATTTGAGTATTGGGAACTGTAGCAGAGCAAGTAAGTATATATATAACAATTTCATCTGAAAAGACTCCAACATATAAGATAAGCATTTTTCCCGCGATATCAACGTAAAATATTTTCAAATTAGATTATTGCTAAATAAGCACTATCAAGTCACTATGCCAAAATCTCTATTTAATAAAAAAGATAGGGAGAGAGAATATACATCATATATTTCTGACTACTTGAATAAACATTTAGATAACTTCATGATACAAGCCCGTAAGAAGAAATTTCATTTGGTGATGAGAAGGGGGGGGGGCAAACATTTTCAGTTTTGGGGAACCAAATAATTATCCTTGACCAATTAAGGTTATCAGACTTATTTCTAAGGCACAAGCATTGAGGGATTATGTCCCCCTCCCACACCCATGACCTTTGGAATGAAATTAACCTCGAATAAAATCTAAACAATTTTTAGGAAGTTGAGTCATTATTCATATTTAGAAAGAAGAAAAAATATCTATAGGTCTCCTGATTTATTAAAATAAACATAACTGCTCTAGTTTGGTACATTGAAAGTTTTAAATGCGGGAATCAAGATAATATGAGTAATAAGACTTTTTAAAATTTACATTCAAGTATTAGTACATGTACTTTACTTCATTCAGAATGATTTATCACTCCCCTTTCCATTGCTTATTACTATTCTCAAACCTTCAATAACGTTTGTGAGTTATCTTTCAAAGCGAATTCTCCTTTTTACGGACTTCTTTAGGTATAACGGTCGTACGGGGGGGTCTAATTCTTATTTAAATTACTTTCAAACAAAACATCTCTTCACCTAGGTATTGATGAACACAGCAATATCAGTAGAACTATATTATTTACGTGAATGAACGAAAATCCGCATGATTTTATTTCTCTTTCATTAGCGGGAGGACAGATCCTAGAATTTTCTGTTGTCTTTTTTACTGATCCACTAATCAGTCAAATGAAAATAAGATATAAAGAATAGAATATTTAATATGATTTGTTTTGCATATCAACTTTTATTAATGTTGCATCAGTTCAACAGCGAATCCCTGTGGAAATCTTGATCAGAGACATTTGAGAGAATAAAGTGGTTTGTGATGATACGTTTTGTGAATATTGCAGGGATTTTGTTTTAAATGATTCTGAGAAATCTATCAGTTTTTATTAATCCCTGAAATTTCGTGTTTTTTTATTATTGTATTCGATTTAGACAGATATATTACATCATCTTTATGATGTCTGTAAAAATTCTCGCGTACCACATTCTGCACTTCTAAAAATTAATTGTATGTCAAGTGTATATTTTACTATTCCAACGAAAATTTCTCCAATATTAATCACATGATGGGACTTCAATTGATTTACATGAAGAACATGCATTAACCTGATACATCCATGGTAATAACTTAATTTGTTTCATCTGCATGGTAGATACTAGTAAATAAGACAGTTCTAAAAGCCTGTCCATAATCGGAACAAATCCAAGGCTTCATTTGTGTCCACCAACACTCCCGTTCTTTCCGGTCGGTGAGAGAAACAAGTGATTAAGATTTTCCACAACTCTTTTAAGACATTAATTAATTTCTTCCTAAACAAGACCTTAAACAAGTCTCTGACATTATTGCAGTCAAGATATTCAAGCTCATACGCATTGATAATCGTTCTTTCTCGTACAGCGTAAAACTCCATTAATGTTCAAAGAGTTAAAATAAAAAGTTTTTTGTTTAAACTTAATTTCTCCCCGGTATTTTGCAGACGGTGTACAATGCCTGAAGAATGACGATATCGGGTACCGTCAGGGGAACATCTACTTCTGTAATGATCCGGATCTCAGCGAGTGTTGTGAGATGGACAGCGAGTTCACGTGTTGTGAACCCAATTACGTCAAAAATACGTAAGAACAAGGGAAAATAATGATCTACTTTACACCATTTTATGGCTGAGCCCAAAATTTCTGCCTAATGCTAAGTCATGCTCTAGGACATGTTCTAACCTATAGATCTTGTATATCTTTAAAACATCTTAAAATATCTTAATTTCTATTAAATAAAAACTTGAACCCAGGGTTATTGAAGTTTTCTTTTTAAATTGCTCTCTCTCTCTCTCTCTTTATACAGGCGAGAGCAGATAAAGTTATGGTGCAGTGTGTGTATCTTTCTTCTGATTATAGTGGCTGTGTACATGTGTCTACACAGAGATGTGCAGTGGATATCCAGTCAGACTGTACAGGAAAGCTTCGGCCTTAGAAACAGGTACCCTGTATAATATAGTGTAAATCAATTTTCATTTGCAAGAACTTTATTGTATATTTATAAATACACTGTAAATATACAAGAAAGTGCTGAAATAAGAATACTTTTTGTTTTTACTTGTATATATGTTTATATTACATGTAACATACATTAAAAACAGGCACTGTGTAAATGCCTGTTTATTTTGATTCACTTGAAAAGTTCTATTAGAAACAAATGAAAAAATTGCAAGAACCAGCTGAATCATGATGCATAGTGGATTTTACTTTTATTTTTACATTTCACATTTTATACATTTTCATATTTCAGATGTGAAGATGGCCCTTCAACTTCACAGACATAGTCCAGTAAAAACACTTGTAATTTGTTGTTATTTTTATTTTGCATTCAATAAATAACATTACTTATTTACTTTTTTCAAATCTTTCTATTGTTGTTTTTTATTATAAATAATGTTAAAAAAAAAATGCATGTTAAAAAAAATCAGATATATATGACACTGACAAGATAATGCAACCATTTATAATTGAAAGCCCTAAACAAAATAATAATAGTATACATGTATAAACACATTTTTAGAAAATAACTACATCAAAATGAAAAATACTGAAATGACAACAATTACAAAAACTTTAGTTGATTATCTTCAAACAGACTAAAAAAAACAAACTTCAAGATTTTTAATACTGTAAAAGCATATGATGTGATGCTATTTCTGTAAACTTAAAGAAAACAGTTGCTTTTCTCATGATCAGTTATTTAAAAATTGTATACGCATAAAAAAGTGAAAAATTTTGCAGTACATGTATAAAGAAAGTATTTATATAATACCAATGCATATTGTATTACTTCACTTCTTATATGCTAAGAAACAACACTTATTCATGAATTGCATTCACTCTTCACAACACTAGATATAGATGATGAACGTCACACTTCTTCAATGAGTTAGATGATGAGTTTTTTTGCAAACAAATAATTGTTAAATTCATTGCTAATTAGACTTGCTGCTTTGTGGTACTGTTACATTTTGATTGTTCAATTTGAGTTTCTAGTATTATATTCACCTTTCAGTCCACAGATAAATATTTTAAGGCCTTCAAACCATATTTTCTGGACAAATCTCGCTGGTATTCTCCTTTCAATGTTTTGAGGCAACTGCAAGAAAAGATTTTTGAGATTTTAAGCATCTTTTCTTTAGTAATATTGTTTTTCATTAATGTACATAACTATACTTTTTGGAATTCTACCCTAATCTTTTATTTTAAAAATGCAATATAGCTAATATTCACTGATATCACAAGGTGATGGACAACAGAAGGATGAATCAAATTAACAAATGATCAAATAAAGGGTTAACATGTGATAGTGTTTAAATTTATGTGCATAAACGGTGAAGAAAAAAAACCTCTAACATAATAAAGATAAAGCACTACTTACTTTCTATAGACTTGACTGTTGCGGAACTTTGTAATCTCCAAACTTGGTGCGTGGGGCATATGGATCATGAAGGCATTTGGCAAGACAACATATTTATATCTGAAACAATAGAGAGGCCAAGATACCTAAATCTGATTTGATATCATGGAAGACAACATACATATATCCAAAATGATATCAAAAGAAACTGTCTGTTTTCTCTTTAAGGTCTAAAAACAACATTTTAAAAAATTAAAAAATCTAAAATAGATAAAAAATCAATAATTCCTACTCTAATAAATCAAGGAGCATTGCATGGGAGACTTTGTTCCAACCAAAGCCGACAAATCGCTGGTCAAACTGGGGTACCCCCTTCTTCACAACAATGTATGGCTCGTAATCCTGCTCCCAGTTTACCTGTAAATAAAAAATACCATAATGTATACAAAATTAGCCTGGGCATAAACTATCTACATGTATATTGGTGATGCATTTACACAATAATTTGTATAATTGATATAAAGAAAAACTGTTGCAATTTGCATTCAAATTCTTCAAGTATAAATGCAAATCATGTACAAAATTAATAATAAAGTAAAATTTAATCATAAAGTAGTATATTTTTCAAACCTGTCTGATATAATTTTGGCACTCAAGAAATTTTCAAGAGTTTGAAGAGAATAAAATTATTATGATAGGTATATTAAAGAAGTTTTGAATGTTAAATACAGCAGTGAGAGAAATGTGCTTTGACTGAGCCACAAAGTATGAAATTAGTGAAAACTACTAACAGGGTACATTGTTGTGGCTGTCCGCCATACTGTGTAGTTTGTGGGAAGGTGCCCTTGGGGCCATACATCATATCTGAAAATTGTAAAATTGTTATTACTGTAGATCAAATTGTAAAATTGACTCTTTATTAGCAAGACATATTTTTCACGAATTGTTGTTTTCCTCTATATAATCGTAAGGAATACTTTTATACGCGAGAATGAAATTTTCGCGAGCTCATTGTTTCGCGTAATTACGCGAAAATAAAGTTCTCGCGAATAAAACGTGATTTACAGTATTTAATTCCAATCTTATTCAACTCCGTTATTCAACTCCGTATTACTGTATCAAATAAATGTAATCAAATTGGAGAAATATAATGCTTACATTCATTAGAATGTTGCTATTAAGTTATCACTAATCCAAAGTAATATTTATATGTATATTAATTGAAGTTTCCTAAGGATGTTTTAGTACCTGAAAGTGAATATTTCTCCACTATCGAGCTTTTTAAGAAGTTCGTCTTTACTAGATGGGAACTCAAATCTGTATCTTGGGGTTTCAAAAGCTGGTACAACCAAAGCCTGTAAAAAAACAAAGCTTAAAATAAATATCTGATTAACTGTTATAAATGACTAATCAAGAATACAGTATTCATCTTCAGCACTAGGAAAAATTTTTAACACCTTAAATATACATGTACAAATTTTTGTTTTCTAAATTCAGTAGACCAACCTTTTTTTCTTTCTCCATGTCAATCCTTGAGACAACACTTTTTAAATGATTATACAGGTCATACATGGGTAAGAAGTCGATATCCGTCAAAAACATGTGAGATGTCTGGGTGTTGTTAATTGCAACATTACGCAGATAGTTCACAGGATAGAATTGCTGAAATCAGACATAAAAATTTATAGAAGGGCAAGCAGTATTCACTGTCAGATACCAGGATAAATGTACAAATTATGAAAGAAGAATAAATGTATGGAAGTCAACTTGATTTACTTACCCCATCTTTATAGACAATATGGTAGCCAATATTTTTCCTCTTCATGAGTATTTCGGAGTCCTGAGCATACCTGAGGAACTGCTGGGCCTCTGCGTCAGACATGTACAGTGCGAGGCTGATGGGTCCCTCCCAGTGTTTACAGATAAGCTCCAGCATCTGGAGGCGATCCATACTGAGCTGGGCCACTAGGGTCACGTCGTACTCTGAGGGGGCGTAGTCATAATCCAGGTAGTACAGGTGTGTACGGTGGACCAAGGCACGCTCACGACGGAAATCGTAACATTCGTCATCCTCACTCAACGTGTTTGTCTAAAAAAGATGGTAAACAATACACAAGTAAAATCAAACAGAATATTAATAGATTCACTCGAAAGGCTGTTTGCCAGTGGGTAATAATATTAGTAACAGTCAGTTAGTGACCTAATACGGATTCATACAGGGTGTGAAATGGAAATCTGTATTGGGCGAGGAAAAGCCCACTACGGATTTCCATTTCACAAGTTGTACTTATGACTGTGTTATAATTTAATGAAGAAAAAATCTATATGCATATTATGAAAATATCAAGTTTTAATCCAATAACAATCAACATAATACCGGTATATCGTTACAAAAATTTTAACTAAACTACCTACGCAGAACGTTTCTTAGCCACTATTTTTATTTACAATAACAACGCTTCGAACGGAATCGCATGCCCGATTTTCATATTACGCCTTGACGGAGACATAATACAGAAAATTTCAGGGCGTCATGTGATAATCTTTTATCCAATCAGTAATCGACAAATTTGTCTGAAGCAGGATAAATGTAATTCCTTATGAATGGAATGACCTACAAAGGGAAATAACTTCAATTGAAAATTTCCCTATACCTCTTCCTTTGTTGGTGCGACTTCCTCAGGCTTTTCACATCCAAACAATTCCCTCCGAAGCAGGTTAGCATCATATTCCAAAAAAGTCAGGTGTAAATTTCTGAAATATTCTACATGCTTGTTTTTAACCTTAAACTTCTTTGGGGAATTCCAGTGAATAATCTGCGATGAAGAATGAATGAAAAAAAAATTGAAGTATAAATGGTCAAATCAGTGTGGTAGGAAAGTACATATAAACTTTAATATATCAATAGAAATTCTGTTTGTTTGTGACCTGACGTAAAATGCTTCCTCCCTCAAACAAGTTTAAATGTCTGTTTTATTGTCTAAAACCTAAGACGTACAACAAAACTCCATTATAACGAAGTCACTGGGACCTATGAAATTACTTTGTTATATCCGTAATTCGTTATAACCGTATAAGAAATTCATTAAATTTATATAGCTAGGGATCCAAGACGACTTCCCTTTATTCATGAATTCCCAATTTTCCGTGTTCGTACTAAATGAGTTTTACTGTATTCAATTAATTCTTTTCATCTTGTGTTTAAACTTTAAGAATAACTCTTTGTTAAAACATTACAAAAATGGACCTTTTTTTCCTTAAATTTTGTGCAATTTGGTTATTGTCCTTGATTTATGAAATTATCATCATTTTTAAGTTCTAACATTAAATCTGAATTCTACAGTGCAAATTTAACTGTAGTCAATGAAAACCGATTAAATTCCATTCAAGTAGAATTGTAACACATTTTGTGACAGAAGGTTTTTTAGATGAAAATGATCAGTTTTTCCATTTTGAACTATAACAGTACTGTTAATTTTGACAAGGCAGGTGTTGCACAAAAGGTTGTTTTTTGCAGTTAAATGTGTTATGCTTGTTCTGAAATATCTATTAAAAATGTCTTATGAATTTTATCAAACAAAGTTTGACAAATATAGTAATATATCTGAAAACAAATGAACATAACAATTTTCTAAAATTCAAATTTAATATCTGAAAATTTACATATACCCCCGCTTTTGATGTTCTTTTCTAAATATTCAAAATAAATTTGGCCTATTTGCTTAAAATCAGAAAAAAGTTTAAGACTTTAAAATAATTTTCTTGCTTATTGAATTTTTAATGCCAGAAAAATCACTTTTTATTAGTGCAGAAAGGTCAAATAATTGATTATGCGAAGCAATTTAAAACTTTTTCTTAGTCACAATTTTTAAGTCTTTTATTAAACAAACTTAGAGTTCATTTCGTTTCATGCTTTAATTGGATAAAAATATTGAAGGGAAAACAACAAAAATATAATTTTTAATTCAGACACAAATTTCAGTGCAAAAAGGTCATATTAAATGTACTGTAGTAAAATGCATTTTTTGATTTGAATTTTAATTAAGCTATGTATGTAGAAACTAAAAATATACTTGGCAAAAAAAGTTTAAGACTTTAAATATCAGGATTGAATGTCGTTAATAACACTGCTTAAAATTGAATGGAATTGTACAGATCTTTTGTATATTTAAATAACACCCACCAGGGCAGGCCAGGGAATGTGGTTCTTCCAGATTTTTCCTAAGTACCAGTCACTTTGATTCTCCACCAGACCAAGCACCTGCAGACAGGAAATGATCACTAGTTATCAAAACACACAGCAAGGAAAACTTATGATTATATCAGTATAATATCAATGCATATCAAGGTAGCTAGAGTGGGAAGATAGGTGATTTCAAGCTTGTAAATTTATTCTTTTTCTTGTACCTTTGTTCCTGTCAGGAAACTAAACATTTTCCACAGCTCTGCTATATCTGTGGCAAAGCTTACATCTGTATCCAGCACAATTACCTACAAAAAGCAACACATATGTTTGATAGAATTAAGAATTTACTGAAAACCAACTTTTATTCACCTGCAGGAAATATCTGCTATTTTTCAAAATATACGTTTTAGTGAAAGTATATATCTAAAACATGCATGCATAAAGATGAGTTTGATTATCTTTAACTTGTGAATTTCTATTGGCACCAACCATTAATTTTCCTGTGTATTTTTGTAGAAAGTTCCTTGTTCACAAAAATAATCCATTCAAAATTGATTGCAAACTAACAAATTGTGAATAAAATGATGCCAATAGTAGATGGTTTACAATTTATACTTTAACACTTTTAGTTCACATTTGCATTAAATTTTGCATTTCAAATTAAAGTTCAAATGTGAAGGAAACATTCTTACAATTCTGACCTTTTCCAATGAGGCTGATAAAATTTTTGGCAAGACCAATTTAAGCAACCCATATATACCAGAGTAATGTTTGTTAGGAATCCATTCTATGTCTTCCTGTCGAATACAAATTGAAATTACAGGTAATGTTATTTATGCAAGGATTCATTCATACATGACAATTAAAAGAGTACTTCTGAAAATGTACATTTTACACTTATTATTTACAGTACACAAGATTCAGCATTTTCTGCAAAGGAAAAAAAAGTATATGTTGAGAGGAAAATAAACACTTTATTACCTTCACTTTATCTGCATGGTAGAAACTTATTTTTACTGAAAATAAATAGAAAATATGCAAAATTAAGATTAACATTCAATTTAATATGCAAAATTCACATCATTTTACAGATAGACCCAACAGTAGCTATGCCTGATTTGGTACTAAGGTCTAATTTCTAACGTGTTTAATATACATGGCATACAGTAAGAAAACAGTAAGAAAACTGGTATAGCATTTGATGACAGACCAATTCTACAAACCATCAGGGACATTCCAAGTTTCAAACAGGTAGGTCAGGATGACTTGTGCCATGGTGTCGGATATGAAGTGGAAATGCAGCGGATTTTTACGATAAAACAGGACACTTTTGATCAGAGTTACGACATCTCTTGTTGACTTATGACCAGAGCACACAATGGCTACATGGATTTCCTACATAACAAAGAAATATATACATGTAAATATTTATGTATAATGAGTTAGATTTAATTAAAAGCTTGCTAAATTTATACTTAGATTGGATCATAATGCATTTCTAAGCATACTGAAAATTTAGAAATAGTTATATAATGTATAATGTACATGTATAGCAAATCTCTTTTAAAAACTGATTACCTCACATTTAGGGACTTCCTGATTAGAATCAACACAGTTTTTGGATGATTTAGGACTCTGTTCATCTGCATTGAGTTCAAACGCTGTCAACTCTGTACGAGTTAAGCTGCAAGATTAAATATCATGATAAATTAACATATCAGTACGAGATTATTTTTAAAATACATTTTTAATTACCGGGCATAAATATTTAGTACCAGCATGTAAAACAACATATAACAGTTAAAGTGATATTTCAAGAGTTATCTCCCTTAAATGTGTTGTACTTTCTCTAGAAAAACTGAAAACCCAGATGTAATGTTTCTTAAAGTCTCCTTATCTTTATTATCTACCATCTGTAAAAAACATGTTGGTAAAAAGTTGTGAATGAAGATGAAGATGCTATACTTTTCCTGGGTATAGGGATTTTGACCAATCTGAGTGCTGGCAAAAACTGTTCATTAACTTTGCATCATATTTATCATTGCTTAATTTGATTGATATCATGTTCAAGCACCAATACTGCATTACTTTCATGTAAGTGAAAACATTACCTGAGTTGTTTTTTGAGGGCTCTGTTGTCACTGCTGAGTTCCCTGAGTTTACTGGCAAACTTAAGTTCCAGCCTCTGGAACACTGCTTCATTAGCATACCCATCTGATACAACATATAGTAAAAGTTAGAGACATAAAACAGTGTATTAAGATTTAAATTGTTTAAATTGTATACTGCTTCTGTAAAGTTAAAAGTTAAATTACCAAATTCTAAAAAGGAAGCTTGATAAAGGAAATTCTGTCTTTACTTTAAAGTAATTTTTGTTGAAGTTTATTCACATACCTTTGATACATGTGTATATAAGAGTGCTGTGTACTTCAAAACGATGAAAATTACTGGAAAGAATATAATTACCATCTGAGGTGAGTGTTAGGTAGACCAATATGAGAGTAGGAAAAGCCCCTGCTATCAGCAGCAATACAAGTCCTTGTCTTGAAAGCCGGATCATTCTGAAACACATAATACCAATTGTAAAGATTCATGAATGTGATATCTCAAGCATATCCAAAAAAAATTGCTTACCACAGAACTTCATGTTCAATTTTCTAGAACAAGTATTTATCATGTTTATTATGCAGTAGTTTGGGCTCTATGTGTAGTGGACATCAACCTGTTCAGAGCAGCTTGCTACTGAACTGTGTCTCAGGACAAGCCCTCACCAACCTGGTCCTTAGGACAATATCATTTCAATGATAGAACGTTCTTTCTACTTACTATAGTGATGTAGAGGTCAAAGCCCTCTCTCAAAACATGCTCAGCACAGAACTCCATCTTACACTAATACATATTGTTCTTATGCAATCATAAACATTGCATCTAATCCACTCTTTGCTTCTATTTATAATAATGTAATATTGAACAGAGATATTAAATGATGAATTGACCGATGTGATCATTCATCATCATGTAGTTGTATGATGTTTTTTTACCACCTTAAATAAAAAGCACACACACACATACCCAAAAAAGTCACCATTTAACATCAAGCCACACACTGTATTTAGTATTTACCTAAATTATATCTGCAAAATAGATTACATGCCTGGTATCTTCTGCATCCTGTCTTCCTTGCTTGCTGTTCATACGTCTCAGCCTAAGTCCCTGGTTTTCTTCCAGTTCCTGTAATCAGATACATAAATAACAGTCCCTGTTACCTATGCATCTGATGGCAATTTCATAAATAGACCCGTAATTCCTAATTTATTCAATTTTTCATTTAAAAGGGGCTACAGATTTTCATTAAGTCGTACCATTTTTATTCTGAAACAAAATAAGAGAAATTATTACAATTAAATAAATCAAAATAAACAAAACCCGTATAAATAAAGATGAAAATGACAAAATCTCAGATATAAAGTCTCCTGCATGTATTGTACTTCATTCTGTACTGTGACTACTGTCCATTAGGTATGAATCCGAATAGTTCTATAGTCGACTTAACAAGAAATCTTTGAAAATGGCTACCAAAGCAAACGAAATTGTTAACCAAGCTTGGGAAAAGTATAAAAGATACGTATCAGATTTTCCGGAGACAGTCAGTCAGATAGAAGCAACTTCGAGAGTGCTTTCATACATAATAGCAGGTAATGATTAGCAATCTTCTCTGGTATGTTTTTGAAATAATCTATCTGTGCCTCGTGTGTCTACTTTCATTTTGAAACAGCGTTTCAAAGGTCTAGATAATGACCTAATCTGATTAATCTCACAAATTCCAAACAATCAGTGATTTAAAAAAGCTTCATTTTATCACAAATTGAAAAAAGAAAACAACAACCCCCACCCCCTACACACACCCCGAAAAAAAATTGCTTCCTCTTAGAAAGTCTTTGCCCCTCAAGACACTACTCATTATCAACGCAGGGTCTTTCCGGCAAGTCTTTACTTGTCACTTCCATGGTAGACGAGGCACCAAATGTAACAGAGAAAAGGGGAAATGCTCCAGATCAGGCTGTTATTCAAATGTTGGATGAGACCCCCTGAATTTCCAGTCAGTTGTTCTGTAAGCTGAGGTACCTGGCCATCAGTGATCAAACCCTGATGACCAAAACATATGTATGAAGGACTAGATATTTGAAAATATCTGCACATATTTGTGTTAACATAATATTTATTAAGGTCTTGCACATATTTATTGTTTCTTATTATTATTATTTTAACACAATATTGGAATTACATGAAATTTTATATTAAATGAATTTTTGAGAGAATTTTTGGAAATTTTTTTTACAGGATTTCTTTTGACGGATTTTCTCAAGAACGGTAAAAGATATCAATGTGAAACTTTCAGATGATATAGATGATAAAAAATACTATCCAGGACGCGACTTTTCGTTTGTCGTCATTACTTCCGCTCGCTACCGGAAGCTAATTCAAAAAGTCTAATTTTTAAAAATATTTTGTTTTTCAATATTTTTCGTTTATTTTTTGTATGTCGATAGAAACCTTTCTTATAATGCTTGCTATATAATTTGTTTTAATATGATAAACACTCTAGATATTAGCATTTAAAAATTTGAAGCGTTTCAAAATGGCGGCTCTCTCTGTCAACTCCGACATTTCGCAATCAAAGGTCCATTTGCTTGAAAGAAAGTAATAAGGACAAATGAAATATAAAGGTGAACTTGCAATTCTGTGTCTATAATTGGTTTTGGTTGATTCTCAAAGTAAAAAAAGAAAAGACTAAATGTGCAAATGAAATTCGATACCAAATATCTTTTGATTGCACCACGGAAAAGCAGCTCATTAATCATTGTTATAAGTAATAGTTATTCAAGAAGGATAACAATGAATACAGTGTTTAACGGTTTTTTTGCACATTTGTGCCATATTATACTAATAAAAAAGACAAAATAAGATAACATATTTTTTTTCTTAATGGAGTTTATATTAACAATTGTTTTATTATATCGATTCTTTTGCAAATTTTTTTTTTTTGGAATCTTTTCATGAATGTTTTTAACTAATCGGGATAGAGAAAACATGAAATTTATAGCCGTTTCACTGTTTTAACTTTCTTGCATACTATATGGAGTTTTATAAATCATCAAGTTTTAGGCTAAATGGACGGTTTTTTTTATTTCATTAAAGCTATCACACCTAGCTATCACACCTATTAAAGAGAACATTCAAAAGAAAAGTCGCGAAGATTAACTCGTGGCATTTGGCGCGAATTTATGAATAGTGACTAGGTTTCATAATTCTAAGACAAAAGCACTGTTATACAGAGGTATATACAAGGAGATTTAGAGCAGAGGTCCCGACAGCGTACGTAATAAGCGCTTTGGATTATCATGCTGCCGACTTGGATTCAATCCCTCTTGCGTGTAATATTTTTCTTTACCCTTTCAGCTAGATTTTACAAAAATATATCTAGTTTATATATATTTTTAATTTTTGAAGATTCACAAAGAGCTTGTGTAAAATCTATTGTCTCTTAAATGACACAATCATTAAGAATGCATCGAAGGTCCTTCCAAAGATTGTAAGTGAACTTTCAAGATCAGAGGAAGTGTTTTTTTTTCAGTCTAGAGTGTCTATTTTACTTTGTATGCAACACTTTTCTGCAATTGTTTTATTGTATCTTCTTTTGCAAAGGAACAAAGCCATAGAGAAAACATTATAGAGAAATTAATAAAACGTTGGAAGATGTAGACAAAATTGAGGATATGTAGAATGAGTATTTTGAAATATTCAAGTCTTCTGAGCTTCATATAATGTTTTTGAGAAAAAAATATTGTTGACTTACCAGAAAAATGTTAGATGATATTAAATTTCTCAATTTATGAACTAGCCATTTAATTTAACTTAATGTTTTATTTTATAGTATGATTATGATTATAATTATAATTCATTTTTTAGCCTGTGTCAGTGGAAAAGTTGAAAAGATGGCTGACTGTTTTGGAATATGGAGAAGTTTTTATAGAAATGGCAGCCTACAGGAAATTTGGAGAGACAGGGAAATGGATTCTTATTGTAATAATTCAACTCACAAAGTAAGAGAGATATAAAGCACCATTTCATTCCTGAGAAATTTTAAATTTCTTATCTTAAGTACATATTTCCCTCTTAAAATACAAGTGTATTGTGATGTATGTGTATAATTTTCAATAATAATGTGTGAAAACACACACATTTAGGCAATATCCATAATTCAGTAGGCATGTAAAAGTCAGGGTACATATTAAGAAGCAGGAAAAATTAATTTTACTTACATGGATGTTAAAAAAATGCATTGATTTTTCTGTATTTGAAGAGCAATATGGCGGCTTCTTTTACTTTGGAAACATCATGGAGGAATACAGCCATCCCCACCTATTGCACCATTAGACAGAGAGAAATACACCAAGCAGTTTAAACACAACCCAACAGAGGTCAGTGTACAGTGTAAAAATATTATTTGTTGTTCATGGTAATCAATGTCTCTTTATTGAACCATTTATAAATTTTCTGTCTTTGGCAAAAAATTTAAGTATACAAGTTTCTGAATTTCATTTCAAAAGCTGAACATTATCACAACCAGCTAAAATTAAAGTAATTGTGAACAAGAAGATACATCAAATGTGTTTTACATGTATTTGCGGTTTTATTTTTTGTTAACAAAAATGTTCTTATATTTCTTTGACTGAATACTTTAAAAAGAAATAAATCTAAATTTCTGATATGAGACTGATATTTAATTTTTTTTTTATTGTAAATAAGGAAATGCAAGAATTCCAAGAGAATTTGGATAGTGAGACAGTTGAACCAGTGAATGGAATGAGTGAGGTGACCTTTACCCTCAAGAGGTCAGGAAAGGTCATAAGGAGACTCTCAGCTGGTAAAAATATTAACTTGTCTGACAATTCACTATTATCATCATATCCAAAATGAAATCAGTTACCTAGGCTGTTTGATAATATTTCTGTTTAATGTATTTATTTTTTGCTTATTTATAGCTCCTCCCATCAATTTTCGTTCCTGGAAGCTCCCCAGCCAAGGGGACAGGGAGAAAGAGAGAGCCGGAGTCCGATTTTATGAAGCCACAAAGCTGTCCAAACAGCGACTCTGGGGAGAGACCTTGTACATAACCAGGCCACTCATTCACTGTATCCTCTGTTCTTTATTTACAGTATAATGTACATCACCAAATTCTGCTTCACCTTATTTTTTGTAAGATAAGTATTTGGTATTTAAAAGTTTTCAGGAATTCTTGTTATATTTGATTTTGAGTTTTTAGCTCTACTGGTCAGAGACCAGAAGAGCTTATGCGATAGTAATGCGTCCGGCGTCCGTCCGTCTGTCCGTCTGTCTGTCCGTCTGTCTGTAAACAATTTTTTAAAATGCTACTCCTCCTACAGTTTTGGTCTGATTTCAATATAACTTGGCACACAAGTAGAATACATTAAGATACATAATTCTGTGTATCAGTTTTTATTTTCGATGAACGGTGTTGCCGTGGTTACTAAAAATAGAAATTTCTGTGAAATTCTTTCAAAATGCTACTCCTCCTACAGTTTTGATCTGATTTCATTATAACTTGGCACACAAGTAGACTACACTAAGATACATAATTCTGTGTATCCGTTTTTATTTTCGATGAAGGGTGTTGCCGTGGTTACTAAAAATAGAAATTTCTGTGAAATTCTTTCAAAATGCTACTCCTCCTACAGTTTTAGTCCGATTTCATTATAACTTGGCACACAAGTAGACTACACTAAGATACATAATTCTGTGTATCGGTTTTTATTTTCGATGAACGGTGTTGCCGTGGTTACTAAAAATAGAAATTTCTGTGAAATTCTTTCAAAATGCTACTTTTCCTACAGTTTTGGTCTGATTTCAGTATAACTTGACACACAAGTAGACTACACTAAGATACATAATTCTGTATATCGGTTTTTGATTTCGATGAACGGTGTTGCCGTGGTTACTAAAAATAGAAATATCTGTAAAATTGTTTCAAAATGCTACTCCTCCTACAGTTTTGGTCTGATTTCAATATATCTTGGCACACAAGTAGACAACACTAAGAACATAAAGAGACTTTATCAACAATCATTATTCTATTTATTGCTGATGTAAAGTTTCAAATCCCAGCTGCTTAAGGACTTTTCTCTTCCTTTGCTATAAGTTCAAACCAGTAGAGCTTCAGTCTCGACAGAGACTTCTGGTTTTACTTGATTTTGATGCATAATTCTTGTGATTCCTTAATCATGATAAAGTATTTGGAATGTATGTGTGTGGGACCATGTCATGGAAACCATGGATCATGTCAGGAACCATTGATGTTGCCAGGTTTGAACACCTTTCCTGTTCACATGCCAAGTTTTGTTCATACTCCACTAAAAATGACTTAAATAACCTGTAGCATTTTACTTACTGTAGCTTGTGTATGATGGGTGATACTAAAGACCTGAATCCCCAGGAGAAGAGTGAAATCAAGAGGAGATCACTCCTGTTGTTATACTATTTGCTAAGGTCTCCATTTTTCGACACTTATTCCAAGTAAGTTGTTTGAGAACAAATACAAAATTGATGAACAACAGCTTTTTCTGTTTGTTTTAATACAGATAATGCTAAGCTGAAATATTTTTTCCCTAACAGAATGAAAATTTTATCGACCTTAAGAGTTATGGCAGACAATGTACCTGGTCTTGGAATATTATTGAGTGAGTATTTTTATTTTCTACAAAAACTGAAACAAATCATTTTTACACAGATACAGCAATAATTGTACTGCTCACCACTTTTACATGCGCCAAATAATATAATAAGACCTTCATGTATCTGGCGTATGAATATACATGCCTATTTTTGCGTTTATTCCATAAATTGCTTGAAAATCATACAATTTCAACAGTCCTATACATAGTTGCCAACTCACCCACTTTCGTCGGGTTACTTTTTGACCCTTAACCTGATTATTTTTTATGACACAGCAGGTCATGCTTATCGCCCGAATCCCCTATTCCCGGATTTGGTTCATAAATTAGGTTGTACTTTTAGCTTCCAGTTACAACCCAAGCTTGATCTACGTAAACAATGCTGAAGGCTATGTGCAGTAGGCCAGTATTTTATCAGTGCAGCTGTAAACAATTAACTGGGATTGTTTTGACAAATCAAAATCTAAAATGGCTTCCGATAGAACAAGCTTGTTATCAGGACCAGCAGGAACAAATTGAACAAAGAGAAAGAGAAAAAATATGTACATTTCAAGAAATCTTGGAAAACAACTTTTATTACTAAAATAAAGTGGAATAATGAAACAGTACATTTTTAAAACAGTAGTTAATTAAATTAATTAGGTAAGAGAGGAAATTTTAAAATTGGAATTGCTTTCAAATTTAGCACGAGGGACTAATATACTAACACCTGCACAAGTCAGAATATAAAAGTCCTTAAAAAGTGGTTATTGAATTTTTAGCATAAATGAAATGTTAATATTAAGCCATATATTTTTAAATACTTTTAAACATACTTTAAAAGTATACTGCTATTAGAAATAATATTTTACTTGTAAAATAAATTAATTTTTAGTGATATTGAATTTTGGCAGAAGGTTTATTTTTATCTGTGGTCAACTTGATTGTGTGTCAGAATCCCAAGGTTCACTTGGTGTTTACAGAAAACGACATAAGTTTTATTTTTATGTACAGTTCATAAACTTGTGAATTAATGTACCCATCTAAAATATGTGGAATAATGAAAAGACATTTTAATTGTCTCATATCATGTAAATATCATTTATATTTGATGATATAAATTTTCAACCTTTTTAATAAATTGTACATATTGAGCATTTTAAATGTCACAGACTGAAGTGAATTAATTCACAACACAATGTTACTGTTATTATTACCTGGAGGTATTGATATTGTACATAAAGATTGTACGTAAAAATGTAAAAATAAAATTTTCTTTTCATTTGAGTTGTAGTTCTTTGCATTAAGATAATTAAAGTGAAATTCAGGCCATCAGGAAAAGCAATATATTTCAAAATGTATTTGGTTTGAAATATGTGTAATAATATTATATAGACACATTTCAGAGATCCATCATAAACACATATTAAATATTTTTAAAATTGTAAAGCTGAGATTAACAAAAACACAAACAAACCTTTTGAAAAAAACTTTGTAAAACAGGAAAAAAAAAGAAAAAAAAAAAGTGGGGAATGAAATGTTCAAACAGTAAATACTGTATTAAAAGGAAATTTGATGGGTTCATTCTCTAAAATCGTTGTGTCAAAAATGATAATTTTTGTATGAGGGCTTCCTTAATAGTGTAGGCGAAGAAAATTCTTGTTGATTAATGATTTACAATATGTAAAATTTATACACATGCCCATTCATCCATCATGTTAGATAAAATGAGACCCCAGGAATTTGGAGAAGGACACAAAATAGACCTTATGATTTATGTGTATATAAAATATAAAATCAAATAATTAATTATAAAGTAACAGATGTGCTAGGTTAAATCAGCAGTTTCAAAGAATGCACTGAACACCTGCTAAGTTAAATTTCCATCTTCGCTAGCCAAGGGTTTCCAAACACAACTTTTTAATATTGAACCCTTCACCCAAGGATACTTTGTGGTAAGTTTGGTTGAAATTGGACCAGTGGTTCTTCAGAAGAAGATGAAAATGTGAAAAGTTGGATATTTTTTTTTCATTTTTTGTGCTTGTCGGGCTTTTTCAGTTAACTTTAAGCAGACCCTCCCCTTTTTTTTTATCAGAAAAAAAAATGAATACCAAAAAATGCTGGCATATTAATGAGTTTATTAAACTTGACGAAAATTGCATTAGGGTCGATGTCGAATGCTGCCTTGCAATAAATAATAATTTTTAATACATTGTGTATAAATGTTCTTGCTGTATATAAGGAAAATCTTGCGTACAATTTATAACGGATATTCCTTATACATGTACTTGTATATCTAAGTATAATTTTAAAAATACTTTATGTCAATTTCAGTTTAGACACATAACTAAAATGCTCATCAATTTACACTTCCTTATTTATGAAAAAAAGTTTACAAACAGTTTTGTGGAAAGCAATACAATTAAATTAATAATAATGTATAATACATTGTATATATATATATATATATATATATGTAAAACCTTTTTGTCCCCCACCAGGAAAATCCACTCCATATTTGAAGGATTTAACCATTCAGACGTAAAGCTATCTCATATTATTTAAATTAGATGTACAACCAGTAGGATGCTTTCAGAATAGAATTTTGTTACAAAGGTTTTACTGCTGCTTAAATTTGAAAAAAAGTAAACATACAGTGTACATCCCCAGGCAAAACTGGTTGTATTAAGAAGGCTTGGGGGTCAACAAATAACCCATCAGATATAACTTATTTTTGAAGGATTTAACCATTCAAATGTAAAAAAAAAAAATATTATTCAAGCAACAAAGTATGTGTATGGCCATAACTTTTGATTTGGTGAAGGTGTGGCCTGACCTTTGAGTTTGACCCCACTTTTAAATGACTTTAACCTTGATCATAACTTTTGATCAGATAGTAATAGGGTCTATATTTAAGATATGTATTCTTCGTGACAAAGTCTTTTTTTTGGATATTAACAATTTTTACCTTTTTAATATTGGAGTTTCACCTACTCTTGAAAACTTAAACGTTGAACATAACTTTTTAACAATTGTGCTAGGGCTTTGCTATTTTATATGTGTAATTTTTATGACAATTTAGGCCCTCCTCTGGGTATCTTAGTTTGACCCTATATGACCTAGAGTATAATCCACATTAAAAAATGATTTCAACCTCGGCTATAACTTTTGAATGGTTTGCGGGAGGGCTTTTATAATTCACATATATATATTTATAAGACAAGTCTTTTCTTTGGTAACAAATTTTTGTTCTATTTACCTTCACTTTTGAATTTAACTTGTATTTGAGAAATTAGTACAATTCTTAGTTAACCTTGGACTTTCAGTAAGATTTACACAGCCTTTCATTCACTGTTGAAATATACATTCCGGCGAATGTCAACGTTTCGTACAGCAGAGAGGTGGAACTGAAGTCGTCTCATCGTTTCAGCAACAATATAAATTTGCTGATGTTATCAATTTCTTAACCATTAAGAATCAATTCGCCATTTGAGAGACGTTAATTACGTAGTGTGAGAAAGTCACGCCCTACTGATAGTCCAACGTTAATTGAGAATCGTACTAAAACACATATCCAAAAGCTGACATATAGGGGGGGGGGGGGGGCATCAGTGCATGTTTCACAATCGATCCATTTCCTGAACTTCAGGAAGACACATTCTGATCCGGTTCGCATATTGCTGCATCGATCTATATTACATGTGCTATTACCGAACATTTTCAATTAGTTTAATTTTAAGTTATGCCACCGTATTAATTTATATTTATTTTCGCTCAGTAATATAAAAGGAGATCCTTTTTTTTTTGGTCTGGCGGTGATCGATACATGTACATAAATAATACGTGAACCAAGTTTTAGATATTTCAAATGATTTATGATATTCATTATTGACTTACTTATTTGTCTTCCAAGTAGAAAAACATGACCTAAAAAGTGCGATTGAACTAAAATCAGGACTCTAATATTCATTGTAACTTGTAGGATGGGTCCCCGTCAATGGACTTTGATTCCTTGCTGCAATAAACGATTTTTTTTATCTGATATTTTCCTCTCCCAAAAAAAAAAAAAAAAAAAATTGTCATTATTGCAGCTACTTTCTCCCCTGTCTGGTTTTATTTCATTCACTTTATTTGTTTGCATTTTCACCGATAAAAATCACCACCGTCAAAACATACGGGAAGATTAAGAAGTTTTCGGCTTTATCCAGCTCTTATCTTTTATCTAAGGGTTTAAAAAATCTTTAAAAATTTACACAGAGAATGACATTTGTTTAAGTCACACTAGCCCTTTCTTGTATCAGAACATCTTGACCCATTTACTGCACAGGAAATAGAAAAAAGTACAAGAAAACGTTTTGTTAAACATCAAGGTGTAACATACGATCAGTTGTATTGTTGATCCGGTAGATGCAAAATATCTATTTCTGTAGTTTTATACAGGTTTTATGATGCTAAAATAGTTTCATCCATTGCATTCTGAAAGCTTACAATATTCAAACAAATTTTCGGAAACTTCCTTAACCACATGTATTATAGAACATTTAATATTTAATTATATGTAAAGAACAGCAATCAAGCTCAAAAAACCGTTGAAACAAGCAAGCACAGGCCTATTAAAATCAAGTGCCATGGAGGAGTAAGCATCCCCTGTCGAACGGTCACATTAACCGTGTGCGCCGTGTCTTGACCCGGCAAATGAAAAAAATTATGGATATTTTAGAAAGAAAATTGACAATTTGAAAAAAGTCAGTCAACATTCGATTTTATTGTAGATTGTATTTGCTGACAAGATCACTGTATCAACCATAGAATTTGCCAAAAGAGGACTTTAAACGAGGCTGTTGAAATCCTTGTAACATTAACTTAATTGTCAATAGCTTGCTGTCTTCGGTATCGAATCAAGTGGATAACCTACGCTTCACACACAGTATTGATACTGGTGAAAATGGTATATTGCTACGTAAGACAGGGAAGTTGAAATGTTGAAGTCATCAAGTTTATCAAAAATCTTTTATGTAAGGTTGCCATTTATTGTTGCGAGGAACTAACCAAGAGGTTTTTTACGACATTGTTTCCCACTAAACCCACCATGCAAATCAAAATATTGCCAATTTAAATAGAACGTACAAGGTCACAGCACAGAGGCTCGGCCATTAAGTACTTTTCCGCCATGGAAAAATTCGTCTTTGGAAAAACAAAATCGATTTGAAATTATGTAAGAGCATTTGTCGTATAATCTGTTTAACTGTGTTTGCTTTGAAATTCACCAGGGAAAAGTGTCTTTTTTCTCAACTTTAAATGTTCTGGTTAAGAAGATTTCCAGTGATTTTTAACCTTGTTGCATCTGTGATTATTATCCCTTCAGGACCATTTAGTACTATTTATTTACATGTATGCTACACGAGAGAGAGAGAGAGAGAGAGAGAGAGAGAGAGAGAGAGAGAGAGAGAGAGAGAGAGAGAGAGAGAGAGAGAGAGGAGTTACTTATTTAAAAAAAAAAATTTTTCTCTGTTCCTTCTTAAAAGACCGTGCTCTTAGATTTGTTTCACAGGTATTAACAGGCACGTAGTACCGTTTATGAAAGTGGGGGGGGGGCAGCCAGAGAATTTGTTTTTTACTCACCTGAAAAAAGCTGACAAGCAAACAAAAAACAAAAAAAAAAAACGGGGGGGGGGTGGGTAGATGCCAACTTTTTTCAGGTGTCGACTTCTTTTAATACCAATTTTTGGCATACAATACTACGTTCCCTTCATATCACTTTACCGTGGTAAAAACTGGGGGAGGGGGGGGGGCACCCAACCTTTCAATGAACATTTTCAATAGTTAAAGTAATGTTTGAAAAAAAAGTGGGGGGGGGGGGCAGGTCCCCCTGGCCCCCCTGTTGCTTCGTGCCTGATTAAAGAGAGCAGCGAATCTTCGTGAATCACTTATTTTCAAGTGATTTTCGTGTAACATTGTCTTTTCATTTATGAATTCATTTTATTGTTGACTTTTGTTGGAATATTCACTTTTTCAATAATAGCGCTTGATTTAAACACAGCAAGGGTATATTGTTTTTAGTATTCCTAGTTGACACAATTAAAAAGAATACTCATGACAAACAATCGTCATTTTTGTGAATGACCATCTAAACAGACCGAAGCAGGTATTCCCTAGACGTAAAAAAGAAAAAAAATTGTAAAATAATAAGATAGGAAGACACTTTTCTGTAAAACTTGGCTATAGCCTCCCTGTGCCGAGTAACAGATTGCATGGTTTGTAAGCAAGACCTTTGTTTCTTTTAGGTGTTCCTGGCACATCAAAACATTTCAATAAAAAGGGTCGGGTCGAGCTATCAAAGTTTTATAGTTGATGTAATTATTTGTAATTTGGATGTCTTTTCATCTTGTCTTATCGCAGATGGTTTCTCTCACCTTTACCAGAACACCAAGATTGTTAAATTAAGCAGATAAGATAGAGATTAGGGTTCATTTTAAAAATCTGATCTTCTTCTCTAAATATTTCAAATATTGTTTTTAAAATGGACTCGGATAATACGCCTCACAATGGTGTAATGAAGTACATGTATATTTTAAATATAGAATACCTAATAATAAAAGATTCATATCTTGGTGTAAATATCTTTATCATCCACGTTTTTCAAACAATGTAATACAACCAAATCTCTCTGTGGGTTACTGCGCAGTAATCCGATGCGATCAATGGCGTTAGAATTTATCATCCTTGTCGCAGACTTTCCTGCAGATCCTTCCGCAGCGGTTCTGTTGAAAGAACTACTTTATCAAGACAGAAAACAACTCCAAGCCATCTGAATTCTTTAATCTTGAAATAAATATTTTATAAAAACAGACACACAATCAATTTTATTACAATTCTTAAGCAATTTTTTCTTCCTGATGCAGATGTTGCAAATTAGGTTACAACAAATATGGAGAACGCAATGCAACGAAATCTTTCCCCACTTCCCTAAAATCTGATTATGGTGAAAAGTCTGTAATGAATTTATGAAATAATAAATATACATGTATTATGACACTTCTCATTAAAATTGGCAAGACTAGTACAAACTTGTTAGAATACATCAGAGACAGTGAATAAAATGTTAAATCTAACAAATAAATAAAGTACAGAATTTCACATCAAATGCGTGAACAAAAAATATTAATTGGATTCATTTACTCAAATGTACGTGTAGTTTTACTTGATAGTTACATAATGCATGTACATATGTGAACGTTAAAAATGGTACAAGAAATGAAACAACAGTTTCAGATTAATGGCAGTACATCGTATGTATATATGAAGCAGAGGGACTCCGAGTAAAAAGTACTTCTTCCTTAATGGCTGAAAATCATGTACACCAAATCACAAACATTTAGCACAACGATGTCTATATAAAAGTCAAGGGAAAAAAGACGCAAAAAGCTGGACAACAGAAGTTTGAAATAAAATTTACCATAAATAAATAATGACTGTACGAACAAGACCACAATGCTGATAAACACAAAATTTTTACATCCAATCGTCGACGTCAAGTTTACAATGTAAAATTGATTATTCAATAAATGTTAACTAAGAATAGTGTTTTTACAAAATCTGAGAAACAAAACAAAAACAAGAGTGAAGCACTAATTCAGTAAAGTCTAACAAATAATAACACTGTTTGATCAATACTTCTTAACAATCATTGCACTTCATTAAACAAAAAAGCGTATAAATAATTGTAACTCAACAAACCCAGACCTACTGAATTCAAATTCTTATTGTCATGCCTACCTCTATCATTTTCCAAGTGCTGATGATTAGATAGAATACAATCTTAACATTATACTATCAGGGAGTAAAAATGTTATGAAGATTAAAGCTGAACCTCATATTTTTGAGTGCACAATCAAATGTATGAAATATTTGTAACTGGTGAAAGATCTGCAATTGTTCTCTGACAATCTAAGGCACGGCGTTTAAACCCAGCATCGGCAGACACGTTTCTTCAGGTCTTTGGTATAATTTTTCAATTTTTAAGCAATCACCGAATACAACCTGACTATCTTTTGACAGCAGACATGTGATTGAACGATAATTCAGCAAATCTCGCGTTCTCAACTGCTTGCCTCTTTCTGGCTTTCGTCAACTTCCGTTTTTTCAAGCAGTGGCGACATCTCTGGGTCATCGTTTTCTCTTCCACTGGCAGCCTCCTCAGACACATCCGGGTTCTCCTGGGTGTCTCTTGAGCTCAGAATGGGACTAGATTCTGAAACATAATCGTTGGGTGCAACGTCACCGTTCTGTTTTACGGAACCGTTTGGGATAGATGCGAAGCTGGAGTACTTCTCGTCGGAGTCATCCAAAAGCTTGTCACCTTCCTTCGGTTCCACCTCCTCTTCGGGGTCGTCAATAAACTTGATTTTGTTCAGCTGATCATCTGGAAAAAAATTCAATTGTTCATCAGTGAGATTTGCGAGAAAAGAAATTGCAAAATAGTCTGGAGTGCAAGAATTATTTCTTGCTCTGTTTATTGTTTGCCCTTTTGGCATTGTCACAAGTGAGTGAATTTAAAGCGGAGAGAATTCAGTCGCAGAAAGCTACATTATCTTTTAACACACGCAATTGTAACTGGACAACTTATAAAACATGGGGGATCCTAAATTGTTTACAAGTAGAAAAAGGCGAAAATAACAACTACAGAAATAATGCATTGACACAGTGTAATAAATAAAGTCCCCCTTCCAATGTAATAGCTCCTGACCCGTGGATCACAAAGTTTATTATTCTTTAAGTACTTTTCTTACCTATCTTGGGTGATCCCGGTTCGCCATTCTTGCGTTTGTCAGGGACGGCATACACGTCTTCTGTCGAGTGCGAAGTTCCGTTGGGTTTTCCATTCTTCACAGGTATCACCGTTTCTTTGCCGATTTCGTCATAAATTCCGCCATCTTTGTAATCCAAAGCTGTTGGATCATTTTCCTTAACTGGGCCTCTCTCTAAATCCTGTACGTATATATAAGAGAAAATATCCATAGTGACATATGATATATATCTTTCAGTTACTTTTCTATAATCATATGGACTAACAAATCAAAGGAAAATCCGTTGTGTTGCTTTATTTTCGACAACTTTTGAATATACTTTATATTTCAAATGTATTCGCAACGCTTACGAAGCGCTTGTCTGACCTGAATGGTTATGTATAAATTAGTCCGAAATATTGGACGTTTTCCAGACATTTTTCACGATTTTGATTTTTTACATGCCAGGAAAACCAGGCACGTAAAAATCATACTCGTGAAAAAAAGCCTGGAAAACGTCAGATATTACGGACTATGTATACATGTAATAATTTAAGCATTCGGGCATTATAGAATTTGATCACGTGACCGACTTCATGTCATACCCCAATGAAACTCTAAAAATCAAAGTACTCAGAAGTACAGAGAGCCGGGCTCATTTACTGAGTAGAATGGATTTCTTACATGAATCACGTTTATATTCTTATGAAAAAATTATTTTAAAACTATCAATATAAATGATAAGACACTGACAGTGAGTTTTTCAATCCTAATACCACGGTCCGATTTTGTCAGAATCAGAATTAATCTGGTACCGCAGCTGAATGTAAATAAACAGGCCAGTCTGGTTCCCTCTCCTGCTTTACCTCGTACGTGTAGAGAACTACGGTAACACTGATTATCAAAAATCCTTACGCTAGTGAACTATGTTCTTTGACTTATGAAGTTTTCAAAGTCATTACTACTAATGTTTATTTTATATAGATAAAACTTCGTTTTATTTTTGTTGCTTTATTTAGCGTTTGTTTTATCTCAAAAGCGGAACTATATTTTTGCACGTAACTTTAAAATGGCGACTAAGGGAACATCCTGCCTTGAACAGGATCACATAAGCCGGCAATTGCTCTTTGAGCAATAAGCCCGGCTAATGATATTTTATTTCTTAACTATATCTTCCAAATTCGGGATATTTCAAACCTATCATCACAGATCTTCAGTTTTTACTCATAATAATATTACGTAGGAGTTTGTCCTTGTCGCCTGTGTGTGTGTTTTTTTTTACAGTTGGGATGTCTTTCCATTCTAACGTACGAGACATTCAGTTGAAATGTCTTAATAGAGTTTTGATAGGTTTGGAACAGGATAAGCACCTACTCAGATGACATGACCCTTTTAAACAGTAGATCCTGATAAATCTTGGATGACAGATTCGAACAAGATAAAAACATGGTTATAATTTATAGGTAAAATATTTCGAACTGTTGCCATTCATCATGAAAACGTTAATTTCCCCTGACTCATTCATGTGTCAGTTACACGGTGATTATTTCAGATCCGACTTTTTCTATTTGCAGGTCTTGTTATAAAAATGCAAAAGTATATTATACCTCGTTTGGGACAAACTGCATTGAAAAAGTCTGATTTTCGCTATTATTTGATTAGTGCTACTGCTATTTTTGATGCATTAATTCGCTGTACTGTGGGTGGGCGACTGAAAGCTTGTCATCAATAAGTGGACCCAAGGAAAAGATCAAACGCCTATTTATGTCACACGCTCAACACAGCTATATTAGAGTAAAACATAGCATTATTAAAATAATAAAAAAGATTTTCTCGCAAATATCAACTTGTCAAAAGAAGTAACAAAACATTATTAAAAATAATTTGACCTTCGTCTTTAGAAAAGTATGATTTCCCGGCTATGTGTCAAAATAACCTATACAAAAACGCGCGTTATGTCCCACTTTTCAGCATGGAGGTCCTCGATCGAGACACTCTTTCCATACCATTGGTAATCAATTACAATTAACCCTGTCATAAATTGACTAACCACACATTTATCTGTTTATAATGAATATATTTCTTCACGGTAAACAATAACAATCATAAATAGGTCAGAAGCATCCATCTTGACATGAAAAAGTACATGGCTTATTATTTTCTCGTTAATATGAGAAAATACAGTAGATTCCTTATTTTTCGAGAGTACTGTACTTATTATCGCGAAATGTTTCTTTAACGTCAAGTTTCGAGAACAATAATTCGCGAGTAGACGGTTGTTCAAGAGATTTTACATTGATTTCGGCACCATAGCAATAAAAGCGAGTAATTTTATTTCGCGAGTGGTACCGTTGCTTTTGGCGAAATTACGCGACATTTAATTCCTAGCGTATATTTAGGAATCTAAAGTAAGCAAAATTTGCTAAAAAAAAAAACTTCTTCGAAGCGATTGCATGTATATTAATGCCAAGCCATCTTGATAAATTTATTACTGAGTACATTCACATAACTTTATCTGTATTACATATATCGATATCGATTTACTGTCATTAATAAAAAAAATAAGATCATAATTTATTAATTTCAGGTCCTAGAGGACGTATAATTACACTTACGTTTCTGACATTAAACTTTCCAGACCTCTTCTTTCTGCAGTATCTGCTGACGAGAAATCCGATGAGAAAGAAGATGACCGCGGCCCCGATGACGATAGCGACGACTATGCCCACCTTTATACCGTCTTCTTCATCCTGTCAGATTTTAATATGAAATTGTTACTCAATAATGGTAACAAAATTGAAAAATTGAAAAAAACAACCAAACAAACGAACAAAACAAACAAACAAACAAACAAAACAAACACAAACAAACATACAATAACTTTGCTACCCAAGATTTTCATTAATATAGTAACCGCAATTATTTCATACAATAAAAAAGTTTTCAGTTTAAAAATTTCCAAGTTTTCCTTAATCTCAGGCAATATATATAAAATACGATGTTGAGGTAAATAGCCTGTATAGTATTAAATGAATTACTCGTGGGTGATATTTTTAAAAATATATTTTAAAAAAGGCATATTATTGTTAATCATGTCATTTTCTGAAAGAATTTCAATATTCGAATTGATTTTATCAAGCAAGTATAATGTAGTATGAGTACAGTAGTGTATTACTACGAGGGCGTTATATGGGCGTGTCGATCTTACCATTTTCTTAGAGCCAAGAGCACCAGGCTGCAATGGAGATTGGTCTTCGATTATATTTTCTGGTAGCTTAAAATCTGGAAATAATAGAAGACATTATCGATAAGAACAGAACATTTTCATGTTTCTCTATCTTGATTTCCATGTTTTCTATCTTGATAATTACAAATTAACTACTCAACTGCAATGAATTAATGCATAAAACATGCAGCAGATATCAAAGTGACATAAAACAGACAACAGTTTTGTAATTTAGAATTCTGTAAATAGATTCCAAGTACAAAAATCATACCTCGAAAGTCCCAGCCTAAGTTTAATACTTCCTTTAGTCGAAACCTCAAATAACACAAAAATTCGAAAACACCCTTCTTTATCTCTTTCTTGAGTTACAGTATCATATTCAAGATATATAAAATATTGGGGGTGGTTTCAAAAATTGACGTCTTTCGGAGATCTCTTATATTTTGACGAATTAATTTTACACTTCAAATATAATAAACATAATACTACATGGATTGAAAGAAGATACAATTATTTAAGATGTTTTGCTGTTGAAATTTGTTAATGACGTATTGATGGCGCAGCTTGATGCCTTTTCCATTTCTGAGATTCTGCTGAAGAGTTTTGTGAATATAATTTGGTTGTTTGATCAGTATTGAAAATAAACATGACCTGCCAAACCCTAGTAAATATCACTCAGGAAATACAGATTCATTTTGGAAGACTCTTCGATAACATTCCAAAACTAAGTTTCTTATCTTTTTTAATGCACTGGCCGCACTAGGGAGTCGTTTTAGCGTTAAGAACCACGTGATTTGAGATAGTTTTGGAAAAGCGGGAAATTTAGACAGTACTTAACTATGTTTTATATAGCTATAACAGACCCATTAATACGTGGGGAAGGCGGAGGCTTTTTGCTGAAGTTTTATGTTTGGAAGATGCCTGTCCCACCCCTTAACATTTTGTTGCTGTGCGGGGAAAAATACAAGCGTTGAAAAAAAAACTTAAAGTACCAAAATGTGTTTTAAAAAAAAGTTCTTCGGTAATTAATGATACACCTGTCGTCAAAATAAGAAATATATACCAACCTGGTATATCATATTTGTCCTTTTCATCCTCATCTACCAGTCCTGTTTCGATGACAATTCCCTTGTCTTTGTCCAAATCTATCGTCCTGGGCGTTGTTTTTGGTTTTGGACTCGCGGTTGTCTTTTTCGTTCTAAGATCTATAATCTTTTCTGTTGTTCCTCTTAAATCGATAATGATTCTGCCGTCACCGTCGGTGGGGACGTCCGTAGCCTTTGTAGTTGTAATCGTGGTAGATGTTGTTGGCACTGGTGTTGTTTGGACAACTTTTGTTGTTTTTGTTGTCACGGCTTGAGTTGTTGTTGTTGTTGTTGTTGTTGTTGTCTGTGTTGTCTTAGCTTCTGTGGTAGGCTCGGCTGTAGTTTGTTCAGATTCGGGTTTGTGTGTAGGCGTTGGCTCGGGTTCTGGTATTTCTGGCTTTGTTGCAAGTATTGTTGTTGAACTTGGTTCAGGTGTGGATGATGTAGATATTGTTGTTGAACTTGGTTCAGTTGTTGATATTGTAGTTGCTTCTGGTGTAACTGTTGTAGTTGGTTCAGATGTAGATGAAATGGATGAACTTGGTTCAGTATAAGTAATATCAACAACAGATGTTATATTCAAACTTGGTTCAGAAGTTGATGTTATGTTTGTTGTTTCTAGGTTTGTCGTAGGTAATGTTTCAACTGTGGAGGTGGCATTTAATGTCACCGTAGTTGTCTCATTTGATACTAATTTTGGCTGTGGGGATGTGAATGTGGGTGAGGATTCAAGCTCCTCGGAGGCGACACTGATATTAAATCCCCCACTCCCTTCCTCTAATGCGTCTTTTTCTAATTGAGATGTGTTGGTCACCGCCTCCTTATCAACGATGACGTCATCAATAACTGTTGGCTTTAGTGACCCGTGGTCTACAATCAGTTCCCCATCTCCCGAAATCTCCAGAGCATCTTCAGAAGTTAAAGGAGTGGTCAATGGTTGGTCATTTTGGATCACTTTGCTCTTTTGAACACATTTTGTCCTATAACTATTTAATTCACTATATCCTTTAAGGTCGCATGACCCACAAACAGTATCATGTCTATGAGTACATGACTTAATGACGAAATAACCTTCCTTGCATGTAGAACATGAATAACATAGTTCACGAGTGTTTAATTCCGGGGTATATGTATCCACCGGACACTGTGCACATATGGTATCATGTAATTCATTACAATTTCTTTTAGCATAATGTCCTGCCTTGCACTGTCGACAATCTTTCCGGCGGCCATGTGTCTACAAAACATGCAACATACTAATTAGGAAATTTTAATTAATGCGTATGTGTGGAATACTAGCATACATTCATAGGTCATATGCTTATGTATGACTAAATATTAGTATTACATTCAAAAGAATTCACTCAAACTAATATCTTACTTTGTATGAATTACTAGTATTTAAAAAACTAATTAATATGTATGTTTTATTTTCCAACCTTGAAATACTAGTATTTTTGAAATGCATATTAAATGGCTTACGAGGTATCAAAGAAAGGGGTGTGATCGGGCGTTTTGTTGTAAACCTTTTAAAGTTTCACTAGATTGTAGGGGATAGCTCTTTTTATATATGCATATATTTGATGTATCGCCATGGAGGATTTAGAGTAAAATAGTGAATGAATCCAGCCTTACATTGGCCTATATTTTTGATAGATCAGGTGATAAGATTTGTGATGATCATTAATCTACCTGTGTTTGTCTACCTGTTCGTTTACCTGTAGCTGAAGAAACAGAGATAAACATCATACCTACATGCACCATGCACCTTAAGACGTCAATGCTCAAAAGCAAATAATTACTCTACCAAATGCTCTATAAAGGGTGTTTGATTAAAGGGGGCAACAATCGTTAGGTCTATAATTCACAAACCGGACTCGGCCAGGAAAAAGTGGTAATGTCTAACAACTTCTTAACAATTTCTTAACTTTTTTTTTTAAATTGCGTCAGAGAATTAAAGATAAGGGATAGGTCTACAGGCTTTTACCGACATGAACAAAAGAAAAGATAAGAAACGCATGTCATTCTTATTGGCTGAATGCACCGAATTAAGTATTTTATTTCATGATTATCGAGACGTAATGAAATGTGCAAGTGTGTACAGCGCTTCTATTTTGCTTGATATATATTAAGCTAGAGATTAAATGGAGTGTCTGTAAATAAAGATATAATATTTCTACTACTAAGTTCTTATTTGATCTGGAAAACATTTTTCCCCTTGAAATTATGGGAATATCTTTGATCAATAACTGCTTGTTTTTGAATCAATAATCAAATATTTGTCCACAACAAATTGTTCTTTGTTCCCATCCAGCAAATGAGGACAACTAGTTTTTATTCATTATTTTAATGGACCGTTTTTATTGTCCACGCTTGAGAAACCTGCAAAATCTTGTAGAAATTCAAACAACGTTCTGATCAGCTGTTCCATAGCAATCAATATTGATAAATACTTCCTTCGTTTATGTTTACTTAAACAGCGTCTTAATAAAAGGTTAAACCGGGTCAGGTTCTATAGATGTTGTTAAGTTTACTTAACCTGACCAGCTGTGAATGTCTATAAAACAGTTCAAGATAGTGCATGAAAATTGAAAGCGAAGCAAAATCGAAGCAGAATCCTTGTCTGTTTTTGATCCATCATACCATACTCTAACCCTACCATCAGCTACTCCAGGCTCGGTAAACAATGACTGTTCTCCGGCTCAGCAGAGTAGTGGGTGTGTTCGAATCGTTTTTTAGAATTCTGTTTATAGCGTTTATTTCTGCCATGTCATAAACAGTTTAGATGTTTTGTTTAACGCTGCTGCTAAGAATTTTCTGACGAGTAAATATTTTATCTCTAGAATTTCTTTGGTAGTATATATGAAACTATCGTGTGATTTTCTTATGTTCGTTAATGGGTCAATTTTGTTCTAGAATTAAAACATCTGGTTCTTATAATAAAATATTAAGTATAAACATATTTTGTTTAATATGATAAATATAACCAAACAATGGACATGAATAAACAAGCTAACTGTCCATTATAATTGTTCTCTACATAAAATTTTAACAAAAGTTGCCGAAGTGTATATATATTGTACTCTTTAAGAAATAGACAAATTCTTTATAGAAAAAAATACAGAGCCAATATTAAATGTTATTGAAAACAATATGCAGTATGCACACAATAATTTTAGTTATTGCATGTAAGCCCATAAGAAAAAAAATCTGACTAGGAACGTTGGAAGAGGCCTAGACTTTAGGGAGCAATGGTGCTGAGATTTTAGTGTACTAAAGCACATAAAATGATGTCTCCGCAAAAACGAACTAATACGACTTCCCTTTCAAGGGGAAATACTTTAAGAGCCATAAACAATAAGAAATAAGAAATAAGAATTCAATTTCATATTCTTACTTCGAGGGGAAAAGTGGGGAGGCATTTGACTTTTAAAAAGCAACTTTAGGTCTAACAGTACATCATATTCAATGGATTAAAATAGTGAGGGAAACCCCCCCCCCCCATCCTACCCCTCCCCAACCTTTCCTTGGTTCCTATGGTCATGGCAGCATGCCTTTGAAAGGAAAAAGTCAAGTGGCATATCGTTAAAAAATGATGTCATTATAAAAGTCCAGTCTCATAACATGATGTTCTGTTTGGTTTTTGTGCAGCAGTATAATGTTTATCTTTGCACTTCTTTCTGAATGTTTATGTTAACCAAAAAAAAAAGATAGAGTCATATCCGGTTTTATAGTTTATTGATATTGGAGAGATAGTTGCTTAATTATAAAAATTACATGTTGACGGAATTAATTAAGCAAATGTTCAATCATTCACAGAATTGACTTATCGCTTCATAAATCACGTGACACCCAAAGAGCATCTGTAATGTTGTAATATAAAATAATTGATCACTTCAATATGTTCCCAATAAAAAGGCTAATCTTAACCTGTAATGGAGTTCAGTTTTTACATAAAAAAATAACATCTGCTTCGTTGCAGGAGCTGAATTTGATGAAGCACCATCAACACGTTCACGCTAGGTGACGCTCGTTTTTGTAATGGAGAGGTTTTTTGTGGTTTGAGTAACAGTCAGCAGCTCACGCTGTCAGTTACGGGGGCTTGGAACCAGACAAAAGATGTAAAAATATCAATTCTTATCGAACGCCTTTAATCTTGTTCTGTCCTTCTACCGATAATGTTTTAAATAATTTTCAGGTAAATGATACATTTTTGCAGATTCGCTAAATAGAAATATGGTGACACAATTTTCAATTTCTAGAAGATAACAAGTTTTAAATAAAAGTGTCAACTCGATCTTTGCAACCCACGGTTCATGCTTAATCGACAAACATGCACTTAGATCAGACTAATGAAATTCACTCCGACAAGTGGGTTACATTTATTATTTTCTCGTTTCTTTGGCCTAGACAAGGTGTTTGTAAAACAGAATGTCAACAGAGCCCACTTCTTGTTATACAATTGATTTGTCAACCGTTACTAGGGAAACGTAAGAATTAACATTCAGTCGCTATCTGCACTGCAAAGCTTTGTCCGGAAATAACCTCTTGTAAGGATCATCTCTATTTGAAAACCAACAGAAAGTTTAGAAAAAAGAATTGTGCCACTTAATGTTATAAAGTATAAGTGATGCCATAAGAAATACAGTTTTGAATAATTTATCATAAGCCACTAAACACCTCTTTCTTCAAAATGAAGAAAGTTAAATTTACAGTAATGCTAATTGCCAATGAATGTGTAAACCGACATTCAAACCACCGTTTTCCATTAATTTAACCCTACTAAATTATGCATGTTTTACGAGACATTTTTCTCTCTCGTAACATCTCCATTTATGAAATATTCATATGACACGTGCCTCCGACAACAAAGAACGAACGCTAATTCCAGAGTAAAACTCAGAAATCATCAGTAAAAAACAGAAGAAGTCAAGAAATCAACATTGAAGCCATTATCCTGACAGGAAACTCCCGCTGGTTTTCTGCATCCATCCCTTCATGCATTCTAGAGAAAACGCCTAAGTTATACCCATAAAACATAAATTTTCAAACTACTGCTGATTTTTGAAGGGTGTATGTGAACTGTACTTTACCAGTGAAGTACATGTATATATTAAGACCATGTTGGTCACCAAGATATATCAGAAAGATATACACGCATCACTTGACGCGATACAGATGACATATATGTACACCACTATGTTTGATTGAAACTCTGCTTTATTTTATCAAAAATTGTACTGACATCTAAACAGACCAATGGCCCTCGGTCAATATGTATTAGGTGTTGAAATTACGGATATAGTATTAGTCTGTGAATTAGACTTTAAATGTAATTAGCTTAGAGCGCTACCACGTGACTAGGGTGAAGGGACCATCAAAAGATTGCATTCTTGGAAACTACTTAACCATACTGTTACCGAAATACAAAGGTGCTACATCCAAGTGAAGAAAACCAAACATCTGTCACGGTTAAAGTAAACCCGTCATAATTTTCATCCAATTTATATATTGTATACTCTCAATTCCCCTAAACCATGTGGTAATCTGTTATTTGATGAATTAAACGTTCACTTGAATTGCTTAATTTAATCAAAAGGCATTATCTGTCCAAGTTCAGGCGAGGCTTCTGTTGGCTGCACAAAACACCATGTAATTTGCTTCATTATACTCAACTCTGTACGAGTTAATTTGTGTCTCCCCGATTTCCGACTGTCTACCTTCCACGGGAGAGCTTTTGTTGCTGTGTGTGAAAAAATTTCACATATGTATACAATTCAATGCAATTGTAAACTTTTTTGACTATCTTGATTACAACAATGTAAAAATGGACATAGAACCGTGATTTATAAAAAAAATCACGTTCAATTTAAGTTTTTACAACTCTGAATCTTGTTTTAAAAAATTCCAAAGAAACAATTCAGACTTTGTTTGCAATTTTCCATAAGTTTATTTTCCAGGACTTCAATTTGCAGATCAATAAGCGATTAACAATGGAAAATCTTGCAAAATTAGCCAACTTCCAACAAAGTTAACAAAAATTGGCATACTCTTTTCAGTGTAAAGATTTTTTGCAAAGTGGCCGTGATTGAACAAATCACTTAATTGGTTGCTCTTTTTATAAATAAAAGGAAATCTCCGTTTTTCTTCCTGAAAGAAAGAAGTTCTTCCATCATAGTGTGAGAAAGTTATGGCAAAAAATCATAAAGAAGACTGTACAATACACAGTATTTATAT